ATAAAAATATATTTCTAATGCTTAACTCATTCAAAATTCAAGAGATTCAAAAGGATAAAAGGATATGAAAACTAAACCTCTATATCTAACAAAAGAAAATAGCTAAATTGACTTCTATCTTTAACGTGATGAGAAGTACAGACATTGTAAAATTATCTCAGTTATTTGTGGCAAAAATGTATGTATTGTCAAAACTATTTATGGTTTGACCATCAAATTTAAAGCAACCTAATGGTTTATTCACCATTGAGCACACATAGACAGGTGAAATGTGTTTGATCTTGCCAACAATGTATGCAATCCAAAAAGTTCAAACAAATATCGAAAATTGATAATTTTAAAGTAAATCAAAACTTTAGTATTCATCTAAAAGCTATTAAATAAAAAAAGATGCAATCACATAAAAACATTACATACTAGCAAACTAGATGCCCTTTTTGCACCAAACAAAAAGTAATAGCTTATCACCATATAGTTGTCTAACATAAATTTATTTTAGCAAAATAAAAAATAAATATTTCCATCCTAAGAAAAAAAATTATTTCAACGAATTAAAAACTTATGTAGCAAAGATATTTTTGACATATCTAATGACTAAATGAACCAAACACTAACTTTTTAACAACCTGATTTCTTTTATCCAATGGGTTCTCATGATTATCAATAAAATATAGGTAAGCAGTAGTGATTACTTATGAGTCAATTCCTATCTCATCCAATAGATTCCATATTTCATTTTGTGAAATTCAATTAACATGAGTATTGAACTTTTCATAAATAGCATTTCCTACAATAAGTGCATCAGTAACCATTTCAAAACCCTTTCGAATAAGTTCATTATCTTTGTTATCTTTTTTTTTTGGCTATTTTATTTATTGAACTACTCAAAAGATTGAAAAGATTTTTAGCACAAACCCTAAGGGATGTCATGAAATTAATATACTCATCACTCGAAATATCATGATTCTCTAATGTTATTTATTCTGAGAGATTAAATTATCAATATTATCAATATTCTCTCTCAACTCATCATCAGTTTCAAAAAGATTGTTTCTTTCGTCTTATTTTTACTGCAGTCTTTACATGCTCTTTAGTTGTTTGATTATTACCATAAAGAATCATCATCTTGTCATACTTTAGAATTGATTTTGTCATCTACTCTTAGGCATAAGGATGTGCTTAAAAATTTATACGTATTATATTGTGAAAATATAAATAATAAAATGTAAAATAGTTAATAAAACAATAATTAAAATTTGATTTTAATAAAATTTACCTCAATCAATCTCTGCCAAACTTCAAGTTCAACATCCCATAATTTAGTAACTGAATTCCAAGAAAATCCATTCAATCCTTCCTTGAACAAGTTATAACATTTTGAGAAATTAGTTTTTATAGTTTTTTTTCACTTTTTCCTTCTCTATGTTTCTTTCAAAATTTTCTTTTGGCTCAACGACTATATTATCATAGGTATATTTAGTGAAAGTTCCATTTACCTTATTCCCCATATTATGTTGATTCAAAAATGCTTCAATAAGAGCATAATGCATTGTTGGTGTTCATTTAAAAATGTCATCTTTATTTGTCCATCTGTCACTTTCGTTAGTTATAATCACTTTTTTCTTTCTCAGCATAGTTAAATATATACAATAAAAAATGCAAAAAAGTTACAATAACAATTAAAAATAATCATTGAGAAATAAGTACTTTAATTTTTCAAATGAAATAACATTTATTTGATCAAAAATATATATTTCTTTCAAAAAAAGCAAATATAAATTAAAGAAAATACGCAAATAATAATAACCATTCAATTTTTATAATCTATCCACATAGCATTAGTTATATAATCTTTTAATTGTTCTCTTCAAGCAGTATCTTCATTCTCATTTTTAGGAGCACGAAACTCTTGTTATCATCAAGATTTATTATCATTAAGTAATTATGTAAAATACAACAAGCTAAAATTATTACTTTCTAGGTTCTAACTTCATATGTCGGTGCATTTGCACTTGTTATAATGAGAAATATTATATTAAGGACACCGAATGCTCTTTCAATTGCATTACACAAAAATGCATGCCTAAAATTGAATAATTCTTGAGAATTTTTTGGTAAGTTATTTGAATATTCTTTCAAATGATACCATACTCTATATGGTGCAATCAATCCGTTTTTCAACACAATTCCAACATTAACAAGATAATATTTACCTATTCAAAATTGTAACCACATCAGTATTTTGGTCTCATAAGTAACTAAATATAATATAATATAACATATTATATTCATTACCTTATGGAATCATAAATTTGTTTTTTCTTGATAGTGCATCTTTTATAATTTTTGAGTCAGACGTGATAATTTTCTATCCAGGTAATACATAAGTGAATTTTAAATCAAATAAATATGTTGCCAATATATTTTGCGTTGGGTATTCTTTTCTACCACGATGTTTTGGAGTATTTGTATTTGATACGTTGATTCTAATATGTATTCAATCAATAGCTCTTCCACACTCCTGATATTAATTTTATATATTAATACCTATTGAATATAAAACAAATTTATGATTAAATTAAAGTAACTAATAATTTCTTACTTTAAAATATGGGTCGAATTATTGTTTTTAAGTATCTAAGCTGAAATATGTGAGCTATTTGGTTATTTAAAGAATCTTTCCTTTAACTTTATTATAACTCTTAATACACGATGTAAATGATGATTAATTGTTTCTCCAGAACATCTAAACCCAAATTGTCTCTCTTTATTTTTTGCATGATGAGATAATATATAAAAAGTTTTAGCAATATGTTCTTTCACTGTAACTCATCTTGTTGGTTTTAGACCATTATATTTTTTTAGTATTACACATAAATCTATAAAAGTTTTAGGTCCCATTCTTACAATATCTCTACCTCTCTCACTACCAACAATTTGACTCATTATTTTATCTTTAACTTGATCTCTTTCTAAATTCATATAATGATCAATAACTTTTTTAGTAATCATTTTTTTATGTACATACCAATAAACAGCTAAACACATAATGTAAACAGCTGTTATTCGATGACTTTCTCTTCACAAATAATCAAACATTGTCTTATTTCTTTGTTTATCCATCTATGACAACAAAATATTAACAATAATTATTATTATCATAAAAATAAATACATTAACACTTGTGTGAAAGAAAAGAATATTGAAACCTTTTAATTTATAGCTAGTAAAATTGGATATGGCATGGAAATTCCTCTTTTAATAAAACATAATCCCTTACATTCTATGGATTAATACTTAAATTCTATTAGTCTTTATATTCATACCATATTCAATGCATATACAACACATATCACAATAATCTACAATCTTTATACAAATATTAATTCAAACACATATCAAATAATCTACAATCTTTCTATAAGTACTTAATTCACAAACAATCTACTAAGAAATGATTGTCATTTATGATTATGGTCCACACTATGATGATCTAGAGCGAAAAGCTTAATAGTCTAAGATTGAAAATAACCATTTTTCCACCTCTAGAAACATAGATTGTCAAAAAAGAGAAACTATTACAATTTTCAATTAATATGCATGCTTTATTTATTATAAATAAATAAATCATGACGAGACCAACTTAATTAATAATGATATTTAGAAAATAGAACTAGAATGATTCAATTACAGAAAACATAAATTTTACTTTCAAATCTCAAAAGGCATGCTTAACCTAAATAGACACCAAGCATTTATCTTATGTATAAAAACCATTAGGCTTCAAATAAAAATTATGAGGTAATGGTCTGACATCCCATAAACCTTAAGCTAGTTATGTTTAACTTTTCATCAAAAATCAAATCACCAAAACAATTATTAATCTATCAATACCAAGACAAACAAAGAAGAACCCATTGAGTATATTGCAATATCTTACGCTCTAGCAAGTTACTTAAAAAAATGTAAGAAAATAAATGGAATTAATAAGATTTGACAAAATTATAACATTGACAATTTTCTCAGATAAATTGAGTTTTTTCATTAGTTATAAAAGCTTGAAATTTGATATCTATGCCACCAAACTAAGTCAACATAAAAAAAAAAAAAACCAAAAATAACCCAAATGTATCCAAGTCAAACATTCATGCATATTGCAAAGCTTATAGGCTATCGCTTCACCAATAAGTGCTTATTTTCATTAGATTAAAATAAAATAAACCACAGTTACATTTTTAGAATAGACACAAAGTATTTATCCTACATATAAAAATTATTGGGCGTCAACTAAAAATTGTGAGGTAGTAGTTTGAGATCTCATAAACCTCAAGTTATATATTTACTCGTGTTTAATTTTTCATCAAAAGTCAAATCATCAAAACAATTATTAATATATCAACAAGAGATATGTGAAACTTAGAGAGACAACGAGAAAAAATTGCAAGATAACAGTGATGCAGTTAGATTCTTAGTATTAATAGAAATACAGATATAATATTTTTTTCATAAAAATAAAATTTTTTCAAATTTCTTTTTCATAGCTTTTTTACTAAATTATGGTATTAAAAAAATTAAAATTATAAAAAAAATAAAAAATTATTGAGTTGTCATTTTTTTTCCTTTCCTTAAATTAAATTTTTATCCAAACAAAAAAAACTTTTCAATTCCTTAAATTAAAAATTTATCCAAACAAAAAAGTTAATATGTGATGCGTTGCATCAATGCATAGGTAATTACAAGGTTTAGAATTTATTATCTATGAATATTTTTAATCTTTTTATTTTTCTTCTATTTATTTCTTTACTAATTATTTTAGATAATATATCTACATATTTTTTTATGTTATTATACCATTAAAGTTTTGATTTTTTTTTATTATTATTATGATTTAATGCTTGACCGTATAAAGATGTTTTTAATTTACAACAGAAAATGATAATTTATCATGCTAAATAAGTTATTTATTGAAGAGTTTCCGCGTTCAATTAAATATCTTTCAAAAGAATGAAATTAAATTTAGAAATTTTAACATTGATTTGTTCTTGTTAATGTAGATTTGAAATTTTTTGCAGTTATACTTTTCAATTTGAGTGTGATTGATTACACTTTGGAATGACTAATCAAATCCTACTAGCCGTGACCTTTTCTGCGTATTAAGTTGCTCATGCTTTAACAAAATATTATATGCTCATTATTTTTTTCTCCAGGGTCAAGAAAGGCAAAAATGATTACAGAATTAGCAATACCGAGATAGGCATCCAGATTACAGAGTAAATTTTCACATGCTACAATGAGATCAAGAAGGAGATAGGAGATGGGTCTTGGGTAGTTCAATGCAACAACGCAGGCACCTTACCTAATGGAACCTGAGGTTAATCAAGACATTGTTGTTGAAAGGGTCAGCCAAGTGATCCAGAAGGTTCTGGTATGGCCCTACTCCCGTCACAAACCCTTGGATGAAGTAACCCAAGATTGCCAATATAGCCAATCTCCCATTCTTCACCTCTTTCAGCTTCAAATCCTTCAATGACTTCTCATCTTTTCCAAAACCAAGTGGCTTAAAGAGTGGTCCTCCAGGGTATGCTGGCTCTCCAGACCCTCCAAGGTACTTCTCGAATCCCAAGAAATATTGTTTCCCCATGGAACCTGTGTTGGCCCAGTCCTGGAATCTTCTGTGCTCTGCAAATCCCATGAGTGCCATCTCGAACACTAACAAAGTATAAGGATCTACCCGGTAGTTGTATGTTCCTGCTGGCGGGATCACACCAGTTTTAAACCAAGGGAGGGCTGTTTCTGTAGGAATGAGGCCGGCCTTCCCAAGTATTTCAGGGGCAGTGGCACCAACTGCACCCAACATAGCATAACGCTCGTTGATGATCTCACCATAGGCTAGCCATTTGGGCTCGATGAACCCTCCTGGACCATCAGGGTCTAAGAGTCCCAATGGGTCGAATCCGTAGTCACCTCGAAGGCTGTAGAATTGACAGTCAGAAGACTTAAAAAATTATATCATTTGATCCAGATGTCAATGCTAGAGAAAAAGAAGCAGCCTATCGGTACATCTAAATGGTAAGAAAAATCTCAGCTCCGTGGTGAAAAATAGGGATGACGCCATAAATTGCTTTCATCTGTTTAACTTTACCTGCCATAATCCAAGTAAGGTTTTGTTTAGATGCAAACCACAAGGGTCTGTCAGCTCCTTGCCGAAAGTGCCAAATCAACAAAGTTATCAGAACCTATCCTGATTAAAATGACATAACACATGATGATATAAATGGAGATTCTGGGAAGAATGAGACCTTGACCTTAACAGGGGGAGTAGAAGCTGCCCTGACAACAAAAGATACCTTCCTTGAGGACCCAATTGGGGATTGGAGCTGTCTAGCTCCTAAAATCTGCCTAGCATTCGCTACTGAGGAGCTAAGAGATGATGATACAAGCGCTTCCGTTGCCATCTTTGCTTGGATTTTGGGTGTGTGGAAAAATCTGCCAAAAGAATAATCTGGCTCTCCCGCCTTCAACGAAACAAGGCAGGAAATAAGGGCCCATATAAGCCACTATTTGTGGGCTTGAAATCCTTGTGGCTGAGAGCCCAACTTAGTCTTCAGATTAGTTTGTGATCCGGTTGTCCAACGAGGATTTTGCACGTAGATTGATTAACCGGGTAAGAGACATTGCCTTGATGATCATCTACCTGACAGCAGAAACTCCCATGCCACATGGCTGGCTCTCAACCGTTACTCTTTCCTGGTTGGTTCTTAGGACAAGTCTAAAAAAAAAAATCTGAATATTAAAAATATTTATATTTTTTAAAAAGTAAAAGACAAAAATATGCTTACTTGCATTTTGTTTTATAATTGAAATTGAATTTTAAGTAAATGTAAAAATTAAATTGATGTAAAATTATAACTCATGAACATAATTTAATTAAAAATTAAATTGATGTAAAATTAACTCATAACACTAATTGAACTAATCTTTTTAATATTAGTATAGATAAAAGAAAGAGAAAGAAAGAAAGTCAGTCTAAAGTTAATAGCGTCATATTATTTATGGATCCAAAAATTCGAATTAAAATAATGGCTTTGCCCATTTCCAAAATCGACCCAATTTCATATGGTTCAACCCATCAGCCCATTTCCAAAGTTTACAATGGCTTTGCCAACACATTCACGAATCACGAAGCTAAGATGCAGGCAAATCAATTCTTGTGGAAGCATCATCAAAGGAATAAAATGGCACTTGCGGTTTCCGCTAAAGCTTTATTCGCTTAGAGTACTATTAATAAACCAAGATGGATGAGCAAGGTAATGAGCTTTGTCGACGGAATCCAGGGGCGCTGGGTTTACCTGATTCAGAAACGGGGGCCGAGGCCGATGCGTACGAGCACACTTGGGTCTCCGGTCTCCCTTCCGATACCGTCAGCATCAGCGCTGGTCATTATAACTCGCTCGCTATTGATTCTCGCGGTGGACTCTGGGCATCGGGTCGTAACCGGGAGGCCCAGCTGGGTCGTGATCCACTTGCCCCGAGGTCAGTTCAACAGATCGTTTTTTGATTCCTAATTGCATGTTTATTATATTAAAGCTTGGTTAACATTGTTAGAGCAATGGAGTAAAACTTAAAGCTAAATTGTGTGTCTGTATATAGGAATTTACATTCAATCTAATTCTCCAGGGTGATCAATATTTTGATATATTGAATAATTTCAGCCAAAAGACAGATTTCTGGTCCTGGGTTTTCTTTTGAAGAACCTACTTGTTTTGGCATGGTTAGTTATTTGTGAAAGTGTTATTATGGATGCACATTTGGTTGAATGACTTATCTTAATGTGAAATGGTTAATTGTTGATTGATTTTCATTGTGAGCAGAGATTAATGGAACCAAAGAGAGTGGAATGGTTGGATCATGTGAATGTTTGTTCTGCTTTTGCATCTGGTGTTATTTCCGCTGCTATTGGCGAAGATGGTTCTGTGTGGGCATGGGGAAAGTCTAAGCGGGGAAAGCTTGGTCTTGGAAGGGGTATCACTGAGGCTGTCATTCTTCGCAGAGTTGAAGCACTTGCGGGAGAAAACAACGTCAAGGTGGGCGCCTAAATTCTTAAGGTTGATTAATCTAGCCCCACAAGTTCCTTACATTTGCGAGTATGCTTGAGCTTGAGCTTGAGCTTAAAACTTACGTCATCCAATAAGAAGGAAATTCCATGATTGCATTTTCTTTGACAGGTTTCATTTGGTTGGGGGCATGCACTTGTACAGACAGAGGATGGAAAGTTGTTGGGCTGGGGTTATTCAGCCGATGGTAGAATAGGAAAGTTTGCCGAAGCTTTGGAGGCACTCTGCTGGACTCAAATGCAAATATATCTATGAATAACAAACAGTTTTCAGGTTCAGGACTGGATGTTGCTGAACAAATGGTTTTAGAAGGAGTGGAGAAAGAGACATGCCAATCATTTGGGAACCTCGACTGGTTGAAGAACTGCAAGGGGTTGAAGTCAAAGACATTGTATGTGGGCTTTATCATTCCTTGGTTTCTGTGTCGTAAGAAACAGTTTTGTGCAGATTCATGTGCAATGTGCATGTGAAAATGTTGGCATGCATTCTTTGATAATTTTGAGTGTCAAATTTCAGGTAATGGCACTCTTTTGAGCTCTGGAATATGGTCAACTGGGCAGAGTCAAACTGGATTTGGGATCGTAAGTTTGTAACCGGTTGATCTGGGCGTCCATCTCGTGTCTATAGCATCTTGTCTTGGTCATTCGTTGGCCATTTGTGAGGTTGCATCGTCAGTTGATTTAGGTGGTAGAATGAGCATTTTATTGTTCTGACATTCTATTGCTCTGACATCTAAGTGCCAGGTGTGGGTTTGGAGATGTAGTAAGAATGGCCGCCTTGGATTGGGAAGCTCCAGCGATGAAGCTGAGCCAACCCTGCTTGATTTTTGGAAGATTTTGAAGTTCTACCAGCAATGTCTGGTTTTGATCATAACCTGATAGTGATCGCTGAATGATTTTATGTTTAAAATGTGGGAGAAAGTGGGATTTATACAAATGAAGAGTCATTTTATACAACTCAAAGACTAATTGAACAATGTAAATGTAGATTGGCAATTTTATTAAACCCCAAAGTTATTTATTTATCTTTGGCCGTAATTAGATTCAAAAGTTCAAAGCTAACGAAAATTTTTTTTAATAAATTTGTTTAAGGCAAAATTTTCTCTTCATTGGTTGGCTGGGGGCTGGGCTATCTGCTTGGATGAAACGTAGCGTTTTGGTCAGGAGTTGAGTAAACATGGCTTTGGACCAAAAATCAGCCGAAATTAAGAACCGCACCTGCAACGCAATCGTAAAGTCTGCAAGCAGCGGTGTGAAGGGGAGAGAAGCAGAGGAAGAAAAGCAAAGTAGGATGTTGGAAAACCCTACACCAACCGCACCAGATTCCGCCTCTGCAAACAAGCGCCACGCTCCTCCCAATCAACGGTAACTTCAGCTTCTCATCCCTAAAAATCCCCCCTTTCTTTCTTTCTTTCTTTCCGTAATTTATACCTTTTTTTTTTTTTAATTTGCTCAAAATTACAGAAATCGTTCTCTTGGCCGCCGTAAATCTGGAGGTCAGTTTTTTCTTCAATTTACTTGATTGATTATTCCTTTTTATTTCCAGTGAATTTTTTTAGATAAATGAATAAAAAAACAGTGATTTTGATTTTTAGTAATTTGGTAGACTAAGTTGCAATTAAAATCTTGCAGATTGGTTTGATTGGACTAACAATTTTTATGGGAATGATTCAGAGAAGAATCAAGTTGCTACATCGAGAAGTAATCCAGTGGATGCTGGGAACAGTGCCATCGTTCTCAAGGATGACCACCCTCGTCCTGCTTTAATTCCTTTAGAAGGCTGTTCAAGAAGTGATGCTTATCAGCTTTTAAGTAATCGTATGTACTCTCTACACACTTAGTTACTCTGAATGATTGTTGTATACTTTGTTAATAGGTGCTGCCTCTGTTTCTGTGTTCCACCAACTTTGGTTTTATCCTTTGGTGTGTGACGTTAAGAGTCATTGATTGTCTTTCGCCTAGGCCTAATCAATTCATTCAAGACTGTTCCTCGTTGGCTTAGTAGTAAAGGGCAGGAGTAATTGGGATGAGGCTTAGGTTAAATGCCACTTCTTTCCTTCCATCTTTCTTGCTCAAATATGACCCTTGTTAGATAAAAGTTTAACTGGTTTTAAGGATCCATGCATGCAATCATATCACTGATCTGTATTCATTATTTGTCTCTACAAATGCAGGTTGGGCAGCTGCCCTACACCTTTACCATGATACATCAATTGACTTGTCTGGTGAGTGGAAGAACAGGAACTTATAAAATTTCCCATTTTATTATATGTGATTTGATTGGCTTGTTGACCCTTACTGTGCACAAAAACTTGCATATCTTATAGTGGAACATTATTTTCATCATAAAAGTTGCATATTATTTTAGTGATCTGATGAGGTGTGAAAGCTTTATGGTTGGAGAATTGGATTGGAAAGACTGCTATGATTAGTAACAAAGTTCTCCTTATAAAGTAAAGAAGAATGCTCTGAAAAAATTAACAAAGTTCTTTTTATTTACTTTATGCTGATCTGTATTTATTTAGCATCCAAATTCTGTGTAAGTTGAAGTCAGGAAAAAAAATGCAAGTTGTTTAGATATTTATTTCTAAAACTAAGCACCAATAAAATTTAGGCAAAAGGAAGTGTAATTATGGTTGTTTTTGGCTCTTGGCAATTGAATTTTGTAAAATTAAGGCATCCTTATCGAAGTAGCTATTATCAGTTTCTTTTTACTAGATGGTTGAAGTTGGTTGATCTGGCTGAGTGTAGAATAGTGGACTGTAACTGCTAACCATGAAATAATTTCATTGTTGGGCCCATGAAGGGGTGCTGTGTGCTGACAACTAGTGAATACATTAGTTAAGTTGAAGGGATTGGAAGTAGGAGTGAAAAGGTTACCAACATTTCAACATCATCATTGAAGATGTCCAATGAATATGAGATTTTTGGGAGATCAATTTGGGCTATAAGTTAATTTATGCTCTAGCACAAACCAGTAGGAATCGAGCTATGTTAGTGGATAAATCATAGTTTTTCTATGAACTCTGTTGTTAAAATATCTTTAAAGGTTCCTCATTCCAAGCATGAGTTATGAATCTTCTTAAAACGATTCCGCCAGCTCCTACCATTCTGTTTCACTGCCAGTAGGATGTTAAACAAAGCTACCAATGAGCTAAAAGTTACTCTTTCCTTTTAGATTTTATGGTAGTGAGCAGTTTTGTAGTTGTTGCCAGTTGTTTATGGGATTTTGAAAGTGTCATATTAGCATCCTTTGTCAAGCTGTTTTTACTTTATTTGTTTTTCTGTGTTTCCCCTTCTGTCTGACCTTGTTTCAGTTCTTGCATATTGGTGGATAATTTCTTCTGCATTTATTAACTGTGAACTAAAAAAGACCAGACTAGATGGTTATCTAGCATTTAGTGTGGTTTTCCTTGTTTCAGAAAGACCCGTTCTGTACTCTGGAAGTAGTGATTCAGCCTGGAGGAATTTCAGACTCCCCCATCAGGTATTCTTCCCTCCTCCCCTTCCCCACCTTTTCTTCTACCAGCTCTCTTTCCTTATGCATTTGGCTTGTTTTTCCCCAGATGATGTCCCCAACAAACAGTACCGGATCTTTGTCTGGCTCACAGATGGATTTATTGGGTGAACTTCGTTGTGGAATTCGCAATGCCAATGCCAATTCTGACTACTAACAACCAAGTATATCTGATGTTTGTGGATGTGGACTTATGAAGTATTTAAATAGCTCTACGCACAAAGTACCTGTTCTATGTGTTCATTAATTACTCACTACTTGCTTGGGCCATCATGTTATTTACTGTAAAGCATGGTCCAGGCATTTGCGAACAGCCAGGTCCTTGGACATGTAAATTAGATGAATATTTTATGAGCTTTGCTAGCCATACAATGCTCTATTGTTCTTACTTTGAAAGCCTAAAGATATTGTTTTTCTTCTTTTCCTTTTATGAGAAAGGAGAAGGGGAGGGGGAGGATGTTGCCAGCTTTTCCGTGATTGGACTTGTATGGTTTTTGATGAATGCAAATCTCTCTATTAGTAAATGCGAGCTGTTTTGCTTGTAAAACTGAGGATTCCAACCAGAGTGTTTTTGTTAATTCAGAAATTAAAGCTGCAGTGCTATTCTTACCCTTATTTAATTCCAACTTGAGGTTGGAAATGCGGATGGGGAATGTAATTTGTTTTTCTAGCATTGCCTAACATCTAACAGATTCCTGTCTTGTAAATCGTGATAGATAGGTTGATATGGGATATTCGATAAATGGATGTCTGGATCTTGGAATCACGCGGGTCGAAGTTTAAGTTTCGACTCATAATAAGTTGGTATCAGAGCTAATCTTAATAGTTTGATCAACGTCAAGTACCTCAAGGGAGATAAGCAGTGTGGCTTATCTTCGTGGCGAGAGCATCATGAAGATAAGTAGGAGAGAATGTTACGAATTTAAAGATGAGTCTTGAATCTCATCGAATATAAAAGAAAAGTTATTAGGATATATAAGGGTTTACACCATCTCTGTCTTGTAAAGCGTATTTTGTAAGATAAAATTGTGAAGTCAAGAGATCAGAATGGATAATATTTCATAAAGGTGTAAACCGTGATAAATAAATTGATATAAGAAATCGGATAAATGAACTTGTGGATCTTGAAATTGCATGAATCGAAACTTAAGTTTCGACCAGTGACAAATTATAAAACAAAAATATACATTTGGCAATATTTTGTTAAATGAATTGAAAAATTTTATATGTGAGCGTTATTTACCGATATGTATAATTACATGGCATGTTTTAATGCTATATATCATTCTTCCGGACAGGAATAATTCCTTGGGCTGCTAAACGCTTTTCAACCCAAAAGACTACATGTTTTGCTGTAATTTTCTTCTCATCAATTAGGAAGGGCTCGACGGTACTAGCTCCTGAGCCATATGAAGACAATGCAAAACCTTTTGAACCTGTACAATGGGGAAAAAAGTTGATCATATATGCATTAACTGGACCTGATTGTTGTTTCAAATTGCCTAAGTCACAATACCTGTAAGGATTCCATTAGGGAAGAAGGCCCAGAATGAGTAGGAACAGCCCTTCTTCGGGAATGAACCTTCCAACTGTCAAGTTTGAATGGGAAGATTCATAACCATCAGCTGGAGCAAATTCAAATGCCATTTATGGGAAAAATGGATTAGGTGAGAAAAAAACCTTGTTGTCTTGGAAAGAGAGCTCAATTTCAGAGAGGTCATCATGAGCTTCAAGTATTGTTTTCAGTGAAGGTATAACATCCTCCGCCATCAATTCTGGCAGTGGTTTGGCAGGAGCCTTTGCTGCAGGTTTGGGCCTTGCTGGAGCTGCTTTTGGGGCTGCCTTCACTTCCTCCTTTTCACCAGCATTTGCGTCTTTCGTTTCATTCGCGTATGAGGATGATGCTTTTGCTTCAGCGGGACTGGTTGCCTTTGTTTCAGCCATGGCTAATATCAAAATAAACACATTTTTAAGGAAGTGGAAGCTCAAAGATGAGCTTTGGTTCTAGGAAAAAAAAAAGGGATTTTAACATACCGCCAAGAATGGAGAAACCTACCCGAAGGACTAGACGATTCTTGCACAGCAGAACAAGTGACGCATCCACGCGAAATAATTGATTTACTAACCATTTGCTGCAAGGTTTCAGACCAAAGATTCAGCATATACTAGAAGCAAGAGGTTATATCCAGACTATTCAGGTCAAGAGAAAAAAAAAAAAAAAAACATGGCTGAGCTCCCCAGTCCTTCGAACTCGTGAAGTGAAATTTTTGTAGATAGAAATTAATTCTACCAAGGATTCAGATTCATTTCCTTTGCTTTCAGTACATAACTGCTGTTTTTTCTATTTAAAGAGAGGATAATGAAGAAGGTAGGCTGGTTTTGATAGAATGGTTCAAACAGTTGCTTGAATTAACTCATATAAAATTGTAGCATATAATAATCAACTTACCATTGATACCGTGCAGTTGAATAAACAGGAGTTGGCTCTAGAGTTCCAATTAAGATATGAAGAAAACGACGGAAAGCTTGAGAACCCAATTGCTCTTGCTCTTGGTATAGCCATTTTAATAAACCACTGGAACAGGATGTAGCTCTAGCTCCTTTCAGTTTTATTCTTTTGCTACTTTTTGTTCAGCCATCAAACATTTTTGGGTTTCTTGCCTTTTTTATTTTCGTTCTTTACTTGCTTTTATTTTAATTTGAGCCAGAGGCAGAAAAGGTTGCTGAGCTTACAATAAAAGAAGAGAACTGAATAGAAGAAGAGACTTTTCTGATCCACAAGAAGTTTAGGAGAATAAATGCCACCGGTTTCTCAATTTTCCATGTCTGAAAATTTTATTTTTATTTTCATATATTGTGATAGGTGAAAATATAAAAATAAGAGCAAATCGGTGGTCCAACCACAATCCCAACGAGGATGATAGCTATAGTTTTATGGCTCTTTCCCTTTTACCTTATGGAAAAAAACAAAGAGAAAATGGGAAGCAAAATCATTTTTTGATATTTGAGATTAAAATCTAACATTCTATATCAGCACCTCTCTTTTTTCTGGTTGCCATTGCGTAGAAGCGGATGACTGCATAAAGAAACGAAAATTTTAACTGTATACCAAACTCTGGGGAAAATGTGACGAGTAGCCGCTTCCCTACCCAGCAATCAACTTAAGTTGGTTCCAAAAACCAGAGTTAAAAGAAGAGGACAAATGATTTCTTTTCTTGGCAATAAATAACAAAAAAAAGAGTTGGTTTAATATTACAATATCCGCATATAGCAGCCACAAAACAAAGTACAGCAAATACAGAAATGGTTTTTTATCATGACAAATAAATGCACTTAGTATTAATAATTTCCTTAAGCAGTGAATTCTCCTTGGTAAAACCTCGATGCATGGCATCACCACACCTGAGTTGAATACAACATTGAATCATTTAGAGAAATGTTAAAAAAAAAAAAAGATTCTAGATATGCTACACCAAGTTTACATTCTAGGAAAAAAAAAAAATGAACATACCTATCATGAAGACGCCTGCAGTTGCGGATAACATGGATGTTGTACAACCTTAAGAACAAAGCTGTCCAGCAACAGATGGCAGAAAAGGCAATCTCCAAACCCAGTTCGATATTAGAATGTTGCTTGACTTGGTTCATGAACACTTCACTCTTTTTCTCAATGGGATGGAATTGCTGGATAATCCATTCTGTTTAAATTTTTGAACCATTGAGTATACCTGCATTGAGAAAACAATAAGATGGAAGCAGATTGATGACAACAATAAGCGGAAACTAGACCGGACGAATATATTGGCAGTGACAGAACAGCAGAAAAACTTTAAGCTTCAGAGTGTCCAAGAAAATATCCAAGAAAATATAATTAAAGGAAAATCGCTCTTTGAAGAAAAAAGTGTGTTTCCTGACAAGAGAAAGTTTGGGATAGAATGGAGTTTTGCACTAATGATTCTTAAATTTTTCAAACTTTCTTCTGTTATTCCATTCTAACCAGAGCTTATAGGGATGTCAAAATTTAGAAGCTACTTGGAATATCAGCCATGAAATACAGTCATAACTACAATACCTTCCTTACTGCTGATGTCAACCCCATGTTTGAAACAGCTTCGCAATCCAAAAGTTTCCAGTCCATGGCTTTTTTGTCCTTCTCTTTGAACAAGTCATGCATTCCAACTATGCCAACAGAGAGAAAACAAAGGATACTCGCACTTAACACTAAGAAATATATAAAAAGAACTAAAAACTTTCAAAGACGAATAACTGTCAATTCATATTTATATATATAATCACATTAGATGTGTTTTCTGTTTGAGAGAAAGAGAGAGAGCCTCAAACCTTTAAGATGTAACACCAACAACTCCACATAAATCTTACGGCGAATGTGACTGAAAACATGGACAAATTCCCCAACAAGTTCCCTAGAAATTATGCTACAGTTTTTTAGGGGGTTAAGTCTAAATGACTTCTTCAATAGTTGATCAATTAATTTTCTCTTCACGGATAGGTCAGCTTCTTTATCCAATGTAACAGAAGGGAACTCCCAAAGACCAGCAAGTAAACCCTCGTCTGGCCTTTTTACAAGAAGGAATCTGCTGTCAGATTGGCTTTGTAGTGATATACCTTGGCCTCCAGATATCTCCACAACACAAACAGTAGAAAAATCATTTCTTTGCTTGGCCTTTACCACCTTCATAGGATAATCAGTCACCTTAACTGACTCATCATTTTTCGAATTATAAAATGCACGACATTGGCTTGAAACAGGACATGAAGAGCAGCTTGGGTTCAATGCGGTGCATAAAGTTGCACCCAGTTCCATCAGAGATTGGTTGAAATCCCCAGGTCGAGAAGGATCAACAAGTTGAGCTGCTAGTTTCCTGTAACCAGAGATACTTTTAAATGCATAGATAAGAACAGAAGGTGCGATGCACTCATGATCATTACAATCACTTCACTATTTTACTCCCAGACAGGAAATAATTTGCAAAGAATCGAAACAAGAGATTGAGACACTAATAAAGGTCACCAGAGGTTCTTCACAGTAATTTTGTCTTTTGGATTGGCAGAAATAGCTTTTAGTCTGGCAAGCACCCTTACTACATTTCCGTCAACTACAGGCACCACCTGAAATACCAAATATTAAAAAGGTTCCACTTGTGTTATTTCAAAACAGAAAAAAAAAAAAAAACTTGCAGAACCAGATTACCTCTTTGAATGCTATAGAAGCAATTGCTCCTGCTGTATAATCTCCTATTCCTGGAACCTTCCTCAAAGTGGAAACTGTATTTGGAAACTCACTTCCCCCGGAAACAATCATCTTGGCTCCCTAACAATATGAGAATAAAGGAAAAAAAATTGGGCCCTTCAATAAAGATAGAAAAGTATATCCAGGCAATAACTTTTTTAGTCTTTCCTTCAAAAAGAATTATGTTCTTTTCAGGGCAACAGATAGTAACATATTGTTTACACAATCTTTGTCAAATCTGATAAGCTAGCAAATGAATTCCATGATATAACCGAAAGAAAAGAAAAAAAAAATAATGCAAGATAGAATGGATGGTGAACATGGGAAGCAATGAGCATTCACATGACAAAAAGTGGATACTATGCATCAATAAACAATTTGGCCAGAATGATCCACAAATTGAAATCAAATGCACTACAATCATCCTGGACAGAGCCATACATAAAACGTACTAAACTGGGAATCATAATCGCCACCACAATGAATAAATAGTTTTAACATTTCATGACAGCCCTAACCTCCAGAAGAAAACGAGCCCTTCTATAATATCCCAACCCAGCCCACATTTCATTCACCTCCTGCAAAATGTCATGGAAAAAGAAAAGAATTAAACTTCCGTTTAAAACCCAATTACCATAAAGTAAACGTACAAATTGTACTGATCTTAATAGCATTAATAAATATAAAATAAAATAAATTCAAAGCACTGAAGACCTCAAGAGAAGCCTGAGCAAGGTGTTGAAGGGTGGGCCATTTTTGCATCCAACGGTTATAGTAGTCAATAACAGTCTGAACCCTTGTTTGTTGCAGCATCACCTCTGAAACCCATACCCCATATGCACTCTCTTCTTCTTCTTCTTTAACATTTTTGCCATTTCCTGATTGTGTTGTTCTTCTTCTCCAAGGGAGGTCCCTTTGGTTCTTGTCGTACCATTCCAACAACGATGCCCTTATCTTGTAGGTATCTTCTTTGCTAAACAAATCTTCTATGTCTCCTATCACTTCTTCTTCTCGTTTGATTAACTGTCGTCTCTTCGGCTTGTTGCTGTTGTTTGCTTTGTCCTTCCTTGCCATTGGTGAATGAGAGAACAGATTGGGGTTAGTTTTTTTAAAGCAAACCCAGCTGCTGCTGCTGCTGCTGGCTGCCACAGTTTCAAATTCGAATCCGCGGGTTGTCGAGCATAGCAACGCAACCATCCCCAAACCCAACAAACCCAACTCAAGTTGTCATGTGGGGTTTCAGTTTGACCTCTCTAAGACATTCAACCCCGAGCGCGATCCAACGTGTTAAACGGTGATTGGTTTAAGAATCCGATTATCTCGATCATATGCCACAGAGTAACATATCCTCCGATAATAGTGGAGCGGGATCACCCCTGCCTGCAGAGGCTTACGTGGAACACATCCATCCATCCAGTAACGACAAATAATTTCTCGATAATAATTACATGAATACTTACCAAACGTTAAAATATTTAATGTAGTTTTATTTTATTATTGTGCTTAATAATGGAGCAAATTAATTAAATTAAAATATTAATGGGGTGACAAGGATGATTGTGATTTTATCATTTTAATCAATATAAACGTTAAAAAAAACTTTAAAAAATATTCTATGTTTTCGCTTGCTATCTATAAAGATGGAGTCTGGTAAGAACTACTAGATGAAAAGTTCATTAGAAAAAGATAGCATCATTAGAAAAAGATAGCAAACAAAGAAGAAGAAGAAAAAAATGGACGTTGGGTTTCTGGGACTGGGAATAATGGGAAAAGCCATGTCAATGAATTTGCTGAAGAATGGATTCAAAGTCACTGTTTGGAACAGAACTCTTTCTAAGGTGCTTTTCATTACCCTACAAAAAAAATAAACAAATAAATTTTTTTCCCCGGAGTTTACTTTTCTTGGAATATAATTATCATCAGTTGCAGATTGTGTCCATTTTGAGATCTGATTGGTGGGTTGGTGTTTGTTTTTTGTTTTATGTATTGGTTTGAATGATATTTTTGTATATTTTTCTTAAAGAAAAGATGGGAAACTAAATAAGGAAAAAGGAGATAAACTAAATATGATAAAAAAAAATCAAAATTTCAAACTAAAATGATGGATTGATTGTGTTCATTTTCTTGTGACTATCATAATAAAAGTTCTTTTTTTTTTGGTGAAAACATTAGTAGTAGTGTTCAGTTCAGTCCGTTGTTGTATGTTGAATATGGACTGTCTGTTGCTTGATATCAGACTTATTTTTATTACAAATATTTGTGGCATTGAAGTTTTGTAATTGCAGTGTAATGAACTGGTGGCTCATGGTGCCTCAGTTGGACAAACCCCTGCAGAAGTAGTTAAGAAGTGTAAGATCACCATTGCCATTCTGTCTGATCCTGCTGCAGCTCTTTCGGTAAATACAAATTTTGGTGCACATACATTTTGAGTCTCTGACCCCCAATAAACTGTCATTACCACAAAAATGTATTTGGTGATTGCTTAGGTTGTATTCGACAAAGATGGTGTTCTCGAGGAAATTTGTAGCAGTAAGGGTTACATCGACATGTCAACAGTTGATCCAGAGACTTCTTGCAAAATCAGTGAGGTTATCAGACACCCTTTAGTACTTGACTGGTAGTGTTTCTTTAATGTTTCAAAGTTCGAAAGTAAGAGGGTCTTTTGTAGAGATATGGTAATTTTGTGGAACGTCAACATAATAGGCAAATAATGGCATGTTGGCTAAATCATTATGTCAATAAAAATGTCTTTTTAGTATTATATTCTCTTGAGGTCTAAGCATAAACACAGTCTAAGTTTAAACCGTGTTTCTACTTAATCCAAAAAAAAAATCATTTTGTTGCCTGATGCGTGCAAAGATACTGTTGAGTGTTGAAATGGTGTCAAACTGTCAATGTTATGCTACTGTTTTGCTCTCTGATAATGGCTAAGGATATTTTAGAAGACAATGTTTTAAAGTTCCTTGCTGGAAGATTCTAATGAAACAAATTTGATTTACTCTTTGATATTCTCATATTTACTGATTTACCTATCAATGAATGAATTTACTGTTTTCTTACTTCCATCGAATATCTACAGGCAATTACATCAAAAGGTGGTCACTTCCTTGAGGCCCCTGTTTCTGGTAGCAAACAGCCTGCAGAAACCGGTCAATTAGTGATTCTCGCTGCTGGAGAGAAGGTAAATTGGTGGATACATTTACTATTTTGTACTTGTTTGTGTTGATGAATAGGGCACCTGTGTTTACGCTTCCTCTATTTTGTTAGAAATATATTTCAAGATAGTAGAATTATAGAGGGGCCAACTAAAGCAAATTAAATACGCTATTTTATCAAAATCTGTGTGGACTACATAGATGTGCTGTTTTTTTAAATATTATAGTGAGCTTACACAAACTAGTTAAAAGTGAAATGATTCGTTTAATTGCTAATTTTGACTATCTCTGCTAGAGAGGAATGGTTGCAGTTTATGTTTTAAAACATTGTGACTGCCAGGGAATGAAGTAAAATGGCCTTTATCAGTTGAATTATTATCATTTTCTGCCGATTGAGTGAACCCAATTCCTGAAGTTCATGGTATGGTTTGAGCATTTTTTAATGAAAAGAAAAGAGGAATAAATTGATGAGTTTTATATTTAGCTTAACTCAAGAAACATTACATTCCTGCCATTGGAGGTTTCATTTACAATTCCTATTCTACATTAAACATGATTTAGGGCCTTCCTTAAGGATAATGTTGCATAAGCTTCCTTTTTCTCATTTCAGCATATCACTCCATGCTCTAGAATCAAACAGTCAGTAGAACAGACCTTATTTCTGGAAACAAACTCCAGTGTGAATTTTGTGAGTGAAATTGTACAAGCGAGATGTCAGAGTGAGATAAAGGAGACTGAATATTATTGTCTATTGTTCAGAAAATGTGTTACTGATTATTTTCGTGTTGTGATAAAATTTAACCTTTTCCTTAAAATATCCTGCTGAAGCTTCTATCAAGTGACATTTTAGGCTCAACTGAAATGTTCAAGTGACATTTCACGTCCATGATGAAAAAGTAAAGAAAATATAGAGTGGAAGACAATGGACTATATTCATACTTTTTCTTTCAACATTAGTGCTAATATATATGTAGCCTGCAAATTTATCTTCACTTTGGTGTTAACTGCAACATGTCACTGTTTGTAAATTTAGGCATTGTATGAAGAAGCAGTTCCGGTTTTTGATGTCTTGGGAAAGAAGTCTTTCTTCTTGGGACAGATTGGAAATGGAGCAAAAATGAAACTTGTTGTCAACATGATAATGGGCAGGTAATGATTGCTCTTTCTTTCTTTCATTTTTTAACCCAAAAAGGAAAAAAAAACTGAAATAGAGCTAGTATTACTATACCTTTACTATGATTATTATTTGTTGAATAAACAAGTATCATTTTAGTAATGAAAGTCCAAAGTAAAAGTTGCAAGCTCAAAATAAGAAATATTAATATGGCTCTTTGGTCCATGAATAAGTTGGAATGATCAGTTTTGCATGGTTGGTATACCCTATTTTTTGGTGAAAACTTTTCCTATTAGAAATATCAACATACGTCACTAAATTCTTTTTGTAATACAAGTGGGGAAATTATTGGCTTCTAACTTCCATATCTTGGAGCTTGTGTAAAGCGTTCATATTCTGTTCTGCTTTATGTATCCCCTACCTGGGGCAATATGGGCTTCAAAGATAATTATGCACTATAATACAACTATGCTATAAATAAATTAACATGCCTTTTATTATGAATTGACGAATCCATGTTCTTAAAGTCAGGAGATTTATAATAGTTCTTTTTCTCTGCAGTATGATGAATGCATTTTCAGAGGGACTTGTACTGGCTGAGAGAAGTGGACTGAATCCACATAACCTTCTTGATGTACTGGTAAGATTGCAACTGATCAATATTCTGTCAAGTTGTGGCCGTATAGAAACTTGGAGTGACTGAACTACTTTCTGGCAGGACTTGGGTGGAATTGCTAATCCAATGTTCAGAGGAAAAGGACCGGCAATGCTCCAGGACAATTATTCCCCTGCATTTCCCTTGAAACATCAGCAGAAAGATGTGAGGTTGGCTCTTGCCCTGGGCGATGAAAATGCAGTATCAATGCCAGTAGCAGCCGCAGCCAATGAGGTTCTTTTCTTTCAATCTTGCTTGGCCTTCTCCATGCTAAATATGTTGGAAGTTGTTACCCTTTATAAGCTAAAATATCCTGATACGTAAGTGTAATAAATAGATACCTAAGATTAGTAACAGATCAGTTTGATAAATGATGAAAGTTTTTAACTTGTGTCTAAGATTTGTCCAAGTATTATCAGGATGGAATTTACCGGTGCTGATATTGATAGATACCTTAAAATTTTTATGCAACTTAATGTAACATATCAAATTCTGGAAACTTTCTTAGAAGCTCTATGGTGACTAAACTGAAACTCTTTATTCGTTTTTTCTTGTAGGCATTCAAAAAGGCTAGGAACATGGGATTGGGAGACCTTGACTTTTCAGCTGTTGTTGAGACCGTGAAGGTTCTTAAACATTCATCTTGATATCGTGAATGTAATGGCATAAACACAACGTAGGGACCACACTTGGTTAATGATTTAGGGAGTCACAGCTTCATGCTTGGGTTGATGAAACATTCAGTGTTGGTTTGAACCTGTATTTTTATAGCCACTTGAGAGTTGTTACTCAGGGAAGCATCCCCCTTGTGAGATATTTTTCTAGTGAACTCTATTATCACCAAAAGGAACTGGTTTGAAAGTTGATAACATCATGCTAGCAAAATGATCTGTTGTTCTGTTCTTTTTCCAGTTTTTGTAACCAATTGAGAGCACTCAGCCAGCACCAGTACTTAAAACACCAATAATGAATTTCAAGCTACAGCTATATTAAAGGGAAGAAGGAAGGAAGAAGAAAGTGAGGCAAAAAGAAAGGGAAAAACCTAGGGATAACACCATTTTGATAGTCAAAAAAAGTTATCATATGCTTCTGATCTATTTGGCACGCTCGATGTCACGGACTAAGCTTTCTCTCAACAAGCACTAGCCCGCGAGGCACTTGAATGGACGCTTCCACCCAAGTCAGCCCTCAATAGATCGAGATCTGAACAAATAACCATAAACCATGGTTAGTCTCAAGCATTCACAATAAGGCACTATATATCAATATCAATCTCATCCATACACACAACAAGGCACATTCACATCAAGAAAGAAAAGAAACACATCGAGGCAACAATCGGGCATTCAATCGAGGCACATATCATTAAAATTGGGAATCATACATCGGGACCTCCCACCATCACCAGGGCCAGGGGGGCAGCCCATGGTGGGTGGCCTAAGCTCGCATAGCACCCGGTGAGACAGCCCAACAATACCCTGCCGGCTCACCCCCCCCTAAAGAGCCTTAGAGATTTTAGAGCTATGCTACCAGTAACCGTTACAATGTTTGAAATGGGGACATTTTTTCCTAACACAAGGGGTCTACCCGGCCATGGCCCTATACATGGGTGGCTCATGGCAACCTAAGTCCCGGTCATGGCCTTATACAAGGTTGGCTCATGACATCCTCCCCCACCTATTCTAACGACGTCCTCGTCGACTTGCTGGCTTGAAATTCTTCGATCTTCCTTTGAAATCTCTGGAGGTCGTGCTCTCTCTCCCAGCTGGTTTCTTCTAGGCCTAGTCCCTCCCACTTTACTAAGTACTCCCGAACTAGTCTTCGAGATATCTTGGTTTCCCTGTCAGCTAAGATCTCTTGGACTCGACGCTCTGAAGGTGGTTTCATGGTGATGGCGGCTCTGGTTGGCTCTCTTCGACCAGCATCTGTAGGATCTGCATGGAATGGCTTCAAGTTGCTCACATGAAATACTGGGTGCACCTTCATCCACTTTGGAGGGTCGATTTTGTAGGAAGCATTCCCCACCTTGGAAAGGACCCTTACTGGACCTTCGTACTTGCGCACCAATCTACGATCTCTCTTCCTCAAGAACCTGGTTTGTTCAGGGACTAATCGAACAAGAACCAAATCCCCAACTTGAAATTGCTGAGCTCTACGACCCTTGTCTGCCCATTTCTTCATCCGTTTAGACGCTTTCTCTAAGTAGGCTTGTGCGATCTCCGTGTTTAGTTTCCATTCCTTGCTGAGGTTGAATGCTCTGGGATTCTTTCCTCCATATTGTTCCAAGGAAGTGTGGGGTAGCCTTGGTAATTGTCCGGTGATCACCTCAAATGGGCTCTTGTTGGTGGAAGAGCTCTTGTTGGAATTAAAACAGAGTTGAGCAACGTCCAATAATGAGGGCCAGTTCTTTTGGTTGGCGTGGACAAAATGCCTCAAGTATTCCTCTAACAATCCATTGAACCGTTCTGTTTGGCCATCAGTTTGAGGGTGATAGCTCGAGGAGATGTTGAGTTGGGACCCCAAAATCTTGAAAAGTTCTCTCCAAAAGGACCCTGTGAATCTAGGATCTCTATCACTGACAATGTTTTGGGGGAAGCCCCAATACTTGACCACATGTTTGAACAATAGTCGAGCTGTGTCCTCCGCTGTACAGTACTTGAGAGCAGGAATGAATGTGGCATACTTAGAGAACCGATCAATCACCACCAAGATAGCTCCAAGATCGCCAACCTTGGGTAGGCTCGAGATGAAATCGAGGGAGATGCTTTCCCACGGTTTGGTAGGTACCGATAAAGGTTCAAGCATACCTGCAGGTTTCCTCTTCTCGACTTTGTCTTGTTGGCAAATGAGGCAAGTCTTCGTATATTCCATCACATCTTGTCGCATTTGAGGCCAATAATAACCTTGTTTCAATAACGCCAACGTGCGCTGCCAGCCCGGATGTCCCGCCCATGGGGTGTCATGACACTCCCTCATCAGCATCTGTCTCAGACCTCCTGCTCTTGGCACAAAGACTCGAGGTCCCTTGGTCCACAAGACCCCATTTTCTTTCCAGAAATGTTTGGACTTCCCTTCTTCCACTAGCTTCAAAATGGCACAGGCTTGCGGGTCTTTCCCTAAATGGTCTCCAATCAACTTATGGATGTTTGTAGTGGCTCTGCTAGCCACCATTGGGGCCATTCTTCTGAGGGCCGCTAACTCTGGCCGCCTGCTCAAGGCATCCGCCACTTGATTAGTCTTCCCCGCGGTATGCTCAAAATAAAAGTCGAACTCAGCTAAAAATTCCTGCCACCTAGCTTGTTTCGCCGTGAGTCTTGGTTGGGTGAGGAAGTGGCTAACGGTTGTGTTTGTCTGTCCTTCACGACAAAAGTGGGCGCACCCACAAAGTAATGCCGCCAAGGCCTCAAGCAATGAACCAACCCGCAAGGAGCTCTTTCTCCTGGGCTGTGTATTTCCCTTTCAGGCTTCGCTCAGCTTCCCCTTTCGAATGCTACCCCGGGTGATGTTGTGTAAAAGCACACCTCCATAGAAAGATCCGATGCAACTCGTCTGGACTCAAAAAGGCTTTCCCAATATCGGGAGAGCTTAAGATGGGATCCTTCATAAATAAGTATCTTCAATCCTGCAAAGGCCTCCCTGCACTCGTTTCGTCCAAACACTCATTTAAATGTTCCTTCTTCAGTAGCTCCGTGAGGGCCGTGGTCTACGAGAGTACCTTCCACAAACCTTCTATAGTTAGTGTGGCTGAGTCCTCAAAAGGAGCGGAGCTCACTAACATTCTTCGGTATCGTCCACTCTTTGATGGCCCTAGACTTTTTCCATGTCCATTCGGATGTGGCCACGTTCGACAATGTGACCGAGAAAATGGATTTGGGTCTGAGCGAATGCACACTTCTCCCTTTTTACATATAACTGGTGGTCCTGTAACCTTTGAAATACCTGGCGCAGGTGTTCTTGATGTTCTTCCAACGTGGAGCTATACACCACTATATCATCTAAATAAATGACTACAAACTTGTCTAGGTAGTCATGAAACACCTGATTCATCAATGTACAAAATGTGGCAGGAGCATTGGTTAGTCCAAAAGGCATCACAAGGAATTCAAATGCACCATACCGTGTTACACAGGTGGTCTTCGGCTCATCTCCCTCGAGGATTCTGACCTGATGGTATCCCGATCTCAGGTCCAGTTTGGAGAAGTATTTGGCCCCGCTCAATTGATCAAACAAGTCTGCTATGAGCGGGATAGGATATTTGTTTCTTACGGTGACTTTGTTCAAAGCCCTGTAGTCGACACATAAGCGCAAGCTCCCATCATGCTTTTTCTGGAATAGCACTGGCGCTCCGAAAGGAGCCTTTGATGGTCGGATGAACCCGACTTGTAGAAGCTCATCCAACTGTTTTCTCAGCTCGGCCAACTCTGGCGGGGCCATGCGATAGGGGGCTCTAGCAGGGGGTTTTGCCCCTGGGAGTAGCTCAATTTCGTGGTCCACTGCTCGTCGAGGGGGTAGAACCTTGGGCAACATCTCTGGCATCACCTCTTTGAATTCTTCTAACACTTTCTTCACGCCATTGGGTATTGGTTCTACTTTCGACCCTTCTTTGTAGATCGGCATGGCCACAAAAGAGGGTTCCCCTCTCTTTACCCCTTTCTTGAATTGCAAAGCCGAAATCATTTTCTTCTCACTCTTTGGCAAGATATTGGCTGGCACCACACATGGGTGTTCTCCTAAGAACAACAAGCAGCTAGCAGCGGGGATAGGGATCACCTGAGCCAACGTCATGAAGTCCAATCCTAGAACGACATCAAAGTCATCCATGGGGGAGACTGTGAAGTCTACCTTCCCTTCCCATGGCCCAATTGGGTCGTCACACTTTTCGAGCTTCCACTGATTGCAAAGGCTGGCGAATTGACCGCCTTCATTCGCCCACAGTCTTTACCAATCTGAAGACCACACCTTTTTGCTTCTTCTGGTGTGATGAAAGTGTCGGTTGCGCCTGTATCCACCATAGCCTTGGTGGTTTTCCCATTGATCGTCAAGTTCACGTACATCAAGCCTCTGCTTTGCTCTTTCTTTATAGTGTTCAATTGGGTGTGAAGGGCACTGAGGAACCTTATTGAGCCCATCCTGGCTGGCTCCTCTTCAGCTTCTTCAACGCTCTCGGGCACTTTTGCAGACTCTTGGGATGAGGTCCTTAAGGCATTAAGGGCTCCTCGGTGCGGGCACTCAGCCACTCGATGCGGCCCCTTGCAAAGAAAGCAAGCAAGCGGTTGCCTAGGCTTGAAGATCCCTGCGTTGTTTGTCCTAGGCTGGATGCTATCTCGCCCAAAGGACTTCCTGTCTGATCCCCAACTGAAGGGTCGGTCCAACCTAGTTATCTTTCCCCCACTCCCAAGATTAGAGCTACTACCCGGTGGTGGAGGGTTCTTCCGTTTTAACGAACCATCATTAAAATCATGAAGACGTTCCGCTGCAGCCATGGCCGTCGTCACATCTTGCACTCTTTGCCTCTGTAGCTCTGTCCTCGCCCACGGCTTGAGGCCCTCAATAAAATGGAATAACTTGTCCTTTTCGGACATGTCCCTAATATCCAGTATCAGGGTAGAAAAGTTCCTCACGAACTCTCGCACCGTTCCGGTTTGCACCAACTCTCGAAGTCTCCTTCGAGCCATATAATCCACATTCTCCCGGAAAAAACTGGTTTTTCAGTTCACGCTTCAGATCTGTCCAGGTCTTAATCGGGCACTCGTCATCGACAAACTTGGAGCGCCACCACAACTTGGCATCCCCTACGAGATACATCGATGCCATTGTCACCTTGTCTTCCTCTGAACTTGTGTGTACAGCTCGGAAGTATTGTTCCATGTCGAACAGGAAATTCTCAAGTTCCTTAGCATCCCTTGCCCCTCAAAGCACCGAGGCTCCGGTACTTTGGGCCTTTGTCCCCTGTCCGTCGAGCTTGAACTCGAACTGGCCACCGCCATTTGTAGGATGCTCATCTGGGCCCTGAGCTCCTCAAACTCCTTGTGGAGTATGTTCAAGGCATCTCTAGCCTCTTCGCTCACATTGTGGAGAGTATCGGACAACTCCCGCTGGGTTGTCTCGATCTCCCTCACTCGGTCTTTTGTTACCATATGAGTTTTCATTGCGGCCACCGCGGCCTCAAGTTCCTCAATTCTCTGCCGATGATCCGGTCCACCACTTGTGGCCATCTCATCCATTTCTCTAGCACTTCTCAACCGTGCTCTGATACCACGTGTCACGGACTAAGCTTTCTCTCAACAAGCACTAGCCCGCGAGGCACTTGAATGGACGCTTCCACCCAAGTCAGCCCTCAATAGATCGAGATCTGAAACAAATAACCATAAACCATGGTTAGTCTCAAGCATTCACAATAAGGCACTATATATCAATATCAATCTCATCCATACACACAACAAGGCACATTCACATCAAGAAAGAAAAGAAACACATCGAGGCAACAATCGGGCATTCAATCGAGGCACATATCATTAAAATTGGGAATCATACATCGGGACCTCCCACCATCACCAGGGCCAGGGGGGCAGCCCATGGTGGGTGGCCTAAGCTCGCATAGCACCCGGTGAGACAGCCCAACAATACCCTGCCGGCTCACCCCCCCCTAAAGAGCCTTAGAGATTTTAGAGCTATGCTACCAGTAACCGTTACAATGTTTGAAATGGGGACACTTTTCCTAACACAAGGGGTCTACCCGGCCATGGCCCTATACATGGGTGGCTCATGGCAACCTAAGTCCCGGTCATGGCCTTATACAAGGTTGGCTCATGACCGATCACAGGAGAATGTTCTTGACCGATCACAGGAGAATGGAAAAATAAAGAAGCATAACGCTCAGCAAAAGCCTTTCGCCACAAGGCTGTTACCAAATACAAATGCCAAAATTATCGACAGGAATCATTGAAGACCTTAAACAGATTATAAAGAAAAAGAAGCTTAAGCATCTCCTTCAGCTGCATACACTGGAAATACTTTTATTCCTCCATTTGCCATTTTAAAATTGCAAGTTTGCTGTCTACATCGATTAAATGAAATTTCTCAGCTGCTACATTCCTTTTTTCTGCAATGAAGAAAGTAGTAATCATTCAACTGAATTGGGGACACCATGGTATTAACAGTTTTCAACCACAAATTTGATTTTCCTGCATATGCAAGTATCTAACACTGTACAACATCTAAAATAGCTGTGAGTGAAGTAACTTCAAAAAATCAAAATTTAGTCAAAACTCTGCTCTGTATAATCTCATATGTTTTGTGCCTTCATCCTTTGAAATCAAACTTCAAATGCATTGAAATAATGCTCCAATGATCAATAGTCAAAATCACAAGCCATAGCCGGCGGTTCAGTAATGTGCTCCCATCTGTAAAGCCCCAAAGAAGATTGGATTTATTCTTTCGGCGCTCTTGTATCTGAAATGCAAAGAAGCCACATTAATCATCTAAGACGCATGAACACAAGACAATTGCTAATACATGTGGAATGAAAAGGCTTGTACAAGCAATTGAAATCATAAAAATTCTGTATTGCCACCATATGCACATTCCTATTTCTATTTCCCCATTGTAGCTTGAGAATGTCCGAGTATAACTACAAAGAAAGCACAACTGATTTTTTGCACTCACCTCAAAGAAGCATAATTGGTAAAAAAAAGTTATGAAAAGCTCAGATAGTGAATAATTTCCCCTTTTTGTGATCTAAACTTTAGTTCTCAAAATCCTCCCCGCCGATTTGAAAGATGATGTTTGCTATAACAATCAATTTCACATGTTTTGGTCAGAATTAACAAGATATATGATCTATCTAGTCACCCAGGTTGGTTGCCTCACCAAACATTGTCAAAAAGAGATAAGAAAATAAGACATTTAGATACACAGTCCAAATAAACAGCCTCAATTCCAGTCCAAGCCATGCAGTCCTGAAAATTTTTCTTAAGATACAAAATTGAAAAAAATAAGACAGCTATCATCACTTGAGAAGAATAGCGAAGGCACAAATAGAGAGAGAGAGAGAGAGAGAGAGAGAGAGAGTATGAAATAACATTTGAGAACAAACAGATTTTAAAAGATTTCTTATATTTTATAATACATCATCAAGAAAAATTCGTTCAAAATGGGTTTTAAGTGTGCTTATTTGATTGCACCAGATTCCTGTTATGTTAAGATAAAGCAAAAAAACAGGAATATTTTCCTGCCTGAAAGAAATTTTGGGAGAACTAACTAGCAACTAGAACTAACCCTCAAGTTTAATTCTTGAAAACATCGCCAAAGCTAAAACCTAAACTATTAGAAATATTCTCTGCTTACTAAGAAATTGTCATCATCATCAACTAGTGTAAAGAAAGATTTGCGTTTTTTTTTTTTTCTTTTTGCTTTTCAACTTCAATGTCAAGTACTCCTATTTAAGAAATTAAAATGCATAAATACCACATTCCACATATCATAAATGAAATTTTCATTCATGAATACCATAACAACAATAAACAATTCAATAATATTTGCCAGCAATGATCCTCACTATAACTAAAGATCAATCAAGTAACATCGGGTAGCCAAAATAATCCATACAGTGAACAGAAAGAAACAGAATGGCTAACTTTGGTGACTGGAAAACCACACACGTAAAGAAAATTTGTAGATAAAGAAGGAATATACCTGAACATCTGGTCTGATTTTCCAGTTCCTTTTCAGAATGAACTTTCTTCAAATATGGAGCAATAAACTGATCCAACTTAACCAACCAGAGTGCAACTGCAGATGATGTCTCGGGCATGGTTGGAAAGAATGCTATGATTTCTTCAATAGCAGTACAACCTCCTTGTTCAATATGGCAATGATTCAACCAATTCTTATTAATTGCTGCAACAAAATCAGCAACGACCTGCAAACATGATTTGAGATGTCCAATTCCAAAATCACAATTATTTACAATTAACCTCAGTACAAAAATTATCAAATCACATTAAGAACAACTCTAAGTATGGAATTACAAAAAAGAAACCCTACCTGCAAAAGCTCAGACAAAGATGATGTCCGTCGTAGCCGTTTGACCCACAACCTGTGAGCTGACTTCGTCCAAGCACCTATTAAAGCATCTTCAGGCATAACTGACTGCACAAAAAGTAAGGGAAAGAAATTGACACAATGATTAAATAAAAATAATCACATAAGTTTATTTTCTTTCTGAACTATTTACCGATCTAAATGAATTATACACATAATACTGAAGCTTCACATGATATTGCCACAGAAATAAAAGATATACATGACTTCTCATGAAGCAAGATATTTCACTTCTCATGAAATGAATGCAATTTAACAAAGTTTAGCCATAAACTTTTGTATGCAAATTTTAATCTTGAAGTTAAATCAGACAAATGAAACAAACTTAGAAAATTTCATGAAAAAATTATTTATCACTGGTGTTGTCAAAGCTGCAAGATCCATGTTGGGAGCAAGGACCCTTATATTACTCAAGGCAGAATGCATGAAAGAAGAACTTGCCCTAGTTCAGCTAGGATTACAACAACAACAACAACAACAACAAACCAAGCCTTATATCCCATAACTTTGGAATCGACTGTATGAAAGGCCAAAAAATAGAACCATGTTAGGTTGTAGTTTTGAATCTTCTTGCGCCACTTATTTCTATAAAAAACAACCTTCTCATCAACTTCATTAACCCTTATATCATTTCTTATTACTTGCATCCACATCTTTCATGGTCCACCTTAGCTAGGATAAAGGTGGTAATTTTTAATTGACACACTTACATTCATACAAAAAGACCGAAGAAAATTCCATGTATTATATCTAATATGCTTAAAAAATATAATTTGTTAATAACCATTAAACAATTTGCTCCCTTACACAGCTTAATGTGTTCCAAAGGTCAATCATCATAATGCACTATAAGTAATAATCATATTACTAGATCTGTTTCCTGAATTCTACCTTCAACAAAAGGTTGGGCATGGACTACATTATCTACCAAAAAAACCAATGAGACACTTAGGTACATGTTTTATGTGCCTTTCACTTTGAAATAAAGATGCAGCTTGGCACAAAAGGCATGTGCCTGATCAAAAAGTCCTTAGCTGGCAGGTGTGAGATGTTTAGCTGATTTACTCCACACCTTAGTGCCTAGGTGCGCAACTTGACATCACTGCTTATCATTAATATGAGCAAGTGTAGGCAGATAAAAGGAAAATAAAGAAACAAAAAAAAAAAAAAAGGGCAACAAAAAAACAATGGTAAAAGCAAAATGAACATGCATATGCATCCTATGTCATCCAGTAGGGATATATTTAATACAAGCATGTCCCTATGTCATATATATGTCTGAAAATGTAATATACGGGATAGTTTTATACAAAAATAGCAAGGTAGCAGGACAAAAACCAATAAAAGAATGACAGTGCACCTCAATTGCATGGACTGCAGCTTTCAGTGATTGCAACTGTGATGGTAGGACTTTGAACTTTGGAAGCATACTATTGTCTCCTTTCTCTCTGCATGTAGCCACATGAATGGCATACCTTTCTTCTAGATCAAAATCAAGCTCAAATGTAGCATGGCAAATCCGACAATGTTTCTCATCTCTCCAGTACAAATCATGACAACTCTCACATCTGGTAAGCGAATCAAGATAAGAACATTTGCTGTGCTTTACAGCATTAAGGTTCAAGTAAAAGCAATCCCATATCCACACATCAAATTCTTGAAGACGTCTCCACTTTCGGTTTTGTTCTTCTCCCTTCTTTCCAGCTTCAAGAACTATAGCACCAGATGAGGTCAAAGATTCATTCATGGCCACTGTCAAGCTTAGGTTGTCAACATCAGAAACAGGAGACAAACTGTCTTCTCTGCCTACATCCATCTCAGATGAATCAGATGGCATGAATCTGATTCCAGCATCAAATAAATGTCTACTTGACATTTGTTGATAGAGTGAAGCTTCCCGCTTCTCCAAGGATTCAATAAGTAGAGCTTCACGTTTACCCCTGTCATCCAAAACTGCCAACAAGGTCCGCAATGCCTGCATCAGGATTAAGGGATGTACAAATAGTAACAGTTAAAAGTCAGTAGCACAGAACAATAACTTTATCATATTAGACAAGAAAAGAACTCAAAATTTTCTGCCTCTTCAAGTATAAAAAATTAAAAAAAATAAAAAAGAGTAAAGCTTCAATTGTAATGAGAAGCCAAATTTTAACCAACAGTATAACAAACTAATAAAGGGCCATTCATTCTGAAAAACAAAAAAAAAAAAAAAGCTGAGAGGGTTACCTCTTCAGTGTCAATAACTTCCCAATGACCATCTTCAGAAGATTCAAAATAAACCCTCCTATGTCCAGGATCATACGCATTACAAGGGCCCAAGAAAAGCCAATATCTGTTGTACCTACGATCAGAGCCTAAAAATACAGATTGTATTGGGTGTATATCAACTCCAACTTCAGTTTCTTTTGCATCCTTTCTACTGCCCGAACATTTCTCCTTTTCAAAAAATTTTGTAATTGAAGATGAATCAACTGGATGAGAGTCTGAAGATGTGTGTGCTTCTTGTACACCATTCCTTTGTCCACCATAGACCCATGATGGCCTAGGAAAATTCTGTTGGTTTGATGATGATCCCTTTATTTTCGCTCCAGAACCATATTGAGGGATGTTGGCAACACGCACAGCAACAGCTTTACCAGGATTCTAAAGAATTGAAATAATGACTGAAATGAGAGACTAAAAGTCATAACTTCATAGCAGAACAAGAGACATTTGAGCAAGAATGAGATGGAACATGGTACGACAAAGATTACACTATAAAAGATTTTGCCAATAATTTTATCTGTGCAAATACTTACAAACCTCTAAATACTAAAAATGCAGTCAATATTTTGCATTTGATATAAAAGTTCTACTAATCCAAAATAATCATCATATAGATCATCAGTCCTCAAGAAAAAGAAAAAAAAAAGAATCAATTTCAAAAAATGAGTGCCCATGAATGCATCATACCAAACAAGAGTATAAGGGAAACTTTTCAATCTTTCTTTCGTCTTTTTTTATTTTTATTTTTCTTCAATTTAAGGGGGTGAGGAGGTGAAAGGGGGGCGTCAACTTGTGGCCAGATGAAACATGGATTACCTCCATTCTGATACTGGAACCAGAACTAAGAAGATCGATCAAAGCCACTAATGCATTCAACTTCTCTTCAATGCTCAAGTCTGAATATTCACCTTCCATAAGTCCTAGCAACCACACCTCTCCCTGATGGCTTTCATCAATTTCAGTGTAGACTGTCAACATATTATTTTTACTTCTATAATGGTTTTTATGTTTGAGTTTCCTTTGATAGTAATCTCCCAAGTCATACTCAGAATCATCACTGCTGTCATCAGAGTCATCATCAATACTTCCAGAATCCTCATTATCAGAATGACAATTGCTGCCATCCTTTGCAACAGAACTGCGGAGACGATATGCAGATGATGAAATCTTTTCAAATAAAGTAATATCACTTGAGAGAGTTGAACATATTAATTCTTTGAGTTCCTCAGTCGTGCTAGTGAGATTCAATTCAGTAACCTTCCAAAAAAAAAAAAAAAGTTGTGATCACTGAAACAAGGTCATAACAATGACAACAATAATGGTTTCAACTTAGTTGGCTTCAACAAAAGAAAATTTTCATTTTATTTTTTGAAAGTATATTTACCGGTAAAGAGGATGCCAAGTCTGAAACTTTTAGCCCATTATTTCCTCTTTCTGACAAAATTTTGAACAGTACACCCTTTAAACTACCAGGGCATAGGGCATACCTTGCCATGAGGCTCATTTCCTGTATTATAGAAAAGAACATTAAATTTCAAATGAAATATCTCATACATATCCAAAGATATCTTTGGGTCAGCAAAGGAACTTTAAGTAGCATAAAGAACCATCCATTCGGAGTTCCCTAACATAGACCATTAATTCTTTTGACTACAAAGGGGAGTACATCTCCCCATTAAGTGCCACATGGTATTTGATCTCTGTTAGAGGCTCAAAAAGACAATGCTTTTATACATTCACTAACAAAAAACAATGAAAAGAAAAAAGTGCTCCATACAGTTGCATTTGAGAATTTGCCTCTCTAGTTTTGCACCTAGGTGGATTTTGTCTGGGAAAGTGGAGAATTGGCTGTGCAAGGGTACCGAAATGCTGCCGCAGATTTGTTTCTTTCTGTTTGCTTCCTTCTAAATCTAGCTACTATGAGCCATCTAAATCTAATGTTGATTTGTGTGCACTTGCTTGCTGCTGGTAATGCTGGTGTGTGCCCATAAGTGTTATTGGGGCGCTACTCCCTCACTTGTGCATGTTGCTGCAAGGCTTCTTGGAGAATACATATCCTCACTTTTTTGTTTGAATTTTCAGGGCCACTTGGCCTTTGTAGCCTCCTTTTTATAAGAGGTGTGGTCTCACTTCCTTTGCCATTGTTGGAGATCATATGCAGAGAATATGTTGGTCTTTTGTCCTTTCATAAGCAGTGAAATTGTCTTTTTTTTTTGTTTCTCTAACCGAGTGTCGTTTTCATACTTGCACAATTAAATTTCTTTTGTTTTTATGCACACATGCTTTTCCTTTGCCCATTGCTTGCCTTTGGTTTTGGATATTGATTGTGTTGTGGATTTCTTATTTTAGCTTGCATTATGTGTTGTATGGGAATATGAGGGTGTTGCTATTCCTGCTGATTGTAGCAAACATTGAAGTAGAGAAAACCAAAGAATATCAACTGAGTTCCGCTCAAATTTTTTTTTCACACATTCTTTCAGGTTTTTTATTCTAGATTCTTTGTTTGTTTGTGTAATCCATAAATTATAAACCGTGTCCACTTTACTTTACTTTTCTCTGTTCATTTCCTTAAATTGTATACTTCTTTCTCATCTACTTTCCATGACATTTTTTCTATGCCTGTTTGGATATGTGATATAAAAGTGTAATATTCAGTTTTAATATAAAAGCCTCACAGGGAGGCAAGGGGTGAAAGGGATCATGTGACCTTGAAGGGCTTGTAATAGGATTATAAATTTGAGGGCTAATGGGTCAAGAGAAATATTCAAGCTAAATATCTTATCTATTTTTATCTTTAACTGGTTGTGTTGAATTTATCGAACCAGTAAGAGTTTGCTAGTATTCTTTTTGCAACCAATTTCAAGGGCATCAAACTTAGCTCTTGACTAATTTTGCTAGATATGAGAATATTTCTTTCTAATACCAATTCCATTAGTTTGAGGTTCTTTTGCTTTAGGATTTTGTTGGGGTTATATTTGTTGTTTTAAGCTAGCTCCATTCTATACATGACATGTTTTCTGGAATTAGGATGCTTACAATCAAGAGGTATTTGTAAAAATGCCTATTTCGAAGGCCATCATATGTGGGGGTTTACCTATTCAGAAAGCAGGTGATGAGCATGGACAGGCTGCTCTCTTGTGTTATTTGATGGTGCTAGGTCCAACAGATCAGCTGTTGATAAAGAGCAATGTTTCTAAGGTCTTAGGTTATGTGTTTTAACTATTAAGTTTCTGTATCAATTGTACTTTAAATTAATAAAATTTCTTATTACCTTTTAAAAAATGAGAAAAGAACAAGTGAATATGTTGTTAGCATTTCTTTTAGTGACAAGGCCATTGCTTTAATTATTTTTTACTCAGCCAAGTGGTTTAGTCATCTTATCCATTATTTTAACTCGAGTACTCCTTCTATTTCAACTTTAGTCTACAGTGAATATTAGTATATTTCATATCCAGCACCCAACAAACATCATATACAATGCTTAGAATCATTGATTAGAAATAAGTTGCTTAGGATGGCAATTAACCCTGTTACTAAGTCAAATGGCTATGGCTTGGGTCTGATTCAAGTGTCAAATTATTCAGTATGAATGAGACATATGAATACATGTTTTTTCCTTCAATTTTATCCTAGTCCAAATGTCTGACAAATTCCAGGACTTGCCAGTTACCAGTTTCACTTTTTTTTTTTTTGGGAAGCTTGACAGTTTGGCATTAAACTAACCTAAGCTTTTAAAAAAAAATCAAACACTGCAGCACAGAACTGGGCTTCATTAGCTCTTTTATTAAGGGGGTTCTCCAATACAAATACAAACCTCAATCATTTAAAACTAAAATTTAAAAGGGGAAAAAATAAGCACTAAAAATAGTAGGAAGTTAAATAAGGGAAATGAGAGATAAAACAATCAGGAAGGGGAAATTTAACCACAGACACATCATACATATCAGCTATCATTTTAGATTATATAACTGATTCTCCTAAATTTAAGGAGGGAAAAGAAGTTTGAATCTGAGACTAACCATAGTAATACTGAAAAATAATGTACTCATACCTTGCTAAGGGCTTCTCTGCGCAATAGACCTTGTGTTGAACCAAACCCAGCTGCAATTAAAACTTGACGCAATATTTCTGTCCATGTCAGAGGGTTCAAGGATGTCTTCCAGAACTCGACCACAAATTCCTGGTTCTCTACCTGATAAGTTAAAGGACAACAATCATATCCCTACTTTTTAGCAAGGACATAGAACTCCTAAATCCTCTTACAATTCACTACCTCAACATCCTATGATCTTTTGGAAAGGTTATCAACTTCCAAACTAATTTTTACAAAGAGTTAGGTGACATATCCATATATCATTCTAGAAAGCATTTCAATATCAGTGTGTTCAGCAACTGACACAGGCATCTTCCCTTGTTCATTTTTTTTCTTCTTTTGCATATCTATGTACTTGGCTAAACATGTCCCGACTCTGACTTAATGCTTCATTTAAGTTGTGCTTTGCTTTCAGTCATCACACACGAGGAAACAAGACCAGGGTATTAGGCCCAGCCAAATCATTGAATAAACGTCGTTTTAACATATTATCATGTGCAACTTGAACAACAGGCTTAATAAACAGAGAAATAAAAACATCGGAATAACTTATCGTCAAATCAATCTTGATCGATAACCACAAAGTCCTATTTATGTGAAATATAACTCAAGCAACAAACTTTTTAAAACAATGGATCTTCTCTGATAAGTGCTTCATTTTGGATGGATTGATTTTCTAGTCACATAAGCATTCCATCAGACTTCATTTTTTGATGGGTGGAGTCACCGCAGGGAAACATCTTTCAAAGGCACTCTAAATAACATTACTTATGTCAATGGGCAAGCAAAAACCTAAAATATGTTCAACAAGGCTTGCTTATCCTATTCATACCCCAGCAACCAGCAAGACCACCTAAATCATCTGGCAAATAATTAAAACAAATCAGAAAAGGAGGATACTCCAAACAGAACAACACTGGCAATCACACAGACACATAGACACACATGCAAGCATGCATTTATATAAACCTGTACGGCCATTACTCACTGAGTGAAGAAGAGCAAGAAACTTGCAAGGCAAGCTAAAGCGTCGTGAAAGTGCAGCACTCAGCTCCGCTTCCACATCAGACAAAAGAAGCTTGAGAAGGGCCACATGAATTTTCCCAAGTAGCAAGGAATCCTGAGATATGCATGTGTGTGTGTGTGTGTGTGTGTGTGTGTGTGTATAAATGTTTAGAAGGACAAAAACGAGATAAAATAAATATAAGGCAAGTTAACGACTTGATGAAGTATATGGTAAAATAAAGATGAGAGATAACCTTATCATGAAATGCTTGAGCAAACTCATCAAGTGTGAACAAGCATATGTCAAGTGTTACTGAATAGGTATACAGGAAATGGAAAACCTGCAAAAGAGATTTGAACAACACTTAAGCAAGATAATTAAGAGAAATAAAAGAACAGCTGATTTAAAACATGCTCCCACCACTAAATTCCACAAAAAGGGAAAAACAAGAGCTGCCAGAAGCATGCTTCAAGAATAAAAATTCTTTCAGCAAAGTAAGAGCAAGATGTTTACGAATAAAGGAACACAAGAAAAAAGATGAAACAAAGCATATTTCATGTATGACAAATTGGCCTTTGCCAGAACACAGAATGAATAACAACATTAACAAACTTGAGGCGCTACAGACACCTTAAACAGTTTTTTGACAGTTTCTGGAGATGAATCCCAGGGTTGCATACTGAATGGTTGCTTCATCTTAACTGAATTTGGTGGAAACTTAGCCAGCAAATCTGAGAAACCATAAACAAATTCCTTTTAGAACTCCAAAAAAAACATCATACTTATGCACCTGATATAAATGTGAAAATAAGACAGAAAAACTTGCCCAAGTATTCCTAAATATATATCATGACCTACTAAACCAACCTTTGCAAAGGGAGCAACCAAGCACTCCTCTGGTACCAAGATGATCTGAGCATGTTAATGGATTTGTTCCGGCTTGTAACTCCCTCAACTCCAACTCTTCATCATCAACTAGCATTGCAAGTAGATCAAGACATTCATTAGATATACTTCCTTCCAAAGCAAGTTCACATTTTTCTTTGCTTGGTTGCCTATGATTGTCATCTTTGTTAGATTGCACCTGGCATAAAACAAGCAAGTGAACAATAATACAGCAGTCATACAGAAGTTAAGGTAAAATGCAAAAATGTGATAGAAAAGACCATAACTACCTCTCTCCTTTTAATGGAGGGCCTCCTCTTTCCCTGTAGCTTCTTTTCCAACCTTCTCTGTTTCTGGAATCACAAATTACACTCACCAAATTTTCTACATGAAACCATTAAGATAAATCTAGGAAATAATCAACCAACAAGAAGAACCCCTGGGTTTCAGGGAAGATTAGAAAAACAAATCAAATGGTTTTCTAGGAAGATAAAAATAAGAAGTCAACAAAAACTCTTGTGAGTGAAAAAATTGATAACTAACCATTAAAGATACTAATGGTGGCCGTCTTTTGTTCCGAGGTGGTTGCCTTCGCACTGCAAGACTAGATGTTTGAGGAGGAGCAACAATTTGACTATTAGAAAAACCAACACCAGTAGGAAGATCTCCACCCTCAGGGTTCACAACCCTCCAAACTGTCATTAAACCTTTTCCGATACCATGTTTCTTCACTGGGGCACTCCTGTTACCATTGTTTTGATAGTCTATGGTGGTAAGCTCGGGAACCTAAAATACAAGAAGCAAAAATAAAAAGAGGAAACAGAAGACGTAGGAACTGAAGGTGAAAGTCTTGAAAACATTCTTGATACCTTTCTCCTTTTGGTTGCTCCTCTTTGGCACTCTTGATCAGCAGGATGAGAATCTTTAGAACCTACACATAGCAAAAGTATAAGTTTATTTGTATTGAATTACAGTGCGAACAACCACAAATATGGATAAAGCAAAAAATAACAATAATAATAATAACAAAACAATAACAAGCTATGCTATTCCAACCCTTCATTTTTTGTCGAGTACCCTTGTCATACACTTATCCAACATTATTGAACTGGACATGCATATGGAGTCTTGACCTTCTAAATAAGGAAAAACTTAAAAAATTTGAATGCACCCATGGTGGACAAAAACCCATGCCTGAAACTTACTCTCAAGTCCGAGCTATATAAATTAAGATTAAAACAGAAAATAAGAATGACTAAATTTCAAACATTCACTAGTTAGGGATGTATTTCACCTGTTAAATGGAAAACAGTGATGGTGCAAAATTTAACAAGGAAAATTACTTTTTTACATCTCAGGAAATAGCAACCTTGACAAGCTCAATTGATGAGAACCAGAGATAAAATGAGGTTTTCAACAAATTTTTGACAAGCTCAATTAAGGCATCAAATGAGTGATCACCATCATTAAATAGCATCAAATATCCACTAAGACAACAAGTCTACAAACTTCCAGTGGTATACCTTGGCAGTGGCAAAAGGCCTGAGAAGGAAGAGAGTCAAATTCCACACCAAGTGGAGGACCATCCTTCCGAAAAACCTTCTTCAGAATGTACTGTGGAGAAAACAAATCCTGAGGAAGAAGCATTTTCTTCTTTTTCTTGCCAAACCTGTTTTCACTGACTAAAGATGTGCTTTTATATCTCGAACATAGTACATCACCACTGGTTGACCTACTATGAACCAAAAGATCCTGTTCTTTAGGACTATTTCTAGCAGCAGAAATGCCAGTAGCATTCCCTTCTTTAGGAGCAGCAAGTTTTTTCATAGAATGGATAGGTAACATAATTCCATTATCCCTTTTACCCCTTCTCCTGTTCTCAACAAACCATCCCTTGACCTGCTTCAAAGTTAATCCTAAAGCTGCAGCATAGCCTTCCATCTCCCTCTGCGTAGGATAATTTTCATCTGCTTCACATGATAATACAAATAAGAAATAAAAACATAGGGCCATATGGTAATCATATCACTCAGCTGGATCCATGGAAGAAAATTTAACTATTAAAGCCACGTCTGACATGCACTTTGGAAGAAGGTTTAAGCTTAAATTTCAATATATTTTAAGAAATTATCTTAAGTAGGTTCGAAAACAGAAAACTTCAAGTAAAAAACAATACACCGATGAACACAGAAGGTCTCAAATAAAAATAAATCTTTAATACTAAAAGAAAACATCCAGAGCCACATCCACCTTTATAGAAGCTCTCAAGAGCTTGGAGTCGAAGTGATGATTTCCTCTTCATTTCCACCACGTTCTCGTAGCCTTCAAGTCAATAACTCTAACTTAATTCAAATTCCGAAAAGCTGAAAACTCGAGCCATATTACACATACTGCGAATTCCACACAAGAAAGAGCAACCATTCAACAACAGAAAAAATAAGACCAAAATACTCCTCCACCCAACCCAAAAGGATTAAATTTAAAGGGATTCCATCAGCAATGGCAGGTGCTTACTACTGAGTTCTATCACAATAATAAAAAAAAAAAAAAACCAAGTAAAAGAACAAATGGAAGATTGTTAACAGATATCATCACCATCAATTAAATCAGAAAAAAAAAAAAGCAACCATTTCCCTGGAAACAAATTAGCTTCCCATTTGTTGTTCAGAGCAAAGATAGTCCCCAAGATTTGAGTTTCTCTCAAAGAATCACAGATAGAAGAGAGAACAGTGAAGTACAAAAGCCCAAATGAGTCAACCAGTAGAATTTCAGATAATAAACATAAAATTAAACACATCAAGCGGCGGTTAAGTAAGTGAGAGAAGAATTAGAAGAAGATGACAGGAAACACTTACTTAGTGGACAGAAAATTAGATAGAGAGATGAAGTTCAGAAGAAGAAGAAGAAAGAAATGGTGAGGGGGTTGGGTTAAGAGCTGACAGTTTCAAAGATTTTAGAAAAAGCCAGTAGGGTTTTGGGTTTTATCATCTTTTCTTTTTCTTTTTTTTAATTTGCTCATTTTTGTGGGCTGAATTTTTAATTTTTACGCTTTTCTTTTCATAAAAATATCTGTTCAATTCGCAACGCTTTTCTTTTCATAAAAATATCTTTTCATTCGCAATCTCTCTCCATCTGGCTTGTTCACTCCCTGTTATTTCTCAAATCCTAGCGGCCAACCAAGAACCAACTAACAGCCGAGGCCTGTGGTCCGTACATATTAAGTTTGGGCGAACCCAGGCCCGGACCCAAACTGTTAAACCCACCTCCAAGGCGCCAATTAATATGGGTTCTTCAGCAGAAACCGTCTTATCTTCTTCTGTTCTTCACAACAATTTTTGCCGATTGAAACGAAGTCTCCCTCGTTCTCTCTCTGCTCCAAAATTTGGCTGGCCTTTTCGGTTTCCTCTTGGACCCTCTTCGAGGTAGCACAAAACCACACCGAAAATGGAAAATAATTGCTCAACAACCAAACGACCTTCCCTCAAAACCCATCCCCGTTTCAACAATTACTCCTTTTGGAAAGACAAGGTTTGTCTCACTTTCTAACAAATAATTATGGGTTTTCAGTTGTCTCATAATGTTTTTTTTTTTTGTGCCAAGATTTCTGATTTGTTCCCTTTTCCTTTTGTTTTAGTTTTTTAAATACTTCATGAAAGATATTCTGTTGAAAAGTTGAAATTGATGAGTATTGTTTAAATTGCTGATGAAGTGTAGTTGAGAGAAAATTGTTACAAAAGGGTACGAGAAGACCGGTCTCTTCTGCTTTGGAAAATGAGGTTGCCTGCGCCCCAATCTCTTAATCAGAAGGTTCTCTATTTTCATTCAAATGCACCACTTTTATTTTCTATTTTCTATATCTTTCTCTATTGAAGTTATCTACACAAATTAGATGCTTGTAATTACCTTGGGTTCCAATATATGCCCATATCTTTATTGCTTTTCGACATGGGTATGGAAAAGTCCCCCTTTGCTGCATATCAGGCTAACCTGAACTTTGAATGTAACTTTAGGTTCCTAGTTATTAGAGAATCTTTATGTTATCAAGTTTTCTGATCCTTGCATTTGTACTTGTCAGCTTCCTTTGATAAAAAAGCCTGGAAAAGTTTGCTTTTACACATTCTTTTGGTTCGTATAATATTTGTGGGCATTTTGTACTCGGGTGGTTTTTTTCTTGGTTTGCTATATTTCTGTTTCTCTTGAGTTAAGTCCATGCTGTGGGTTTACTAGTACATCACTTATTTATTTATGTTTTCTGGTTTCAGGACTCTATCATAGCTGCCTTTGAGGACATAGTTTCCGATGAGCTTAAAAAGATTAAAGACTCATCATTAACTGACTGTTCGGAAAGCTCAAATTCTTTCTCCAAAGCCTCTGATGAATTATGGGAATACAATGGCCTTCAAGATGCATATCAAGGTGAATGCGAAGAGATATTGTTAGAAATGCAAAGAATTTTTTACGAGGATCACATGACAGAACCAGCAGGAAAAGGTAATAAACAATCACACTCTTAAACAAACAGGTTCAGGGTTGTTCAGAGAAGAAGGGAGCAGAGGGACAATTTTATACCAATTACAATTTACATACCACTGAAAGTTTTGCTTGCTTATATGTTAGATTTCTGTTCTGCTACATATAGCATTATATTCCTCCACCTCATTATTACTGTTTCTGATTTTTGCAAAGACATCATATGTTTATTCTTGTCTACTGTGAGTGGGTGAATGATCATGCAGATGCATGAATTAGGAGGTTATATTTGGAGAAGTCATACTTTTTGAGTTTAAATGTTTAACCTAGTTCCTTGCAGAAGCAGAAGAACCCATCGTATCTTGGGAAGATGAAGAAGATGAGTACTTGGCTCGTGCAGTTTATGAGCATATGCAACTGAATGATGAGCAGGTGCAGTAATAAACTTTTGGTGTTAATTTTTCTAGATAAGTGGTGATTTGCAGGTGTGATAAATGTTTTTCCAGGCACCATGTAGTGATTACTTACAAGAAACTTCTATAGTAGTTACGTTGTAGTATTTGGTTCTTATATGAGAGAGTTTCTAGCATTTTCAAATGTCAATTTTCAGCACTTTGTGCCAAGATTTTGGAAGTGAATGAAATCAACAAGATTTCTTGATGTTTATGTTAGGTGCACAAGCAGATTTGGTGCCCCATCTGTAAGCAAGGAGAGTTGCAACAGAACCATCAACTTATATATTGCACCCTTTGCAAACTTCAGCTTAACAGAGACGATGAGGTTCTCCTGTTTATCTTTTCTTTTTTCATACAATTTTCATCGCATGGCAACCATTTGATTGTTATGACTTTCATTTGCACCATGTGTCACATATTCACATTCTAAAAACTCTTTTCATTTCTGTGGCCAAAATAAAACTCTCTTTATTTCTCAAAAGTTTTCCTAACAATCAATTGCCCAAATATATTTTGCTCTTGTAACCAAATAAATAAATATTTTTCCTTTCTCTATAGTCTGTTTGCTTGCCAAAAAGAAACGAGATATTCAAGGAAAAAAAATGAATAATGAAAGTGTTCATATGGTTTGTCACAATATGCTGATTGTTGCTGATTTTTTCTTTCTCTAAACTCTGTAAGTGTAGTTGCTTGCTAGCTGAGTCTTCGACATTATGTTCTTGCTCATTTCTTCTTGAAATGAATGATTTCCTTTCAAGATTATTTATTAAAAAACATGAGTAAGCAAATCAAACAAGTTCCTTATGAAGTTATTTTGTATGAGTTGTCCACATTCTTGTCTTATTTTCAGGTTAATTTGGATATATTACGGGATCGATTAGCTGAAGCCCATGGTGACCATTTTGATCGAGGTTGCAGATTGAAACCCAAGTTTTGCCTCGAGACTAGATTTGGTTTAACTGCATTGTACATCCTTTGTCACGACTGCGGTACCTTTGAGGTTGTCATATAGCTTCTTTCCTTTTTTGCATACTTAGGGATCAATTACATTTCAGGTTTTCAGGCTTATCCCTTTAAAAGTGTATACATTTTCTGATTGATTTTATTTATTCTCCGTTCCCAAAAACAACAGTTTGTTTTCATTGATTTTATGTACTTCACTCTATTTCTAGTGTTTCGCTTTGATTCTAATTGATTTTACTTTGTCTTGCTTCTGTTTATCTGAATGGTAATTCATTTTTTTCACTCTTTAATTCCCTTGCACAAGAGTTCAAGAAGACCATTGCAACATGAAATTTCTAGTCACATTCGACCATTTTTATAACAAAAAAAGTTCCAACCTTTTTAACAAGAAACAAGTATGCCTTAAGTAAAAAATTTATATATATATGAAACTTCCACCTCGGAGTACCCATCTCATCAATCATACACATCTCAAACTATTGTTTTGATATCAATAGAACAGATTGGAGCTAACTCAACTTATCAAAGCTCTATCGGCCACAAAAGGTGGGGAAACGAAAAACACAAAGAAACAATTACAAAAGAACTTAACACAAAAATCCCCTCATCTCGTGCATATGGGGCGGATGATAGAACCAACCGATTCGCTGAATATCATCTATGCTAAGACGGAGATGCCAATTTTACGTGGGCGTAAGCTGGATGAAGATTAATGTACAGCAACCTGAATAAAAGAAGAGTACTTCACCCTTCGCATACCTTCAAAGCAGGCACCATATGCCATGCTTTAACAGCTGATATAATGAATCATCAAATCGAAGCAGACAACAGCAGCTGATAATAGAATTATGGCAGCTGGAATGCATTCAACTCCAACGCGTAGTTTGCAGAATGATGAATTTTTTGAGTTATGTAATAAATGAATTGAAACTCAGAAAAGCTCCTCTGAATTGAACTTGTTCCAGGCTTCCTATTTAACACAAACAAACAAAATAGTCTGAAAGAAAACGAGATGGAAAGAAATGCAGCGCCAATATGACATTATTATTCCTATCTAAGAAAATGTGACAAATAAAAATGCCAATCAGTACAATGGTGGCTCTAATAGGAAAATGGCACACCAACAATAAAGTGCTTCAAGCAAAACATTTATGAAGTACCTTGAGCAAGTCAAAGACCTTCTCCGCCACATATTTCTGTTGAAGATTGGCACCTTTTTGCTGGACTTTATCAGGATGGATGCAAAGAGTCGCCTTTCTATAAGCCTTTTTAACTGCAGCAGCTGTAATCAAATCCGTCAAAGAAACAGGTTGCCAACCACATTCAGGCCAAAGAACCTAATCATCACAGAACAGGTTCAGGAGACAAATTAGTTAAAACAGAAACCATATCAATTTTCATGAAATTTTTACTATAAGACATTTAAATGAACAAAATGATGAAGAGAAACAACTATGAAAATTTCAGAAGTATCTCTTGTCATCCACTTCTTCAAAATTACAGCAGTGCTCATTATAATAAATTTAACAGTTGGAAGCACAAATTAAACCTTCAGATGAATGTTGGCATATCTAAGTAAATGATGCAGGCACAACAAAGCTCATCCTCAAGCAGTTCAACTTTTGGAAGCACAATTAGCATCCTCAAATAAGTATTTGCACGTGCAAGCACTTCTGAATGTCAAACTGTGATGGAAGTGCTTGCAAGACAGGCAGAAAAAGGAAGAGTTAAAAACGGCATGCTAGAATTTGCATTGCCCTTTTTAAATACAATTAATGCTATAGTCTGCATTATTAGCTGAAAAGACTATGAAATGCTTGATGAAAAGGGTTAACAAGATGTTTATCCTATTTCTAGGATAACAAAATTAAACTAAAATAGAAGGTCAGCATCGCTAAATATAATTTTGCAAAGGATGTCCATGTATTCTACAAGACAGTATATTAAATCCTTACAACAAGTTTGACATCTCTCTACACTGAGTTATCTTAAAGCGGTTCAAGAAACTTTAATGCTTAATAAATAATACCAATACACTGTATGCCACAAAAATAGTTCCTTGACTGGAAGAACAAAATTGCAGGAGCCAGATGGTAAGCAATCATGCAAGGGGAGAAGCATTAAAGACATACTATTATGCTTTGGTATCCTTAATTCTATAAGTCTGCTAAATCAGACAGTCTAAAGATGACAAAGTTGCATCTGGACACTTGAAATTGTCAGTCCAATCTCCTTTTCAGTTTTGAGTTCTACTTAAAATCAGCATCATATTTGCAGTATATCCACTGGACATGACAGTAGTGCAGTGTACATAAAGAGTGTGGCAACTTAAATAAGATGTTAACAGGAAAAGCTTAGAGTTCAATCACAAGGTGTTTCTTATGTTGGAATTCATCTCACTCAGTCTGCCTCCAACAACATATTTCAAAATTTGCCTTAAGTCATCTACTGCATGTACAAAAGATCTCAAAAAAGTAGAATATTAAACAGTGAAATTGATGCAGTAAAATGACAAGTATGCACGATATATTATATAAAAAAAAGAAGAAGAAAAAAGCACAGAAAATGAATTATAGTCTGTTCCTACATAAAATACCATGCAACGGAGAACAAACAAGATGAATGGTAGTAATAAGTAATAACACACATATTGCAGCGTTGACAGCAGAGCACGCAAATTCCCCTCTTTCCCAGCTGCCCATCTCTTGATCTCAACATCTAGTGTTTCAGCAATTCTCTGAAATAAGACCATAGATCAATATTAGACAGACAATAATTAAAAGAATAACTTTTGCAGATGTATGCACGTACAAATAGAAACTTACTCATATACACAAATTTGTAAAATTCCAGACGTATATTCTAATGCAGCATAATGTTTTATTGAAAGTAACTACTTTCAATGCATTATGTGCCATTATACATTCAATTACTTAAAAAAATAGAGAATGGATTCATGGGCCCCTACCTTATAATTTATAATATAATGAAAAGCCAACCAAATCCAAATTAACATGTCATTAGGGTGCAAGGCTAGTTGGGCAGTTTAATATAATTTTAGTTTCTATACTATAGTAATACCGCGGTCCTAACTCGTATCAGTGGTGATGCTGGGGTTACAAAATCGAGACACAATGTACTGACCAAATTTTAACTTATCATATAGTACCATTATTAGGAGCCTCAACAAAACTATATTATAGGCTTAAATACTCAGTTATCCTTTTGTCTCACATAAGTTTTATCCATAAATCAAAGCCACCCATTTCCTTAATATGGTAGAAATGAAATTAAGTTAATGTGTAAACTATGCCAGAGTCAGTTTACAAGTTAACCTTGACCCTAACTGAAAGTCGACTGAAGAAAAAGTGAAAAACAAGCAAAAGCAACCTCAGACCTAAATAAAACATGCAACTCATAAAATGCAATGCCATTACGCGAAGTGTATGATAAGAAAGCTGGGGCCAGAGCAAAAATCCTTTATGGTTGGATCCCATTGAAAAGTAAACTCCAACAAAAAGCCACTTAAAAAGAAATGAGGAAAAAGAATAGAATGAACAATGACAACAAGAAAAAGAAAATATGCTGCATCCACTTACATGTCTCTCAGCTTGTTCCCTTTGCACTTGAAGGTCACGTTGATTTTTCTCAGCAAGTGCTTTTGCCTGGATATGCAAACTCAATATGTAAACCAGGGCTGGCAAGCAGCTTATAACTGGAAAGAAGAGCAAAGACAAATGAAATCATGTAACACATAATACATACCGCACGCTCCTGAGTGCGTTGGTGGCGTTCCAACCTGGCTCTTCGCCTTTCTTCAGTTTCCCCTTCAACCTCTTGGAACTCTCCAGATGAAGATGCAGCAGCTTTAGAAAGCAGTTTAGTCAGTTATCAACTATGGAGAAGAACAAAAATGATAATAAAAACTGACAAAGATCATTACATCTCAAATTTGAAAGTACCTCCAAAAATAGAACTGAGATCATCAACAATATTTGCAGATGAAGAAGCTTTCCTCATGCTAGACGAGGATCCAACAGATGTTCTCCTAGCCACTTCAGGCCCTACCTTGTTTTGTCCATCAAACATGGGCTCCTGCAAGAGTAAAACATCAAGTTAGAAACCAGACAAGCTGACACTACAGTGTAAATCAGAAGATGAATACGGTAAGACAGCCTTAGATTCTTACGGAAGAGCTAGCTCTTGGCCCTGGTGCACTGCTTGGTCGAGAACCCATACTAAAAAAGGATTCAAGATCATTGTCATTCTTTTGCTGGCTTGCCCTTGCAGCAGCAGCCCTTTCTTGAGCCTCAGCAGCTGCCCTTTCTCGAGCCTCTGCAGCTGCCCTCTCCACAGCAGCTCTTTCTGCTCTAAGCCTTGCTTCAGCTTCAGCTTTTGCTGTTGCAGTCCTCTCCCGTGCTTCCCTTTCTCTCGCTTCTGCAGCAGCTCTTTCAGCTCTTTCTCTTGCCTCAGCTGCTGCCCTTTCACGAGCTTCAGCTTGTACTCTCTGCACTGCAGCCCTTTCTGCACGTTCTCGAGCTTCAGCAGCTGCCTTTTCAACAGCAGCCCTTTCAGCTCTTGCACGAGCTTCAGTTGCTACTCTTTCACGTGCTTCTCTAGCAGCCCTTTCAACAACTTGTCTGGCCATTTCCCTTTCCCTCTCCATCTCCCTAACTCGCTCCCTCTCTTTCTCAAGCCTTCTTTGTGCTCTCTCCTTCTCCTCCCTTTCCCTCTCCAATTCACGTCTCTTTTGCTCTCTCTCCTTCTCCTCCCTTTCCCTCTCCAATTCACGTCTCATTTGCTCTCTCTCTTCCTCCTCCCTTTCCCTTTGTTGCCTCTCACGCTCCAGTCTCTCTTGCTTTTCTCTAACTTCTCTGTCCAAAGCATCTTGTTGCATAGTTCTCTCGTCCTTATCCATTTGACCAGTTTCTTTATTTCTAGCAGTTTTTAAATTCTCTCTCTCCCTCATTTCCTTAGCATGCCTAAATTTAGCCTCTGCTCTATCCATTGCCTCTTTCATGGCAGCAGCAGAAGCAGCAGCAACAGAATTTGTCTCAAAATCATCACCAGGAAAAACTTCAACCTGTTCAACATTATTTCGGGCCCTACCCATTGCAAAATCTTCAAGTTCATCAATTTGAGATGTAATGGAGCTTCTTGCTGGGGCACGAGCTGACTGAGGGCTGTGTGAGAACTGAGTTGAATTTTGGAAGGAAGAAAAATCATTGACCTTCTTTTTTGCATTTATGGAAGAAAATGAGCCTGTATGTGCCTTTGAAACTCGTGGTGGTCTAGGAGGCGGGGGTCTGGAAGGGGGTGGAGCGCTAGTAGGTTGGGTAAAGAGAGGAATCTCTGATACGGTAAGCCACACATCATCAGATGCGTCGAAGTTCTCCTCAGATCTTGGAGTTGTATTTACCTGGGAACTAGTCTCATTAGAACTAACATTTGAGTAAGGAGGAGGACTAGTAGTTCGACCAACTGAGCTATGAAAATCAGTAGAAATACTGGGCATGTCAAACACAGTTTGATGAGATTCCGGAATATTGTCCATAGAAGGCATCCTCTTCTTAGTGTGGTGCTCATAATCTTCATCACTTGGCTCTTTACTAGCAGGAGTTTGTGGTCCACTTGCAGTTTTTAAAGGGCCTCTATCCTTCCCTCTCTTATTGATCTCAGGTGACAGAGGAGGTACCGATTTCCCAAGACCGTCCAGAGGATCTATATCATCAAATACTCCCCCACTTCCAGATGTACTCTCCACTCTAGACTTCCTAGATCCATTAAGTTTACTTATTTCTTCCAAGGGGTCTGTAAACAACCCTGAGGATGAATCCGCAGGGTCTGATGTTGTTTCTAAGACAACAAAAGGGTCCTCCATCAAATTGGAGCCAGCCTTGCTTGAATTTGAGGCAGGTTTGTGGGACTGACCAGCCTCTGAAATTGACCTGTCCAAAGAATAGAGCATGATATCAGCCAATATTTACATGATATAGCTAAATATCATAAAAACAAGAAGCAAATAAGACTGCATAGGAAAAATATGGAACTGAAAAGAAAGATACTTGATCTCAAGCTTAGAACAAGGCATTTAGAGTCCAAATGTACCATAAATATAACTAGTCATTTTAGTGCGCCTTCTTCACACTTAGGCAAGCACTAAAGTGCACTACAAGTTTCCAATTAAACATAATCACAATTTTAACGACAATAAGATTTTATATCTTTGGTCTATTTGCCTCTGCCATGTCTGGCTAAAATATTTACAACTAAAAACACTGTGTATGATAACACTGATATTCACAAAAGTTTAAAGTAAAAGCCAAGTCCATATTTCTAACTATTAAATGATTTCCAAACTCAAAAAAGTTCATCTTATAAGAAAATCTCAAAGTTTCTGGCAGCATCTATCATCCTATCATCCTAATTCAATTCCAACAACATACTGATACCTATCCAATCCAACCTAACCATTGAATTTAATCTAGGAATTTTGCCACCTTAAATGAGAAAATAGAAATAAACAAAGGAATACAAGCATTCCTCAACCAAGAAAAGAGGTTGTAGAGGCACTAGGTGACCAAAAGAGGATTAATAAAGGTAACTACATCTGAATTCATGTGATATCTATCATAATACATCATATTCATACAAGTGCAGGTATGATTTTACACACACAGTTGGCATCAACTCAAGTTTTTTCAAAATTCCTTAAATCTGATTAGTTACCAGACACCACAAAATACAACTAGTATGGTATTAGTAAACATCAAGATTGAGTCATCTGGAGAAGCTATGGCTTGAGGACTTTTATAAGTTAATTACCAACTTTAACACTATGTCATAGGTACAAAACGAGTATAAACCCTCACAAGGGAGTGGCAGAAAAGCATATACTTCTCATTAGGCAACTAAAAGTACAGCTTTAAGCAGTCAGAACCCTAAACTAATATTCCACAACAGAACTACTTAAGAACTTATTTCCTTCTTTTCTTTTCGCTGGTGGGGGTCGGGGTGGGGATGGGGGTGGCTGGAAGAGATGAGTTCAATGTATCCAATTCCATATGCATGTGAAGTGTTTTGCAATTAAAAATCCTGCACAGGTCTTAGACTAGCCCTCCTGATCCTAAATGTAGGCTTATAAGGTGGTTGCTGCTCCAAATGAGAAGCCCTCAAATGTGCAACTGAATCGATGTGAATATCTTCCCTACTGGCAAAAAAATCCACATATTTTTAGTTTTAAGTCCATTGCAGTATGTCAACATTTTATAGCACAGCAAACTCTATTAGATCAACATTCAGATCAGATCATTCACGGTGTTTATAAACTCCAGCAGAGTGTGGCTTCAATTAAACTAAATATATAAGGAAAAAACTATGGCTACGGAGTAGAGAAACCAGACAATAAAGAGCCATTAATTGATAAATGCATCTAGAATCTCCAAGTCATCTAAGTAAATTTTAGCAAGTAAATTCCCTTCTTTAGTCATTTACCCGAAAATGCCACAAATAAATCACTCAAAACTGTCTAGCATAGAACATTTGAGGACAGACGATTAATTTGTCAATTTTTAGAAAACACAGTACCAGAAAAAACATAACCTTGATTAAAGTCTTACAGAAAACAAACACTAATCTAAACCACCTCCACCTACAAAAACCTGTATTTATTAAGTACATTGCCCCATTTGTATGCTAAAAATGCCAAAACCAAAGCTGCCAAAACCACATACTAGAATTCACATTTAAGCACTTGCGTAAAATATCATAATCGCCAACCCTCTTTAACATGAAAAGCCAGCACGAAAACCTAATATAAGTGTCCGAAATACGATGCAAGTTCAATACATAATATAAAAATAGTATAATATTCATTTATTTCAAAATCAAAACCTTGCAAATAGGAAAATACCTTGCAGATGCAGGAGAGCTACTTCGACCGAAACCAGGAAGCAAATCGTCAAAAAGAGGTGCATCTTTCTCCACTTTCACTCTCTCGCTCTTCGCCATTGTCTCGGTACCCTTCCTCCCCAGATTCCCAAGCAGTTCATCAAACGGCGAGCTGTTCAGCGACTTATGCTTAGGAGGAGGCGGAGACCCCGACAGCGTAAAAACGTCGTCGTACTTACGGGCCGATGTCGAGGAAGAGCTCTTGATCCCAGGCAATCCATCAAAAAGATCGTCATCGTAAACAGGCTTGTCAAAAACCGGGGGCTTCGGGTCCTTGAAAAGGGAGTCGTAATCGAACGACGATGTTTGCTCGGTTGTGGTTCGAGACTCGGAGAAGTATTTGGGGGTTCCACCGTAGAGGTCGTTGAAAATCAGCCCGTCGCGATCTTGATCGTCGAAAATGGAATTGGATGATGATTTGCCGTAGCCAGATGAGGATGTGGTAAACTCTGATCGCAACCCGTATTTCGGACCCGAAGAAGGGTTTCTAAGAGGTGCCATTGGCGCCGACTTACCTTGGGGTTTGATCCCAAAATCTTTGGCCAATAAACCTGGAAAATCATCCATTTCAATTCGGATTCTTGGATCGAACCGGCGGTTTTTATTTCTAATTTCGTCGCGGATTTGCTCAATCGGTGTCGCCCCTAAATTTCTGAGAAAGTTTAGATCTGAGGAGACATAAAGGAAAAGTAACAAAAAGAAAAATTTGGAGGGTGAGGAGTCAATTCTCAAATAATTTGGAGCAAAAAATAATAGAATAACAATAATTTCTATTATTATTTTCGATTTAAAAAAAAAAAAAGGAGGGCGACAAGAAATTGCGTTTTGGCTGCTTTTAGCTTCTTTTTTTTCTTTCTTTCGCTTCTGCTTCTCTTCGTCTTCCCACTCTTTGTTTCTCTACCCGATTCCCAGGCCGTTTTTCGTTTTCTGCTTTTGCAATTTTTTGTTTTTTAAATGGCTTATTAAAAAAGGGAAAATCTATCGCTTTGCTTTTGAAATCTCGTTTTGGTTCTTTAATCTTTAGCCGTGGAAACCCTGAAAATGTTGATATTTCTACAAAGACCTGAAGCAGTTTTAAAAGTTTGTGATTTTACCCCCCATGCCACGATTCCACGAGGCCCGAACGCGAAAACCTCGCAAATTTCAAACATTGCTTATTCTTGATAAAAGAATTATCAACCAAAACCCTTCACTAACACTTTAAGTTCAAAATTAACACCAACACATTATTCACTTAAATACTTAAATTCCATCTAATTACACAATTAATCATAATAAATTAGCAATAAAACTTAAAACTATAGATAAAGGATATATAATCTGAATGCCTTACATAAATACCTACAATGATTATCACTTTGAAATTCTTTATTCTTTCATTTATTTTTAGAATTATCCTATTCTTTGGAAAAAAATCTAATGCTTTTTCTAACTTTCATGCTTTCAAATCAAAAGCTCATATTATTTGTAAAATAATTTGATAAAAATATTTACTATAGTTATATTTATTGATGAAAATATTCATATTATTTATGAATCACTTGCTGAAAAAATAATATTATATTAATTCAATTTAAGTCATTTTTTTATTTTTGGGTTTTGTCTGCCTCTTTCTTTGGATGATTTTAAAACATATTATTTTTATTAACCTTACGCAGATGCCTTCAAGAATTTATTTTAAAAATAGTTTATACAACAATCAAATCCCAAATCATAAAAAAAAACCTTTTTTTTGCACTTATTTATTTAATCAATAAGTTCAACTTTTATGATCGTTAAGTAACACAAATCTGACTATCATGTCATTACACAAAAAGATCGATTCATTATCATAAAATGAGTTCACCTTCGTCAAAAAAATATTTATTCAAATATTTTAATTAATGTCTCATCAATACATCATTTCAAATTAAATCAATTAACTTTTAATTTATTTAAAATTATTAAATACAATATACAATCACTTATACGACCCTTCTCGAACTTCATGTAAATTCATTATCATCAACTATTCTAATCTTGTCATCTTCTTTTTCTCATATATAAAGTAAAAATGAGTTTTAAGTACAATATAAGCCAAATATTATTCTTTTTAAAGTTTCATCAATATTTACTGAGTATCTTATTTATCACTTAAATTGTTGAACGCATTAATAATTTGAGTGTTAAAATACGTCCTGAAAAACTAACTCTAAATGTTCTTTAACCGTATTTTCTTATTGTAAATTCAAACTTTCCCTCATACAATAATCAGACCACTTCCCTCTAACTTACACCTGAAAATATAATCAACACTTATTAACTTAACTAATCTTTGCGGAAACAATAATGTTATTTCGATCTTCTTCCAATTGATTTATTCTTGTGCATGTGGTTTTGCTACTGTGATTGGTGGATTATGGTAGGTGTCCGCAATTTAATTACATTCAAATCTCTTATCGGTGCAAATTTAGCAGAGAAATGACATTTTGAAGGAAAATGAAGAATTTGTATTTCGAATCCCTATTTTCTTATGATTTTTTAAGAGAAAATTTTGATTTTATTGAGTTACTACCGGAATGTTGAAAAGCCATAAATGCCTTAATTTTGATTTTTTTTTGTTGGATATTTAAGCATGTTAAAAATTTTTTCTGATGATGAAAATTAAAATCCACCGTTCCACCGACAAATAAAACCCTAATTTTGATTGGTTTGATGGACAATTGACAAATATCTATCCTTTCCTGCCGGGCAAAAGTACCCCCAGTTTTGGGCGAATCTTGAATTTTCATCCGGTGTTTCAAATTTTCTTTCATTTATTTTTTATTTTTTAAAATTTCTTGATGAATGATCATGTAATTAATTTTTCATTCAACTTGATAATTTAAAATATGATATAATAATATAAAAAATATAAATATATATAAATAGGGAAGTCCCGGAGGACCTGGACTGTATATCCATTTTTTTCACGTTGTCTTGATTCTCAGCCATAGTTGATTAATTACTCTCTCGATACTATTTATGGAAAGTTGAGAAATAAAAAATCATGAAAAGCATTTACTAGAGACTGGCTTAGAAATTTCTTAAAAAGCGTCTATTAATATTTATATCCATCCATTTGTACTATTAATTTTATTATTTTTTCCGCATCAAGACTTATCACATGTCACCTTCTCTTTTTTTTTTTTTTGTTCTATTTTTCTTTTCTTTTTCTTTTTTTTATGTTCTATATTTTTAATGCATAATCTTTATTTTTATTTTTATAATTTTATGATGGAGCCCATTCGATATTATTGACTTTTTTTTAAATTTTAATTCATTTACTTTTCGTTTTTTAATTAAGTAATTTTATAAAAAAAAAAAAACCAATAAATGTGTCTATGTGTTACTTGAATTTAGGTTTTTTTCAGGCCTTTGCTTTTTTAGTTTTTTAATTTATACATTGAATTTAGTTAAAAAATTGCCAATGGAGGTGTCACGTTCCTTTTCTTTTCTTTTTCTTTTTTTATTTTTTTAAAATTAAATAAACTTTGTAAAAAAAATATTAATAAAGATTGGATGATAAAATAATTCATTTTTAATAAATTTTGATCTACTCTATAAGGATGTTTTTTGAATTGAGATTCGATCAAGGTAGGTGATTTTTTTTTTTAAATCGTGGTTAAGTTGAAAACATGTTTAAGATTTTTTCGCTCCAAGTATATAAAAATATTTATTTAATTTTATATTATATTTTATATTAATAACTTTATTTTTAATATATTAATTTAATAAAAATATTACATTTATAAATAATTAAAATGTTATTTATATTAAAAATTTTATATTTTTATAAATATTATATTAATTTAAAATTATTAAATTAATTTCGAATCAAATTAAAGTATATGCCTATTACATATATGTTGGATTGAAGTTAAATATAAAAAAATCTGATGTCGAGTCAATCTTAGGATGAGCTTAAACCCATATCGACCCTTATAGTTATATCTGTAAATGATGGCGGCACGACATCTTCATTGATTTCATTTCTCTTTTGTTCTTCCTTTTATTTTATTTTTTTTTAGTTTTTTAATTTTTAATTAGATAAATTTTATAAAAAAATAAATAAATTATTGGAGATAAGAATGACTCCTCATCCCATACAAGTGATTTTTTTTTCAAATCAAGATTAAGTCAAAGTTGAGATGATTTTTTCTTTTTAAATTGAGTCAAATCAAATGTTGATTTGGGGTTTTTTGTCATGATCATCCAAGAGATATATACAAATATATTTTTATTAATTATTTAATTTTATATTTATATATGTATTATATTAATAAAGTTATTATTTAATAAGTTAATTAAATAAAAATATTATATTTATATATAATTTAAATATAATTTATATTAAAAATAATATTTTTATAAACATTATATTAAATTAAGTTTATTGAATTTATTTTGAATTAAATTAAGCAAAATGTGATTATATATATATATATATATCAATCAAAATCAAATATAAAAATAATAGTACGATATTAGATTTAAATTAGAGTCAAATTAAATTATTAAAAAATAGAGTTGAAACCGATGTGAAAAAAAATTCGTCTTGACCCAACTTATTTTCAACTTTAAGTAAAAATATTTACATAACATCCTAATATAACTCTCTTTCCCTTTTTTTAATTTTTTAGGCATTTTTTCTTTTTTTTTTTAGTTTTATTTTATTTGTTAATTATCAATTTTAATATTTTTAATTACATTTAAAAAGATACATTTTAAAAAATAAATTTGAATTTGATTTATTATATAAGGTATGAAAACAAAATACACACATTATACATAAATTAAGTGATAAATTTTCACTGACCATTACTTTTCATCGGCAAATCCACATGTAGAGTAAGGTGTCCATTGACACCTCCAAAAATTAAAAAATAAAAAAAAAGTTAGAATGAAAATTTCATCTAAATACTAAAAAAAAAATTTTAAAACATTTTTTCATGATGAAATTAATAAATTTGTCAATATATATAATATTATAAATGAGTACCTTAAAAAAAATCTTAAATAAACTATGTAACTTTTATTAAAAATAAAAAAAAATTAACCAACAACATCATGCGAATCTATTTTTAGTATAATGTAATGAAAGCAGAACTGTCAAATTTTTTTCTTATTTTAATGAACTAAGGTTTTTTTTTTTTTTTTTAATGTTGACCCCCAAAGGCAAAAAATTCCTTCTTCCCAGTCCGATCTGTCCCCTCTATCTCAGATGCCGCCCACCCCTTGTGAGTTTGTGAGCAAACATTTTTGGACCATTTCCATTTAACGCCGCCCTGCAATGAAATTCTCTCACCTTTCTGTTTCGCGCACCTATGACATCGTGCAAATGTGTACTAACAACTATGCTTTTAGGTCTGAATCTCCAACATATTGAAAAAAGAATTATAAATATTAAAATTTGAATTTTATCTGTTTCATTAAATCTATTTCTTCCTTGAAAGAAGAAATGAGCTTTAAATTCCGGGCGTCAAGCTCAAAAAGAAGAGGAAAGGAGAGAGCAAAGGATGGTGAGCAAACCGCAAATAGCTAACTACTGAGATCTTTGAATTTATTAACTTATTATATGATCTCCACTCTTCAACCAGAGGACAGCAAGCAGCACATTCTTACATTAGCCAAAAAAAAAGGCACAAATTTTCCTCATTAATTTGCTAATAGGCTGCTATAACTTGCCTAATCATTTCCCCTGTACACAAATTTATAGTCAAAAAATGCCTTAGGGCACCACGTTCTCCAACTATGTTTTATTTTAAAGAATTAATCATTATCAACTGCTTCAGCTTGTAACTCAATATGTAGACCAAATTCATTCCATAAACCAGAAAGGGAAAACAAGAAGACGAAAAAAAAAAAGAATGAAGCGATCCTTCATTTCCATGATCTTCTTCTTCGCCCTGCAAGCGTTATCAGTCCTGCTGGTGAATTCACAACAGTCAGATTCTTGTAGTTCCAGCCTAAAACTCGATGTGCCCTTCGATACAACTTCTCTCCACTGCCTTTCTGTATGGAGCAATCATGATTTCATCCTCAGAGTAAGTCTTGCTTTAACAATTTATATCGTGAATTTGTTGTTAATGTTAGTATATTAATCTTTGTAATTCTACATGTTAAAAACATTCTGCAGTATGTTCAGACCTCATTGACTGTATGGAGTTTTGTTCTCTCGGTGCCTGATACAAATTCCTTTGTCGCAATGGGGTTTTCGAGCAATGGAATGATGGTGGGATCAAGCGCTATGGTTGGCTGGATCTCAGCTGATGGCACAGGAACGGTAAAACAATATTTTCTTGGAGGCCAGATACCAAATCTAGTGTTGCCTGACCAAGGGAACCTGACGATTGTTAGCAATTCTTCCTCCATAACTTCCCAATCCTCGCGTCTGTACATGGCATTTCAGTTGAATACCAGTCAACCCTTGTCACGGGTGATATATTCTGTCGGACAGATTGGGGTGATTCCATCTTCTCCAGGCTATGCTTTAGCTGAACACCGTGACAAAGTCTCCACCATCTTGAATTATGTTACAGGTAAACAAAAGAAATACTTAAAAAACCAACTTTCTCTTTTAGATAATTTATAAAAAAAAAATAAAGAAACGTAAATAAATTACAGATATAACAATTTTTCAGAGGAAATTATTTGGGTTTATGGAATGCAACAGGTACAAGTGCAACAAAGAGCCCACATTCAAGATTAAGGAAGAGCCATGGAGTACTAAATATGCTGAGTTGGGGAATATTGATGATAATTGGAGCAGTAGTTGCTCGTTACTTCAAGCAATGGGATCCAATCTGGTTTTATTCACACGTTGTGATTCAGTCGTGCGCCTTTATACTCGGGCTATCGGGTGTAATATGTGGATTTGTTTTAGAAGATCGTCTCATGGCTGATGTCTCCACCCACAAAGGCCTCGGCATCTTCATTCTTGTGCTGGGATGCCTCCAGGTTTGTCTCTATATAGTCATTCATTTATTTTATTTTTCTTTGTATATGTAATACTTTGTTTTTGTAGATGAAAACACTTCAAAACAACTTTCATATCGAATTAAGTACTCTTTAATTCAAATTCATATGATCCTCTATTAAAGGTATAGAAAAGCGGGGTTTTAACCATTTAGAACATAGAAATAACCTTGTTCATATACTTATAAATTATGTTATGGGCACAAACTGAACACAGGTACATTTTATATACCTGATCAGGGACATTAGAACTCTGTGTCCACATATCTGTCAAATATATATCGAACACGTGTACTTTAAGTGAAATGAACAATTCGAACAAGTATTAGAGGATTTACATATGATAATTAATGTCGTTAATTGATTTTGTTTCATAGGTAACGGCACTTTTTGCAAGGCCAGACAAGGAATCCAAGCTGCGTAAATTCTGGAATTGGTACCATTACTGTGCGGGGAGAATTTTGATTGTATTTGCTATAGCAAATGTCTTTTATGGGATTCATTTGGGAGAAAAGGGAAACGGATGGAATGCTGGGTACGGCGTTGTTATTGCTATATTTTTGTTGGCTTCCTTCATTTTGGAGTTGAAAATGTGGAGGAGAAATTAACATTTTAAATCTTTAACTGCTCTGTAATTTTAATGTATTTTTTTATTATAAAACCAGTTCATAGATCCCTTTTTCTGCCTGTCCAGCTTGGAAGTCGAATATAACGATTTTTTTTATTCAAGGAAATTATTTTTTTCATGTGAAAGACACATGAATGTTGGGTTCTCATGTGTTTAAATGAAACTTGGCTGACAAACTTACAAGGATTAAACCAATCTCCTTAATTTCTGATCACATGATCAACCACTATTTAAGAAGGAACAGAATAATCAAGCTGGCTTACTGCATTTCAAATCAAATCATCAACTTCGTACCAAAAGAAAATCAAATTATATCATCAAGTTTATTGCACCTTTCTGACAGCCATATGCTTTGGAATTTACAATGTCAGATTACTCAATCAGCAGCAGCAAGTGTAGCATTATTTTCATTGGATTTGGCAGCATGGTGGAATAATAAAAATGCAGATAAATGAAACATTTCTAATCAAAGAAAGCTATATGGCAAGCTCATAGTCTATATATATACACAAATAAAGTATCAAATACTGAAATACTGAAAGCTTTTGAGAGTGCCAAGGTCCATCAAAAGAAATTAAACATAGCTTTCTTTCAGTTTTACTTTTCTAAACGTTTTCAGCAATCATCTTGAAACCAACTGCAATGCTAAGCATCCAAAATACATAGGGATGGAGGACAAACCATCTCTGACAAAAACATAATTTGTTCATCATTTTCCATATAAAAAAGCTAGCACAAGAAATTAACTATCCTCAGTTCCTGCAATCGGCCTTTAATCTTCAAACCTGCATTAGCTATTTCCGAGTAGAATGCAAAGTTTATTAGCTTTAATTTTATTGGAAGCAGCTCCGTAAAAAGTAAATGACCATATTATAGAAAGAGATAAAAGCCTGGCGCTGGGGCTGATGCTGTGGTTGGGTTACACATATATAATGTCATGCAGTCCAATTGGCATGCATGACAAAAGAAAAATCTGAGGCTTGTGCACATTAATGACTTACAACATCAAAAAAGCAAACTCCCTTTTGCAGTTGAGTAATTCAATCTGAAATAATGTAAATAGGCACGCCCATAATGTTTACTGTTAGGCACTTCTAGGTGTCAAGCAGATGCAAAAACACTATGCATGGCCCCCTTTGAGCATATGAAATAAAAATTTTATGTTTCTCTGGAAATCAAGTTTAATATAGACATCAATACTATAAATGGTGACCTCATAAAATACTATAAAAATGACAGACAAAAAAAATGGAACACAAAAAAAAAACAAATAAGAGAAAAATAAGAGAAGAAATAAAATTAATTGTTAATATAGATTGTTAAATACCTTTGCTAATATCCATCCCAAAAACAGTTCAAAGTTTTCATGAGCTCCAGGCCAAAACAATCCCCTTAATTCATTAGTAGCCTTGTTATACACTACGGCAACAAAACTGTTATTCCTTAAAGCAGTTTTTACCTGTAATCAATCATGTAACCATGAATTAGAATTTGCTGCTACACTTCAAACAGTAATTCAAGAAAGTTAACCTGCTAGTAATCTCAGCAAATAAAATTTGAGATTAATTTCACCTTAGAGGTATCAAGTTCGAATATTAAAGATAAGGTGAGATTTATGAGATGAAAAAAGATTATCTAACTATCCAGTGCAACATCATGTATACCAAAAAAATATAATGAAGTTCTAGTTTAATGACTGAGTGTTAATTTTACAATAAGTAGTTTTTAATTAATTGAAACAAAGGCCTAGGTTAGTCAACCACATCGACATCATCAATAAATTAGTGCAGATAGTATTATATAAATTAATGCAGTAATAAAATTCATAGAGTCATTGATAGAAGCATTTTATAACAGAATTAATATGTTTGATTGCATACGTACCATTATTATCATTCGTTCCTTCCACCATATTGTTAGTAATTTAGCATGTATGATCAACCCTTGCAAACTATTTTTCAGAAATGAACGGACCTCTTGGTTTTCTACATGGACAGGTAGATCAATGCCGATCCTGTCAAGAATCGCACATCCATCCATAGACAACGCTGAAGGGCAGCTACCTTTGTAGCTAAAGGAGGACAATCTTGGAGACGAAACCACCAGTGTAAAGGCATCCATCTCAGACCCATAAATCCTGGTTACCCTACGCATGTTTACCACTACCAACCGTGGACCAGAAATTTTAATAACCTTATGTTCTCCGGATATAAAACATCCGTCTATGATAAGATTTTCTAAATTCAAACATCTCGAAAAGTGATCGCCAAGTAATGAATAATTTTCAAGGTGGAGAGTTCTCAGGGATATGCTAGAGAGAAGCAGATATGCTGGATGAATTGTACGATCCATATAGATCTCTTGGACAGATTGCGATACAGCATAGCGGATGACTCTGCCTACAAAAGTTTTATCCGATGTGCAGCTATGGAATTTCAGGCTATGGAGATTAGATGGTTCACGTCGAGAGAGGACGTGGAGCACAAATTTCTTGAATGAAGCAAGATACCTGAATGATCGGCTGTCAAAATTGAGGATGGGTAGACAAGTCCAGAGATGGTTCCATCTCTTGGACAACACACATGTTTGGACTGCATTTTTGGTGTTCAGATATGAAAGAATGTGATGGATTAAGCTGTCGGGTAAGTCACTGAGCCGATCCATTTTATTTACCTTGGAAGTTCTGCTCTTCTTCATTGTAGCCATTGCACTATGAAAGGGAAAGCTACCATTAATCTCCTTTTAAAGCTTTAAATATCCCTATAACGATCAAGAAGCGAAGAGTCATTGCCGATTTTTTTTCCGGATTTCCAAGGAATAAAATGGAGGGAAGAATGGAATGTTTAAATGTAAATTACTTAACTCAGCTGTTGATCTTCTTGGAAAAGTGATTGAATTAATGCAATGGACTGATTTGCTAGGCAAAAGGGAAATGCACTAATGGAAGCTCGTAAAACTATAAAGAAAGAGGGAAGAAATGGTGGGGAAGCAGAAGTTATTCAAATTTAATCGATTAAGCCTCTCCACTTTCTCCATATTTATGAAGTATTCAGTAAGATTATAATTTAATTTCTAAACTCCATTCAAAGCGGAATGGATGATTTTGTGATACTTTAACGATTAAAATTTGAGACTCGTTTCAATTTAACTATTAAATTGTTGCCTTTGGGTATTTCTTATCCTTTTATGTAATCACTAACAGGCAATCTTCTGAGTATCCTATCTTGTTTGTTTGATGTTAAACACAAAAATTATTGTGTCAACATTTGTGTAGACAAGTTAAACACGAAATATTTTTTACTTTTGTTAAATTTCTATACAATTTTTTTTTAATTTTAAATCATGTCTTTTTTATACTTATTTTCGTATTGTTTTCGAGTAATATCTAAGATTATCAAATCTAATAATGAACCGTCTAAAGACCAAAGTAGTATACCTTCTACACTTATCTATTTCTGTTGGTGTGTTACTTCAAAATTTTAGGACTAAAAACCCATTTTTCCCCTTTTTTTACCAAATTCCCAACCTTGAATAAAACATAAACAGGAAAAACAGAAAAGTTCAAAAGCGATAGCTACTACAGGAATGAAGCTGTTTCCACTTTCCAGTCCCTGCCGTCAAAAGCCTTTAATGCTCACACCTGCTTTAGTTATCAAGTAAATTGCAAATTAGTTAGTTGCCTTTAACATATAACTGGATTTAAAAGAAATTCAGACACTCCATAACAATATGCATTGTCGTTTTATTGAAAGAGATAATAACAGCCTGTGCATGAATCTTAGCATATCGCTACCAAGCAAAGTTTTGTTTTGTTTTTTTAGTCATATCTGCTGTACAATGTTGATAAATGTAAAAGTACAAAAACTGAGGTATACAAACGCTTAAAAAAATTATATTTGTATAATTTCTTTTGTATCATATATGTATTATTTTGCTTTGATATCAATAAATTTTTGGTGGGGAATCTGGCAAAGGACTAGATGAAATTGTTTAAGTTTTAATCTCTGAAAGATAGGTGTGCTTCATTTTATGATTATTTTAATATTTTACCTGTGCAGCCATGTGAAAAACAGCTGAATATCTCCAAAAGTCTGCATTGATGTTATTGGGGCTTGATTTGATTTCCATCTTAGTTTTCACTTATCATACTTGACTCCATATGTAACTCGTTAGCAAGGTTTGCATGGTGGAATAATAAAAATGCAGACAAATGAAACTTTTCTAATCAAAGAAAGATGCTCGATGGCAATTTCATAGGATATATATACACACAAATAAATGATCTAATAGAATTTTATAATAATGATAGATAAAAAAAAAAGAAAAAGATTAAAAAAATAAAAATCAAATTAATTGTTAATACCTTTGCAAATATCCACTCAAAAAACAGTTCAAAGTTTTCATTAGCTGCCTTCCAACACAAGTTCCTTTCTTCCTTAGTAGCCTCGTTATAGATTATGGCATGTACATCGTTATTCCTTAATGCGGTTTTTATCTGTAATCAATCATGTAACCATGAATTAGAAATTCATAGAGTCATTGATAGAAGCTTTTTATATAAATGTTTGATTGCATGCGTACCATCAATCCTTCCTTCCACTCTATAGTTAGTAATTTAGCATGTAAGATCACCCCTTGCAAAGTATTTTTCAGAAATGTACGGAACTCTTGCTTTTCTTCATGGACAGATAAACCAATGTTGACCCTGTCAAGAATCGAACATCCTTCCATTGACAATGCTGAAGGACAGCTACCCTGGTAGCAAAAGGAGGACAGTCTTGGAGAAGAAACCACAAGTGTATAGGCGTACGTCTCAGACTCATAACCAATCTGAGTTACCCGACTGATGTTCACTGCTACCAACCGTGGACCGGAAATTTTAATCACCTTATGTTCTACAGATATAAAACATCTGTCGATGAACAGATTTTCTAGATTCAAACATCTCGAAAAGTGATCACCAAATAATGAACAATTTTCAAGGTGGAGAGTTCTCAGGGATGTGCTAGAGAGAAGCCGATATGCTGGATGGATTGTACGATCCATATAGATTTCTTGTACAGAATGCGATACAGCATAGCAGATAACTCTGCCTATAAAAGTTTTATCCGATGAGCAGCTATGGAATTTTAGGCTATGGAGATTAGATGGTTCACGTCGAGAGAGGACGTGGAGTACAAATTTTTTGAAGGAAGTAAGATACTTGAATGATTGGCTGTCAAAATTGAGGCTGGGAAGACAAGTCCAGAGATGGCTCCATCTCTTGGACAACACACATGTTTGGACTGCATTTTTGGTGTTCAGAGAGGAAAGAATGTGATGGATTAAACTGTCTGGCAAGTCACTGAGTCGGTCCATTTCATTTTCCTTTGAAGCTCTGCTCTTCTTCATTGTAGCCATTGAACCAAGAAAGAAAAAGCTATTGATAATCTGAGATTGGAAGAGTCATTGCTGATTGTTTTTCTGGATTTCCAAGGAATAAAATGGAAGGGAAGAATGGAATGTTTAAATGTAAATCACTTAAACTCAGCCGATGATCTTCCTGATTGAATTTATGCAATGGGCTGATTTGCTAGGGAAAGGGAAATGCACTAATGGAAGCTCCTAAAACTATGCAGAAAGAGGAATCAGAGGTTATTCATTTTTAATCCATGTGCTGTTGGTCTTCCCACCATTGATGAAGCCTCTTCACTTTCTCCATATTTATGAATTATTCAGTAAGATTATGATTTAATTTCTAATCTCCATTCAAAGGGGAATAGATAAGATAAGCCAACCTGATTTTTTAGATAAACGATTAAAACTTGAGACTCATTTCAATTGGATTTAGAGATAGGAAGAATGTGCCATTTATGACATTAACAAAAATACTTTTAAATTTTTAAAATTAACTCAATTGATTCATATAATTATTTTATAATATCTTACAAATTTAAAGTTCAAATCTTAATATTTTCAATTTCTTTTTGCATTACACTTTGTAAAAAAAAAAAAAAAACCAAAAAACAAAATTTTTTTAATAATGAGTACCACCCTTGATTTGATTGTTTTCTATTGTTCATAATTGACTCTGTCCAAAGATCAAAGGAGTCTACCTTCTACACTTGTCTCTTGCAGTTGGTGTGCTGCTTCAAAGTCCACAACAGCCCATTTTCCCCCTCTTTACCAAATTCCCAAACATTGTATAAAACATAAACAGGAAAAACAGAGAAGTTTAAAAGAGATTGTCTTAAGAAAAATAGAAAACATAATTGATCTTTTAATATGCTAATAAGATGTTCAAGTTTTAGAATATAACTTAAACAAACATCCATTTCACTCCTAGAAAAGATTAGTTCATGCTAGTATTTATATTCCTTTAACTTGAATACTTGTCATTTAATCCTCAATAAACAACCAGCACTTTCCTTCAACTAAAACAAGATTCTTTATATATATTTATATATATATATATATATATTTACACCAACAATCCAATAATTTATTGATAAAATATTAAATTCTTAATTTCAATGTTCAGATATTAAACTCTGAAAGTCTGAAATAACAAAATATATGTTTATTTTTTCAACACGCATCTTCTCTAAATCTTGATGATTAGAACAAACTAACATTATATAGTCTCTCAACCACCGATTTCTGTGACCAAATTTTGATGAGAAATCTCAACTAATGTTTCATTATACAAGCATATTTTACAATGTTTCTTACCTAATAATTCAATTAACAAGACCATTGCTGGCGGATGGAACTCCTTATAAAAACAAAACCATTGACTGCCTTGGTTGCTAAACTAACTACATCAAAAGAAACACACCCTTTTCCTTCTTCTACAATATTCTAATCAGTTTTGTCTCTGAAAATTAGTTATGTCAAGGCAATATCCCGACGGTGGTGATCCAAATGAGTGGTACGGTGATAACAGCGGTGGCAATGGCGTCTCTTCCATAACCATTGTTTGGATCGTGGCAGGAATATTAATAGCTATTCTTGTGCTGTGGATGGCTTATTATGTGGCAAAGAAAGGCAAATGTTTTGGTTTGTGTTTCTCCTGCAAGATAGAGTTTGGCGGCAGCCACTAGAGTGAGTCCAAGTGTTGATATTGATTCTCAACTCAATTTGTTAGAAAAAAAAGTAATGATTTGCAGCATGTAACGTTTCTCAACTGTTATTTTATCTCCTAAATCGCATATATGTCTTTGTTATCGCTTTCGTTTTGGTTTCATTCAAGTTCGTACTTTGAAATTATCATCTCTAATTATCTTAAGAACAACTTCATCATTGATACCTGAAAAAAAAATTTTTCTCAAGCGTATAACTGATCACTTGTTATTACTGAAATATTGAATTTAATGATTCTAAGCTTAATTTATAAACTTCATTAATTTATGTACATATTTATTTTGTATAACCTTTTCATTTTTTTTTCAGAAATTTTGTATAATATTTTTATTTTTATTTTTATTTTTTTTATTTAAAATTATCAAAAATTGAATATCATTAAAATTAAGAATTCAATACTTTATCAATAAACATAAATCATGCAAGGTGTTTGATTAAGTTGACTTTTGCACATATTTAACATGTTCATTCACCCTTTAGTGTGATTTTTTTTAATTTAATGACAAAAATTCTTAAATTTTGCTCTATACATCTTTTTTTCAAATTATGATCTTTTAGTGGATTTAAATCTTTTAGTGGATTCGAACCCAAGTAATACGAATAAACCAGTTATTCATTGAATCTAACAAATGTGAAATTTAATATTATTTTTAGATTTTAAAAATTATTTTGATTGTGAATATAATGTTGATAAATAAGTTTAAATTCAATAAGTAGTTAGTTTAATCGATTAAGATCGTTCTCTTTAACGAAGAGTTCTTAAATTTGAATTTTATCGGTGGTCATTTGTTGAGATCATATCGAATATACAATTTGCAGCCACTTGTCTTAGATTGTCAGGTACGACATATTTTGTCCTGACTTGGGAGATTGAGCAACTTATCAACGTCATATTTTTCTTACCAAAAATAAATAAATAAATAAGTTTAAATTTTTATTTAGTTAAAGAAAACAAAAGGAAAAAAAGACTGTTTTTTTCAATATGAGTATATTTTTCAGTTATAGTTATTCTTTTCTTGTCTTTTCCTTTTGTTTAATACTATAAAAGGTAAGAGTGTGATTATATGTTTGGATTATATAAAAAATTATTTTTTTATATATAATGTTGGCAGTATCTGAATTTAAATCATTAAAATTAAAATAATATTTCATCAATAAATCACTAAATTAAAAAAAAAAAAAAAAGAGTGAGCATTCTACAATTAGAAATCATCCATTTTATAAATCATCAATATAGAACAAAGAATCCAATGCATGCCGCCCAAACTCTAAGTTTTGCTTTGTCTTTTCCATCACTACTTTATCGATCTCTCGTTTCCTGGTTTTAGTCGGCAAAGTTCAGTGTCCACCGGAAGGGACAACCCATCAACTTATCATGCAAAATTTCCAAGTTATATATAGCACGTACGAATCGAACCAAGAAATGAATTGAAATTTCAATAGTTTCTGGCAACGAGAATGTGATTGAAATTGTTGCTGATCTGAAAGCAGAATGTAAGAAATATTGTGTATTGAATTAATTGAAGCGGATGGAGATGCAAGCAATCTCTTTCAATATACACCGCAATAGAAACTGTTTGCATGTGTTGAATGTTCTTGCTAAATCTCGTGTAATTCTTGATTTATGATGGAAATTGGAGCAAATCGTTTAAATAAATCAAAGCCATGCCAAACATGCAATCCTGTACAACTTACCGATTGATAACAGAGTTTTAACATTTTTTTTATGAGAAAGACTGCAACCTAATGATAAAAAAAAATTATAAATATTAAAGTTTGAACATTAAACTTACTAAATATTATATTTTAAAATTAATTATATGAATTAATCGAAATAAATATCAATTTGAGTTTTAACATTTTTTACTGGATCAGTAACAAAGTTTGCGGGCACACAAGGTTCCAAGCAAGCTGATGCAAGAACATTTTGGGCCTGATTGTTGCTCATCCATATCTGAACAACATCTAATGCAAAAAATTTCAGTACCTGTGGTGACTGATATATGTGGCCAATTGAACTGTTCATATCTTTCCATTGAATTAGAACTAGAATTGACTTTCATTGGATGATTATACAGACAGAATTTCCTTCTACATAACTAAATATTCACAAGCTAAACAGACGAATAGTTCCTAAAATTAATCAACTGAAAATAAGATACTCATAAAACATCATGAAATGGAACTTTGTTGCGTTCTAATTTATCAGAAATAGCAGACACTTAGAAAACAATTTTAAATTGACAAAACAACTTGATCAACTGACCAGTTTATTCCTCTTTTTTTCCTTTTTTCTTCTTCTCCTTTTCAGATTTGAATCATTGAGAATTCCTAGCTCGAGACAAATGGTCAGATGTATCAGCAGTAAGCCGTGAATCATGATTTCACCAGATGGGATGACGGAGGAAGGATGGAATTGGCCAGTTCTTCATTTACCTTGACCGGAAGTGGAGGCATTTGTTTCATTACCTCTGGCATGTCATTCAAGCTGCAAAAATCTCTATGAACATTAGAGAATGTGCAGCAGGTATATAATATAAATTGCCCTATGTCCAATTACAATGTGCTATATTATTATTCCCAGATTGAAGAACAAGTTCACAGGCAATACAGGCCACAGACAACATACACATACACACACACACACCTGCAAAAGGAAGTGTCTTAAACATTTTCACTTCCTCAATCCTTAAGACCTTAGCAAATGAAATTTTCTACTAATCAAATGAAACCATTTCAAAGGTCTTTATCCACAATAGCAGGCAACAATAATGAAAATACCTCCACAAATACAGCAGCTTATTTCTTTATGCCAGGAAACGTGCTCCATACTCATCCACATGGAGAAAAAATAATTGTCTTCAAAATTAGTCTCTTGCACACAACAGACCAAAACAAATTTATATGTAGGAAGGAATTTCATTTATGTCATATTTCCCTCAAATTCAGCCATTTGAAACAATGGTCACCGCAGGATCCTAATGACAATGACACATGCATCTAGCCATCAAGACGAAGGGAAGGCTAAGCATTTGACTCACTAATAAATTTTACTTTCAGAATCTTCACATAAATCTGAATATCTTCAGGCATCAGTGGCTGTCAATTTTGTTAAGCAAAAACATATCATGGTCGAGGGTAATCATCATGGATCATAATTAGATAGGCCAAATCTATCCCACCCAAGGATCAGGTGATATAAATTTAACAGCTTACGTGGTGAAAAAAAAAGCTACTCCTTTAATGATGGGTAAAATTTCACAAAGTGCATAATGAGGAAGCAGTGTTCACAGTTATAAACAAAGTAGCCACCAGAAAGATGCTCAGGAGCCAAAACTACCAACCATACCCTCAACAGATAACTTTTCCACATCATTTACCTCACCTTGTCCGGTTCTAGAATCTTTTGTCTTAATTTCACTAATCCAACTTAAAAATTATTTTTAGTTTGCTATTACAACACAATAAATGACCTCCCCCGTAATATGCAAAGAAAAAAAAAAGTCTTGCCATCCTAAGCCATTTTTTCATGTTCATGATTTCCTATGGAGCAAAATGATCAAGTTAATAAACCTGAACCAAAATGATGATGACAGCCATAATAATATTAACAAATATACTGTTACACAGCACATGACAATGAACATTCATAAACTTGCAGTCATGCGATAAAAATGCAACTATGCCCAATAATGTCCTCCATTTAACATTGTTGTTTTTTAAACATATTTCTAATTTGGATATATCAGATAAAGCATAGAGGTAGCAACATACTCATTCAACATGGTAAGGATATTGTCCCGGGTTTTGCATAACAGATTTATATTATCATGTATCTGCATTGAAAAGAAATAATAATAACAATCAATAAAGAAGACATATGTCAGCTAATAGGAAGACAGCAGCTGTCAAAGCTACAACAGTCTGATAACGAGGTCAGCCAATCAAATGATCATAATCATCACAACTTTCATTTTCATACAGCACATTTAGACAGTAAGTTGGCATAATCTTACTAGGGTGCCAAAAAATAAGAGACATACATATTAACTATTGAAGATTCTGAGTTAGAAATGAAAAGTAATGTCTAATAATGGGACATATGCCAGTTGTCCACATAAGAATTGCATACCAACTAAGTATTAGGTCCATTGATAAAGAACTAGAAAGTGCTGGTGCCTTCTTATAAAATTGAATCAAATTGATTTTTTTTCATGCCATTATTTTATCATGTTGCAACTTTCACTCAAAACTAACAGTTACCTGATATAAACCAGTGCATGGAAAAAAATATTTTAATTAAGTTTTAAAGAAACTTAATAGAAAGATTTCAACTCCGATGAATGATAAGGGACTTATTTGACAAGACATAAACTGTATATTTCACCTGGAAAGCTGAAAAATTTGCTGAAATTTGATCAAACATTTGAGCATTTTGTTCAAGCAGCTCTCCTGTCACACCAGCGATGGCTGAAACCACATAATTCAAATTGAAAAGTGTGGAAAAACTAAGAAATAAATCAGTGTGGAAACTGAATGTATATTGAAAAACTGCTCATATATAATTATACAAGAACCTTAGGTTTATATACAACTAACTAAGGGTTAAACTAGGAAACTAAATCTTCTTAAAAAACCAATCCTATAATTGAGGGATTGTCTATCCTAATTTTTTGTCCTTAATTTTAGGGATACAAATGCTTAATTCTAGATATACAAATATAAATATACAGATTACAAGATTACAACCAGCTGTAAATAAGTGTTTTCCCACACTCCCCCTCAAGCTGGTGAATAAGTGTTTTCCATTCCCAGCTTGAAAATAATTTCTTGAAATGTTGCACTGCTGAGACCTCTAGTCAACACATCTGCAAGTTGACCCTTGGTTGATACATAAGGTGTACAAATCAACCCACTGTCTAGTTTCTCCTTTATAAAATGCCGGTCTACTTCAATGTGTTTTGTTCTGTCATGTTGCACAGGATTGTATGCAATGCTTATTGCAGACTTGTTATCACAGTAGAGTCTCATGGGTTCATCCCACTTGATCTTCAAGTCTTCTAGGATACTCTTTAACCATTGTAGTTCACAAATTCCTTGAGCCATTGCTCTGAACTCTGTTTCAGCACTTGATCTTGCCACCACATTCTATTTTTTACTCCTCTAAGTCACAAGATTACCACCTAAGAAAGTGCAGTAGCCTGAGATGGATCTTCTATCAGTTACTGAACCTGCATAATCAACATCTATATAGGCTTCTAAAACTAGCCCCGAATTTCTTTTGAATAAGATACCTCTCCCAGGATTGGCCTTCAAATAGTGCAATATACGGTAGACAGCCTGTAAGTGCACTTCTTTAGGACTATGCATAAATTGACTTACCACACTCACAGCATATGCTATATCAGGTCTAGTATGTGAGAGATAAATGAGTCTTCCAACTAATCTTTGGTACATTTCTCTATTTACAGCAGCATCTTCATTAGCTTCTCCAATTTTATGATTAGAATCTATAGGGGTATTTGCAGGTTTACATGCGAGCTTCCTAATTTCCTTCAGAAGATCCATCACATATTTCTGTTGTGAGATGAAGATATCACGCCGTGAGTGAGCTACTTCAATTCCTAGGAAGTAATTCAATCTCCCTAGCTCTTTTATCTCAAATTCTCTAGCCAAACACTGTTTTAGAGATTCTCTCTCTTTTTCATTATCTCCAGTTACAATTATATCATCAACATACACTAATAGAACTGTGACTCTCCCTGAATCAGAGTGCTTAATAAACAATGTGTGATCTCCTTGACTCTGTTTATATCCCATTGCTAGCATCACTTTGGCAAATCTCCCGAACCAAGCCCTAGGAGACTGTTTAAGGCCATATAAAGCCTTTTTCAACCTGCATACTTTGTTTGCTTCTAAATTACCTCCAAATCCCGGTGGAACCTTCATATATATTTCTTCTTCCAAATCGCCATGTAGAAAAGCATTCTTTATATCAAATTGTTGAAGCTGCCAATTGTAATTTACGGCCAATGATAACAAAATCCTAACTGTATTCATCTTGACAACTGGAGCAAAGGTTTCCTGATAATCCACTTCATAGGTTTGAGTGTAGCCCTTAGCCACTAACCTGGCTATATACCTTTCAACAGTACCATCTGCCTTGTATTTTACAGTGAAAACTCATTTACACCCCACTGGATTTTTTCCTTTAGGCAACTCTACTAGTTCTCATGTCTGTTTTTTCTCTAAACCCTCCATTTCTATTTTCATGGCTTGCCTCCATTTCTCACTGGATAATGCCTCGGATAATGTAGTTGGAACAAAAATAATATTTAAGCTCACAAAAAATTTTTGTAGGATGGTGAGAATTTTTCAAATGACACAAAATTAGAGATTGGATATAGTGGATGCTTAGTACATTCTCTGGTTCCTTTCCTAATGGCAATGGGCAGATCATAATCACTAGTTATAGTTTTAGGAGATTCATGCTCATTTTGAGAAACGGAGTCAAAAACTGTAGTTACCTCATTTCCAGAGTTAAGATCAGGTTCTTGGACTGGCACTGGTTCAGGATCTGAAACTTTTCTTCTTGAGTACACCTATAATTCCTTCATAGAATCAAGAACAATATTATCCTTTGTCACATCTTCTGTATTTGGAATGGGTTCAAACTCAAATTCAGTGTTTGACTTGGGCTCAACAGAAACAGGTTTCAACTCAGAAGAATTAATGGGTGTAAATGTTGAAGAAGGGGACAAATCAAGCAAAACGAAATCTTTATCCTTATCTTCCATGAATGAAGTCTCCCCTAAAGATAAGGTTGAGTAAAAAATGGTTTACTTTCTTCAAAAATGACATCTGCAGACACAAAATTTTTTGGTAAGAGGATGATAGCACTTATATCCTTTTTGAGTTGAGGAATACCCCACAAAAATACACTTAATCGCTCTTGGATCCAACTTTCTCCTGTTATGACTGTGAACATGAACAAATGATGTACAACCAATATCCTAGGTGTGAGATTGTTTGTGGTATTAAAGTTGGGATAAAATTGTGAGAGTAGTTCCATAGGAGTTTTAAATCCCAAAACCCTTGAAGGTAACCTATTTATAATGTGTGTGACAGTGAGAACAACTTTCCCTAATAAGATTTAGTTACATTTGCTTGAAAAAAAAAGGCTCGGGTTGTGGTTAGTAAATGACTGTTTTTCCTCTTGCACTCCATTCTGCTGTGGAGTATTAACACAAGATGAGTCATGGATAATCCCCTCGTTTTGGAAATAGGTGGATAGACTTTGGTTGAAGTAGTCTCTTGCATTATCAACTTAAATATCTTGATTCTCACTCCAAATTGATTTTGGATCATGTTTTGGAAGCTTAAAAATAACTATTCACATCCGATTTGGATTTAAGTAAAAAAAATCCAAGAGACCCTGGTACAATCATCTATGAATGAAACAAACCATCTTGCATCAGAAATATTAAGAATTGTAGAAGGACCCCAAATGTCACTATGAATTAAGTAAAAGGGAATAAAACTTCTTTTGTTACTAAGTGAAAAAAACACACGTCTATGCTTTGCAAGTTCCCAAACATCACAATGAAAATCTTCGACATTTAATCCTTTGAGCAAAGAAAGAAACATGTTTCTCAAGGTTCCAAAAAAAGGATGTCCAAGACGAAAATGATAAAGCCAAATTTTGTCTTTATTGAAAGATTTTTCAGAAAGAAATGACAAAGGTAAACTATTCTTGATATTACTGGTGTTATTTAATGTCTCAAGATAGTATAGTCCATCCTTTTCCTTAGCAAGCCCAATCATCTTCCCCAAACTCTGGTCCTGAAATTCACAATAAGCGGGATAAAAAGTCACTTTGCAGTTTATATCTCTAGTAAGTTTTTGTATAGACATCAAATTAGTAGACAATCCAGGAACATGAAGAACATTTTTTAAAACAAACGAGGGATTAACTTGAACATCTCTCAATCCTGCCACTGTAGTAAGTGAACCATCTGTAACAACAATTTTCTTATTACTAGGACACAGGGTATATGTACTAAACTTCTGTGAGGAATGTGTCATATGATCTATGGCTCCAGAGTCAATGACCCAAGAACTCGTAATAGGCTTAACCGAGATATTTAATCCATGAGAACCAAAAGCTTTACCTGAACTAGAGACCTTACCCAAGGAACATACCACAGTAGACCTTTCAAGGATTTTCAATAAGTTTCTCAGCTTTTCAATCTCTTCCCCGTCGAACTCTCCTTGTTTCCGAGACATCTGTAGTATTCCAATGATTTTCCCAGTTGACATTTCCTCAAATTGGGTGGTAGTGATATTTTTCTTTGAAAGGGTTCGGCAATGAAGGCCTAAACAGGATTCGACAATGAAGGCCTAAAATAGAAGTCAGCAATAAAGGCTGAAAATTTTACTTCCCAAGAAGAGCCTAAAGCTTTGATACCATATGAAAAAACTAAGAAATAAATCAGTGTGAAAACTGAATGTATATTGAAAAACTACTCATATATAATTATATAAGAACCTTAAGTTTATATACAACTAACTAGGGGTTAAACTAAGAAACTAAATCTTCCTAAAAAACTAATCCTATAATTGAAGGATTGTCTATCCTAATTTTTTGTCCTTAATTAGGAATACAAATACTTAATTCTAGAGATACAAATATAAATATATAGACTACAAGATTACAACTAGCTGTAAATAAGTGTTTTCCCACAAAAAGTAAATAACTGTATAAAAAGAAAGATGACTATTTTGACATTTTAAATATGGTTCATCTAATCTCTCCTAACATTTTTTTTTTTAATTTTTCTGTTGGGAAATCTTAAACCCCACCCAATGTGGTAAGCTCCAAAGAGTCACCTTAAGTATGCTACTTCAAGTTCTAAGCTTGATCAAATTTAATAAATTTTTAAAAGAGAAACATAAGCTACATCTTTCCGTCGATTGAGCATAAAAAATTCAGCTCAAAGTTTCTATCCAGCAGTAATTTTTATATTGGCAAAAATGTAGAGTCATCTCTAATATGTCTTGACCAAACCTTTGCATGGGATGCCATCATCGTTGTCCGTAGGGATCATTGGCAGTGCATATGAAGGTCCATTAGGCCTAGTTGTTAAATGAGATGTAGACTTTGCAGAAGAGTCCGTACCCTTTTCCTGCAAAACAATGTCCTTGAGCTTTCAAGAACTGAAGTGACCTACCTAGAAAAAGAACTTAGACGGAAATAGATGAACTGCATAAATAAGAGGGCTGAGGAAGATGGGAAGGTGAAGTGGTCACATCACCCACCTTAACTTAAAAAACAACAGGGCAGAACCTGGAGAAAAACACCTAATACCATTCAGAAATTTCCCACAAAAAAACCCAGAGAAGTAGTTTGGACACTTGCACAACAGATCTGTCTGGGTTGAACATGCTAGAAAGTAGGAAGAATCCCTTCTCTGGGATAGGGCAAGCTTCAACTTTCAACAACATCTAGTTATGCCAAAGACTTTATGCTTAATTTATCCAACAGTCAATTAAACATGCACATGAGACACAGTGGACAATTCCATAATTCCATGATATATACTCCTTACTTACATAACCTTGATTGATTATCTAGTTGCCCTCCTGCTTCTTGAATCTTTTCTTGCTCACCTTATTTCAAGAATTTTGGTATGAATATGTAATACAGGATGATGAGAGTATAAGGACCACAGGAGTGGATGTGTGAGATATACATATATATATATATATATCATATATCATATATAGATACACACACTATGTTGCTCTGACCATTCATTTTCCTTAAAGTACCCATGTCTGACACATATCCAACGGACATGTGTATGGAGGTCTGACCCTCCAAATATATTATAAACTTAGAAAAAAATGGCATGTACCCGTGTCAGAGACATGCATATATGCGACACTCGCCCCGAGTCTAAGTAACATAGTATATATATTTGAAGCAACTGTCAAGTCAAGAATGCCAAAACATAGGTAAAAACCCTGTGTCCGTAGAAAACAGATTCAGAATTCACATAGAGAATAAGAAACTACTAAAGTTACCACACAGGCTAGGCAATTTCATTTAAGAAACTACCATAGGGATTGAACTTTCTTCTGGAGACATACTTCAAGGAATCAATTATGAAACACTAAGCAGTGTAGAAATATATTGTACAGATCAATTGTACTACCATAAAAATTTAGACAAACATACTCTTCTGTCTTTATTTTTCCTTGATGAATTATGATCCTCTTTCCTTCGTTTGCCATTTTCCTTTTTCTGCAAACAGATTCAACCAGGTCATTATTTAGCATGCAAATACAATGCACATTTATATGCATATTTACTACATAGATACAAGCAAAAGGATTATGACATATTGTGCACACAATATGCCATACGCAATTCCACCATAAAACTACAAAGTATTATTTTTCTTTCTACATTAGAGGGAGATGCTAAAGGCCAAACTCACTATAAACCTTTCATCCAATGAGCTATAGAACTTCTGCCAGATGAGAAAGGACTTAGAAAAGAATGAAGAAAAGGAAAGGCATCCATCAAGAAAGAGCAAGGGAAAAGAAGAACTTGTTGAAAACGTATATCATAGACTAGTTTTATGAAGGCATCAACCTTCCAATCGGCTAAACAAGGAATCCAGCAAAGTCAGTCATGTACCCAATTATTAGTTAAATTGTTCATCCATGACTAATGATCCTAGACTTTTGTCTCATGGCATTGAAAGACGTTGGGCATCTTAATGTTGTCTGCTATAATACACTGAACTTTTAGTAGAATTTTACAACTATAAATAATTAGAATTTTAATAATATATCAATATAGTCTAAAATTCATTTCTTATAAAAGTCCAGTACAAATATTAAAGCTGGTATTTAGGTTAATATCAATGCAATTTACTGCATTTTAAACATATCAAGTAGACTTCAATAAGCCCATAGGTAGTCCCCACCTCATTATTAATAGCCCCATCTCTACCCCGTGGTAAATGTCAAACATATCAGCCATTGGGTTTTGCCTCCCTTAAAACAGGACATGGACCCCCAAGAAAGAACCCACCAATATCAATTTTAATAATTAACATCTGGATGTTTCCTGCACATAAGATTCACTGCAATGATAATAGGATCATAAGCGACCATATCCCTGATAACAAGAGAAAATAGGAAACCTTTGTAATTTCATTAAGCAAAACCCAAAAGAAGACAGTTTTAACAAATTTCAAATGGAGTCAATCTCTCTTTTATTGCCAAACAAATTTAGGCCTTATTTCTAAAGAACACCACACTGCTGCAGACATATCACATTTCCATATATTCACCCCAGTTCCCCATCAAATGAGAAAAACTAAATCCAAGACATGTAGGCATGCTCCAATGAATTGCAACCACCGATACTCACAAATGATTTTTTTTGGCCAGATGAAAAAAAAAATTATGTTCTCAATATAGATCTTACAAAACTACAACCTACCATAATTCCTTTTTTTGGCCTTTCATACAGCCGACCCCAAAGTTATGGGATATAAGTCTTAGTTTGTTGTTGTTGCAATATAGATCTTGCAAGAAAAAAAGATTTGTAGAGATATAATTATAAGAAGGGCACAGAAAGAAATTAGAGGCTTTTTAAGCTAGCTCTTGCATCAGCCAAAAACTCAACATTTCTCCATGTTGCATAAAACTTATGCCATTTATTTTCTAATTAGTAAGCCTTGAACATAAGTGATAACGCCAAGAAGCCAAACCAAAGTACCATTATGTGCTTGTCCACCCGCCTCCAATAAATCTCAAATGAACATACATGCAAATATATACAGTCCATTAGAGGTGATTTTTGAACACAGGATCTCAATTTCACCTCTTAACCATGTATGATAGGAGGTAAAGAGGAAGGAAGGAAAGGCAGTGGAAAGAAAATAGCATTTATTTCTGTCCGTTTCTTCATTTGGTAGGAGGGCAATAGGAGGGAGGAAGAAAAATGGAAGGATTTGCACCTTTCCCTTCCCTCCAAATCTAATCCTTCCAAATTGAGAGGAAAATATTTCATAAGCCACCATATCCCTCTATCTTCCATCTTTCGCACCAAACACAAAGAAAGAAATACAACCTTCCTTCCTCTCCTCTTTTATTTCTTTCCTCACCCTTTTCCCTTCCATCTACTTTCCGCCCTACCAAACAATGTCAAAGGAGTCGAATTTTACTGACATATTTACAAACACCAGATTATTCATCCTTAACATCTCTTACATTCATTTAATGTACGAAAAACAACAAAATTCTCTTTGTCTGCATATATATATATATATATATATATAATTTTAAAAGATCTAATTGAATCCATTTCAATGTCGTCTAAAGGGTAAGTTTAGCTTATGTACACATGCACATGCAAAACAGGCTTACATATATCCATCAGTGGAGCTAAATTTTTAATAGTGGTCAACTCATAGAAAGTTGGTTATAGCTATCAGCTCTTTTACTGTGACTTGTCATGCAAATGGAATTCAATCAGAATAAGTGATCATTTCTGATCTTGTGAGATTTGATCAATTAAACATTTCACAAACAAATTGATAATTATGCTGAGTTCATTACATCTAAGTCCATTCATAACAGGGGGGTTTGAGCTTCTGATTGGAGGACATATTGATAATTTTCAGTAACTGATAACTTTTAGTATTAAAGTTGAGAAATTAGCCTAATACTTAAAGAACAATACTTAAGTTAAATCCTTAGGGAAGAAAGATTCCGGAAACAAAATTTTAAGGTTAGTAAGGACAACACAGTAAGGAATAATGAGAATAACAAGGGTATGCAACTAGGTTTTGGGTAAGCAAATAAAGATTCCAGGGATTTTTATAACTGTCACCACGTTCCTAACAAAAATCTGTTATTATCAAATTAGTGAATAACGAATAGGACAGTAATGTGAGAAATGCTACCAAAATTAAGGGTTTTTTCTGGCAGAAAATGTAAGGTTTATTTAAGTGGTTATGATTGTAAGCTTCGTCCCAGAGGCAAACACCTTTTGTTAGGATAGCTTCACAACATACAAAGGAAAAGCATGTAAGTTAACCGGAATTTGATATACATGTTTACCATCCATTAAGAAGGGTACATGTATGTGTGTGTGTATATATGGAATTCTAGTAAACCTAGATCAATACAAAAAACAAAAAACTAAAATATTTAACCTTAAACAAGTAAGAAACCGTAACTCAACGGCCTAACAAGATTAATAAAAACAAAAAGATATTCCTGAACTATAGACACTGCAAATTGCAAAAGTACCAAAATATCCTCGACTCGTACAAATAAAGAAACTTCATTTAAAATAAAACCTGCTACTTCCTAACAATAATAAAATAAAATCGAAACCTAATACAGCTAATTTGGCCTTTGTAAGGTCTTAAGCATCAAATAAGATTATAATTCTTGATTTTCTTGACATTTAAGCGTGACTTTTCTTGATTCCTTGGTAGGCTGCAAGGCCACTGCCCACACAAGTCACAAGATTTAGAATTATGAATGAACAGAAAGGAGGTGGGAGAATTTAGTGAAATTGACAAATACAACTCTTTATCTGAGAGTTTTTAAATGAAACCTCTTAAAATTCAAGTAAATGAAACATTTGATCCAAATAATCAAATTATTAAAGTTATAACCAGATAAACTGCTTGAAGGAGGACAATTTATAGAGTTATCATGAAATCCTTCAAGCTGCTTGCACCCAAAAAAAGAAAATTATCGGCCCGAAAGTTTCAATAAACATACAATTGCAAGTAACCAACTTACCGTCATCCATCTACAACGCAGTGCCACATCCCGGACTGTTTTGTCCTTCAACTGCATTGCGATCTTAGCATAGCGAACTATGGTTGAATCAGATGCATACCTGCAAACATCGATATCTCCATACTTATAATCAATATATCTATTAATCGTGCAGCCTTCATTTATCAAAGGCAAGTGTAGAAATATGCAACAAAAAAAATATGGGGCACAAAATGATAATCTGGTGAAAATCAAATAGGCCGAAAATTCAACCAGGAGAAAATACATTATCAATTTGTGGAACAGTAATTTAGCCAAAACAAGAAACATGTATGCAAACAGAAACTATTACGTACTCCAGCAATCAAATCCGCATCTTCTTTAGATTTCTAACAGGATGTTCATATCAGGGGTTTAAACGGACAACCACCAGACCCACTGCCTAAACTCACATATCAACTATATATCAGATAATGAACAGGCTGATTTAACTAGAACCAGCACGCTAGTGGCTACATTTTGGAAATATTACTCGTTCTAAAAGATCACAAAAGCATATATGCAAATAGTAAGAAAGAAATTTCTTTGCACTAAACTGCAACATTGTAACAATGAAGCCCGTTTGTGCATTTATTGTTATCACAATGCCAGAAATTAATGCATTGTATTAGACATAAAGCTCCCCATGATGAATGGAAAGCTTTTACTTGTTAAGGTGAAGAAAACCAAAAATATAACTCATAACAACTCATGCAACCCTATTGTCGTCACCAACCAGGTTTTCATCCCAACCTTGCCAAATTTTCTGAAATGATAATTTATTGGTCCATGATAGGACCTCATCACTAATAGTAGTAAGTTTATATGAAAGAAATGTCGGATCATAGTTTGCCAAAACTTTTTGTACAAACAACTCTCCATTTTTAAAGTATGTAACAAGACAGGTTCATTAAGGGCAACCAACACACGGATAGATACAAGAAATACATCCGAGGAAAAAAGAAACAAAGAAAGAACACTAGTATCTCTTCATTTTCCTCAAACCTTCACAAATGATAAGCCCGCAACACGCATACTCGGTAGAACTAAAAAGTACTTACACCAACAAAAACGATAATTTACTTTACATTTTAGCATGAAATATAAAGGTCGAAAATTGATATAATGAATGTGCTCTTGATGTTTTTACCAATCTCAACCAACTTTTTCTGTCCTAAAAACCTGAAGATACGATAAATAAAATTCCCACTCTGAATTAAAAAAAAAAAGTAATTAAATTAAGATGAGTTGAAAAAAAAAAGTTGTAAGTACAAGTTACAGAAAAGTAGCAGAAATAAAAGAAACAAAAAGATAAAAGAAGTTCAAAAATGAGAGTGAGTAAGACGGAGAAGGAGTTACTTGGCAAGTAAATCTTCGAGAATCGATTGTTCATAGGGAGTCCAGTCGACGGAGATGCCAGGGTTGTGCCTCAACGCGGACTGCGAATCAGCCGAGACGGCGGCTGCACAGGTATTGCCCCCGCTGTTGTTCGAATTGACGGAAACACCATTAGTTGGTGGAGGAGGAGCCGTTACCTTCTGGTTCGACGAACCTTCCTGATTATTCCCCGTTGGATTCGCACTCGCAGCCATTAATCAAAAACAAGAATTAAAAAAAACGGCTAAAATCTTTTGTGTGTCTCGAATTCTAACGTTGGGGGTTAAGAATTGGAAACTTATTTATTATCTGAAGCAATTACGCAATTAAATGTATGAGGACAATTTTAATTAACCAGGAAAAAAAAAAAAAAGAAGAGGGATGGATTCTTGCTATGGGATAGAAACAAACGACAGCCGTTTTCCGATTGCCAGCCTAAGAAAGCGAATATTTCTAATCAAATTTTGCCTTTTTCACTTCTTCCTGGGAGAGTGACAGAATATTTTTTTCTCTCTTTTTTTAACCTGTTTGAGATGCCTTCCTAATTTTTATTTTTAAGTCCCCCTCTTTTCCTTTTTAAGCCTTGGCAAAAGGGTTAAACTGTAACCAAGCCGTAGTTGTAAAATTATTATTTTATTTTTATATGTCAAATTAAGTTTAAATTCAAATAAAAATAATCAAATTTAAAATTAAACCTATGAATCAATTTTATTTTTTATTTAATAACTAAATTTGAGTAATTCAATTTTTTAAAGTTAAATTTAAATTTAAAAAATAAAATTTAGTCGAATTTAAATTAAATTTTAAATAATAAATTTAAAATCAAATTTAAAATTTTCTTGTATCAATTTGAGATAATTCCATTACATCTCTAAAATAAAAATAGATATCCTAAGATAAATATGTGAAGTGTTTTATTTTTTTGAGCGTCTGAAGTATTTATTTATAAAGATAAAAGAGAAAAATAACAAATAGAAATTAAATTTAAGTATATACAAAGGAGGTCGAAATTAATTTATAAAAATAATTTTTTAATGAATATAATAAAATATGTTGAAAAATAATTTATTTTATTATATGTTTTAAAAAATTTATAAAAATTAAAATTTTAATATTCTATCGATAATCACGTAGATGACTCTGCGTGTACTTTAATCTCATAAAAAAAAATCGTAAGGAAAATATTTAAATTGATGGGTTCCATCTTTGGCCGGACAGAATTTCAACATCATTTAGGTGCGAGGGACCGTCAAAAAAAAAAAAAAAAGATCAAAGTGACTTTACCTATTAAAACAAGACTAAAATAAAAAAAAAAATTATCAACTTTTTTACTTTAATTAGATTTTTTTATTATTTTTATTATATTTAAATAAATTTTAAAATTTTAATTTACAATTAATTAAATTTTTAACTTTTAATTCATATCTAAATAAATTATTAGCTTTAATTTGTATCTAAATAAATTTTAATATAAATTAATATTTTTATTTAAAATAAATATTTATTTAAATACAAATCAAATAATAAAATTTTATTTGAAGTCAATAAAAATATAAAATTTTGTTTAGAAAAATAAAACAATTTAAAATTTTTTTAATTTTTTAATTTCAAAAAATAAGCATCAATATGATAATAAATGGTCTCATAATTTCGATAGACAGAAAAATCTTGAAAATTAAATTCTTTTTATTAGTAAATGACCCCAATTTAAAATAATTACTGTGTTTTGTCATCATTAATCCTTTAAAAAAAAGTAAAATTATCATAAATTAACCTTTTTTTGCTTATTTACTCCCATTAAATGTAAAAGAAACATTTAAGTATGAATAGTTTATAACATTGAAATGTATATAAATATATTGATAAAATAAAAAGAGTAATTAAGTAAGTAAATATTCAAAATGTAAATATAAAATTTATCTTTCTTTAATAGAATTAAAATAAAATTTTAAACCGACTATAAAATATATAATGTCATGTCATATTTAATCTATCTTGGTTGATAAATTTGCTGGTGGTGTGATGTAATATAACTTGATTATTTGGACCTTCGATTATATCCAAATTTATCGGTAAACATGAAAACTTTATGAATTTCTAATGTTTACACTATAATATGATATATATATTTATATAATTTAATAACAAATAAAATAAAATTTTATTTAATTTTAATTGAATTGATTGAATGCGTAGGTAAAATATTAAAATTAACTTGATCTATTTTTTAAACGAATTTACATTTTTAACTAAATTTATTTAATGAGTTTAATACTTTAGTAAAACTTTTTCAAAGATCAAGTAAACCTTTGAAATTGGACTCACTAGCTTAGGTCTGCCCCATTGAATGACAACAAAAAAAAAAAGTAATGATTTCACGAGCAAATAACACCACACATTTATGATTTTTATACATATTATATTTTTATTCGTATTTTTTAAAACTTAATTTTTAATCGATCTTTTAAAAATATTTTAAATTCATCAGATTTCATCAATAATCATTAAAATATAATGTACTTTTCTACCTCCGCATCATGTGAAAAAAATGGGTCTATTTGATTTTTAAATTGAAATTTATACTACTTGGACATCACCTAATACCAACGTGATATATTTCATTGAACTTCTTAATTTGAAATAATTTTAAAAAAATTGTAAATCTAAATTTTAAATTGTAAATATTGTAAAGAAATATAAATGATTGATGATTTTACTAATAATTTCATATTGCAGGCGGCAACTTGAAATTATTGATTTTAATGGACGGCGTTTTATTGAAAAAACACTAAAATGTTTTTATTTAATATAAATTTCACTGAATATATATATATGCTAAAATGTTTTTACCATAAAAAAAAAGAAGTGTGGTTGAGGCAATCTAAAGTATGCCCTGGATTTCATTGCGTCACAAACAAACCCTGCACTCCCTACTTACAAAAGCCACGAGCAAATTTTTTTTTTATCTTTCAGTAACACTAGCATGATACTTGCGTGCTATCGAGTTTTTTTTTTTTTTTGCTGCAAGATTAATATAATTAAAAAATAAATAAATATGAAAGAAAATAAATAAATTGACATATTATGTGAATATCTCTATTAATATTATTTTTTAATAAAATTGATACAATTAAAAAAATTAAAAACAAAATAAAAAAAAAATAGTTATCATATCGAGTGTGGGATTGAAATCGATCGATACAAAGTGTTTCAACTACCTACTGGCTTTTCTTTTTTTTTCTTTTTGCAATTTTGTGCTATACAAAAAAAAAAAAAAAAGATATCGTGTGGACATTTTAATTGAATTTTTTTATAATAAATTTATCTAAATAAAAAATAAAAAAAAGAGTAAAAGAGTTTAAAGAAAAAAATATAAATACGACAACATATTAAATAAGGGTTAAATAATAATTAAAATAAATAAAATTTATATAATAAATAAATGGATTACATTTTAATTATGTATAAATATAATATTTTTATTATATTAAAATATTAAATAATAATTTTATTAATATAATATAGTGAACTAAATAATTATTAAATTAAAAAAATAACGAAAAAATATAATATATATTTTGTAATAATTAGATCAAATGGATCCCAATTTTTAAATTAAATATTTTAAAATATTAATCAAATAAAAAAAGTAAAAAAAAGAAATTTTAAATAAAGAAAAAAATCAAATAATTTGACAAGTGATGTACTTTTAATATCGAGTGGATCACAAAAATATAAAATATAAATAATTATTTACTAAATATATCAAAAAATAAAAATTAGAAAATATAAAAATATAAAAAATGTGTCATACCCTTATGAGCATTTGGTTCAAGAAAATTTGAAATTTTTTTCTGAAATGTTATTGTTGAATATTCAAATTTCTACATTTGATTTGTGATATATGATTCTTAGAGTAATTTTAAATTTTTAATAATATCCAAAATCTCAAAAGCTCATTTGTTATTGTGGTTTTTTAAGATTTAAAAAAAAAAATTATTTTATCCCGTATTTGACTTGAATAAATTCTTTTTATTTTACTCATTTGAAAATTTGTAATCAAATACTTTTTTTACAAACAATTGAATTATAAACAAATATCATAAATACTGCACTTGTTGGAAGATTTAATTTAGTATTTTAGTTTTTTTAATGTTCAATACAACGTTTATGAAACTAAATGTAGTAATTGTGATTATTTTTATCTTTAAATTTGTTTTTTCTTTCTAATAATACATTTTAAAGTGTTAAAAGTAATAATTATGATTATTTTATTACATTTTTTGAATAAATATACAATATCTAACAATATTTTAACTTTTTTTTATCTATTTTATCACTTGAATATCACGTTTTATAGGTTTTAAATGCAATATTTTTGTTATTTATTGTTTTTTTAATAAAAATATAGTATTTGGTAATTTAACAATTTTTAAAAATTTTCACTCTATATTTAAAAACTTTGAAATGTTATATTTATTATTATTTATTGTGTTTTAATGAAGGAAACGCAGTATTTGATGTTGACTAAGTCTCATTTGCTCTGCGATTCTCTACCACTTTTGCTCCGCCTTAAGTCTCATTATCTTGTCAGGCTTTTTGTCAACACGCCTTTAGCCTCTGCTGTTGTGGTGAACTTTTCAAGTCCCATTGCAGTAGAGGCAGCTCATCCGTACACATGCTGTTTGGGTTGCATGGTTGGCAAGGAATAGCATAGGTTAACTTTTTAGATGCCACCATGCACATTTTTTGAACTTTTTAAGCTACTTTCGTTAAACCATAAGTCAAATTGTCAGACCTAAAAAATTGGATACTATCATAAAATTTCGTTTTCCATTAAATTTAATTATTATATTTTTTAAAGGATAAATACAATAATTAATCATTATAATTTATTTAAAATAATTAAATATTATATTTTTTAAGATAAATGTAGTAGTTGTACAATGTATTTTTTAAAATTAATGAATTATTATATTCATTTTAAAGTTAAACATAATTATTATTTATTTTTATTTTTTAAAGATACGTATATAATTGATCATTACAAGAAATTAACAAAGTAATTGATGACTATTTTTTTTTTAAATAATTGGTCAGTGGAATATTATGTTTTATGATTTAAAATATTATATTTGTCAATTATTTTTATTTGATAAATTATTATATTTATTATATAGTAAATAATATTATAATAAAAATACACAATTAAGTAATATTAGATTTTCTTCAATTAAATACAAAAATCTAAAAATAAAATGTAAAAAGAAAATTACATTTCTCCCTAAAATCACAATTTTTCTTTCAAAATCTAAAATTTTGTAAATTAAATGTCTTTTTGGTATCTAATGAATTCCACTCAGACAAAAAATTAAATACTTTAAAAAATAAAGAAAATAAAGGAAAACTTGATATCAAAAGGGTAAAAAATAAAAAATCATTAAAAATATTTATTAAATATAAAAAAAAAGTTAAAAGCACAAAAACAAAAAAATAAAAAATAGTAATAAAAATAAAAAAAACTTTTAAAAAATAAAAAAAAAACTAAAAAACCAAAAATCTTAAAAAATAAAAAATTGTAACACGTGAACTATCAGTTCAATAAATGACCGAAATTTAAATAAAATATTATTATTATTATTATTATTAGATAAATGTTTGCGAGTTGCAAGTACCCAATTTAAAAAAAAACAAAAATAGAAATAAAATATTTTTTCTGTCTTATTTTTTATTATTTTTTTAGAATGTCCTAAAATTATATCATTTTTAATATATAAAACTCTTATTTTTTATATTTTAAAATTATTTTTTATAAAATTTTTTACTTTTTGATATTAAAACTAAGGAAACTTTAATTTAATTTTTTGTAATTTTAATATTAAATATATTAAAATGAAAGGATTTTTTTTTTAAAATTTTGTGAAAATTAATAAAACCTACTCAATACGAGACGAGGGAATAAATACAAAAAACCAAAAGAAAAGATAAAGTGACAAAAGCTCAAAAATACCCTTGACAATTTTGAAAAATGTTAGAATGCCAGACTTGATAATTAAAAAGAAGGAAAAATTGATGGTGGCCCAAGAACTAAAACGTTATAGCGGTCAGCATTTACGGATCTGTCTTTCCCTATTCAATTTTCTTTAACCGAGGAGGAGAAGCCTCAGAGATACAGTGTCGGTGGTCCTCAAAATCATTGACCCACATAGAAGCCATGGACTCCAAGTCTCAACAACCAGGTCTGTTTTTTCTTGTTTATTTTTTCAAATATTTTTCCTTTTCATAAAAACGTTATTAATTTGTTAGGGTTTATCATCATGTTTTGACCGATCGATTCGATATAGAATTGTTGGTTTTTCGTTCTCGGTGCTCTTTTTGTTTAGTTGTTTCTGCTTGGTTGTGATTTGATTAAGGAAATTAAGAATCAATCAAGTTTATGTTCCAGAATTTGGGCTTTTTTACGGATTTTGTGTCTGTTTTGGGGATTGTTTATGATATAATTAAGTCAAGGAAATAAAGGATAATGAACTTGCATTGGGTGTTAAAAATTTTAAATATTTGAAATTGATTTTTTTTTATTTTGTTTTTGTTTTGATTGTAATTGATATTATGTAAATGCAGCTACTGGTGGCTCTCCTAAACCATGGGAACAAGCTGGGGGCTCATCTAGTTCTGGACCCTTTAAGCCACCATCGCCTGGCAGCACCAGTGATGCGGTTAAGGCATCCGGAACAGCAAGACCAGATGAAATTGTTTCCTCTGCAGATAGAACTACAGTCGTAAATAGAAACGCTGTTGGTAGGCCTGTACCTAGCAGGCCTTGGGAGCAACAGAATTACGGGGGCACTTATGGAGGTAGAGGTTTAATTCATCTACTATAATTCAAACGGTTACTTATTGTAGAGCTTGTCTAAGTTTGGTGTTTGATGCAGGTTATGGTTCTGGTTTAAACTACAACTCAGGGTATGGTTCTGGAATGTATGGTTCATCATACGGTGGATTAGGGTCTTATGGTGGTGGATTGTATGGCAATGGCATGTATAGAGGAGGTTATGGTGGTCTATATGGGAACTCTGGAATGTATGGTGGTGGTCTCGGTGGCTTTGGGGGTCCAATGGGTGGTTATGGGATGGGCATGGGTCCATATGGTGAGCAAGATCCAAATAATCCATATGGTGCTCCATCATCCCCACCAGGTTTTTGGATATCCTTCCTCCGTGTGGTAATTCCTTTCTCATCTTATAATTGAATTATTTTTATCTGATTCCATGCAAATAATGCCATCTGTTGCTTAAAATGTCCAATCCTTAACTGTAATGGCAGCCCATCACCGTAGCTATGGTTGTGGTTATGAAGACTGAATAATTTTAATATCTTACAAGTGCAAGAGATAGCTTTTATCCTGACTGAATGTTATATTTGATAAGAAGGAACTTTGAATCTTCCTTTTTGTCCTTTGCTCTAGTTCTTGAGCTCAAAATATGCTCTACACTCTACAGGAAATGTTCCTGTATTTCATATTTTTACAGTCCATCTTCTAGAGTACTAAAACATGATACATGGAGGGGGAAGTTTTGGTTGGATTTTTTTTTTTCTCTTGGGGGCGGGGCTTGGAGTTGGCTTATTGGGGGTTGCTTTGGAGCTTGCATGGAGGGTATGTCCAAGTCGAGTTGTTTTTTTAACTGTAAAATGTCAGAAACACTTAATGAACTGCTATGTATCCCTAAATTTTTTTCGTAGACCATTTATATCTTTGATAAGGAGCTAATTACCGCAACTTTATTACATCTTATTTGGGTGAGAAGGAGTATCCATACTAAAAAAGAAGACAATATCCTTTCAGATTGGGAAGCTAGTTGTTGCATGATGAAATTTTGTGACTCTATCCCTTTGTGTTAATTTTACTTTCTTCAAGCCTCATTCTTTCACTTTGTCATATGATAATTGCTTCCTTCACTGATTGCAGATGCAAGGTGTTGTTAACTTCTTTGGCCGGATATCTATTCTGATAGACCAGAATACAAAGGCATTCCACATGTTTATGTCTGCTCTTCTTCAGGTGTTGTTTTCTTTATTTTTATCTTCCATTTGTCCAAATTTGATATGGTGCCATTAAATTGTCATTTCTTTTCATAAAGTAATAGTTCAATCAAGGAATAATGTGTTGTTGTAGGTGAAATTCATAACATGTTGAGTCATGTCATCATTATTTGCAGCTTTTCGATCGCACAGGATTGTTGTATGGAGAATTAGCTAGATTTGTGTTAAGACTGCTGGGAATCAAAACGAAACCCCGAAAGATCAATCAACAGGGACCTGATGGTCTGCCAGGACCCCAGAACGCTCGTGGGAATCAAAACTATATTGAGGGGCCGAAGGCTGCTGCAAGTGGTGCATGGGACAATGTATGGGGTGAAAATGCTAGCAGTTAATTTGGGACCTCAATTTCCATCCTGCAGTTCCCTGTAAATTGACCAGAAATTGGAAAAGGCTTGTCGCAGCATAGATGAAACAAATACTCGCACCTGTTGATGAAGGCTAGGCGGTGCTCCTCCCAAGAATGTGGCCAAAGCTTTTCTGCATGGTTTGAATGTACCAAGTACTCCCATAGTGTTAAAAAGATGAGACATAATATGGTGATTTTTTTTTTTTCAAAAAGAACAAACGTTTACTGTTTTGGCTATCCTTACCTTTTTAATAAAAGTGAAAAGCTATATATATTTGATTTTTGCAACCTGTAAAGCTAAGAAAGGAGGAATCTCATCATCCCAACATATCATGCTATGCTACCAACGGAAAAACTTGTTCCATAGGTGTCATTGACCCCATCAGATGCTATCACTGTCTGCCCTCACATGTCCGAAGAAAGACTTCATTCTAGGTGCAAGAGTGACGTAAATCCACAATCCGCACTATTCTGTTATTTGCAATCGCAACAGCTTTCAATGACGCAAAAACATACATATGTTCTAGACAACAACTTGGTTGGTCATTAACTCCCTTCTCCCACGGAATATCAGGACACACTGATTAAAAAGAAAATGACTAGAATAAGCAAACACAATCTTCAAAATCCACATAAAATGCAGGGTAGGGCATACAATGCAACTAAATAACTTATGTCAGAGGTGTCCTTATCAATTAAGACTAAAATTTGCCTCTAGTTGACTGGTCCACATCAATAGCTTTTGGTGCCAAATCAGATGGTAAATCTCTTAATCATCATATTCTAGGCTGTCCCAATCAGGACCTACAGACATTATTTCTCCATGTTGAAAAAAATAAATAAAAGAAGAAAAATAATAATAAAATTTTTCAGTTTTGAAACGTAAAAATAATTTTTAAAAGTAATTATATTTTAAAAATATAATAAAATTTTAATTTTTTAATTAAAAATAAAAAATATTATAATAAAAAATTTTTTATAACGAATGAATAGATATAAATTTTTATTTAAATGATTATAATTTTTTATATATTATGATTTTTATAAATAATAATTTATTTAAATTTAAATAATTATATTTATTTACCGTATAATAATTATTTATATTCAAATATAATTATTTAAAATATAAATAAAATTAATATAAAAATTAATTTCATTAATTAATATTTAAAATTTTCTATCTAAGATGCATAACATTTTAAACCGAAGATCTCAACGTTGCATCGATACAACTTAAACAACTCCACTGCTGTTTCGATATCCTACAATTTCGATTCATCGACAAAATAGAGAACCGTTTGCAGCCATCTCTCAGAGCCTGCAATCCTCGATCACATAAATGTCGGCAGCGATTCACATGAAGTTTCTCTAGGTTGTGGCAGTTTAACCTAATGGAAGCCCAGCCTGAAAACCTAACCTCATGCATGACACAATGCCAGGTTCCACTCTTGAAGTTGTGGACACCCCTTTGAAAGTGCAACAATAGAAGCATTGCCACAGTTCTACACATTCGAAGACTAGGGATTTTAAGCTTTGCCGCAAATCCATCCCCAATTGCTGCCAATCTATCTCTACAGTTCAAGCAACTTAAACCAGCAACGTTTAAAAACTTAAGCCCACCTCCACTAACAATTGCCATTATTCCCTCCGGTTCAAGATTACAAAATTCAGCATCTACGTAAACCAGAGTTGATGAACAACCTCTTAAGACAACACCACTTACACCCCCGCAATTAGACATCTTAATTGCTCCAAGCTGACATCATCCTTGAGAAAGACCTCTCAACCCAGAGTCTAAAATATGTGGGCAATAAGGAAGATTCACATGACTCAAAGCCAAGCATCTGTTGGCTAAAGCTTCTAACCCAGCATCAGTAACATTGCATCGATAAAGACTAATGATAGTTAAGGTTGGACAACATTACCAACCAGGGAAAGCCCATAATCAATAATTCCAAAACAGCAATCTAGAGATAGGGTTTGCAATCTGAACCATAGGATTTCAAGCAGGATAGGCATGAATCAGGTAGCTCTATGCAACCAGAAAGGGATAAATACTCTAAATGCTGAAAACGGGTGAGAATCCTGCAAAGATGGAATGAGTTGATGTCAATACAGCTCTGAGGTAATGAGAAAAGGCCAATAAAACTGGAAGAACATGGATATTGTAAGGATCGACTATTCAAGTTTTGAATATTAAGCCAGCGGCGGCAAGTCAGGCCAAATGATTCACGGTCAGCACTTCAGTCAAGATAATTGAAAATAAAAGAGAGGCAATCATCAGGTAGGAGAATGATGGAAGTAACACCGTCCATTAAAGGCTCTCCCATGTCAACCTTGTTAACACTCTTCTGAGGGCTGTAGAGCTCGGATCTTTATAGCAAACTTTTTATAAGCAGCACTGGATGAGTTGGGAGAGTCAAAACCACAAAAAGCAGGCACATCTCCATATCCATAGCCCATATGAACCCCACATTTACGACAAAGGAGTTTAGTTTTTGAACAATTACGGCCCCGACAGACAGGAAAGCAATGTACCTCATCGACCTGTGTGAATCTACTAAGATCAACAGATAGAAAGGAGATAAAAACTTTCTTTATGGATTTGTGATATTCGGAGCCTATGCCAGAGGTGATTCGATTGGAAGATGTCAAGTTCAAAGGGTATCCACAAGACCCACAACTGCAAGAAATAATCATGAAATACACAGGAAAGAAAGATCAATAAATTCTACTACAAAGCATTGCCAAAATGATGGGGAAAGGGTCAATTATCGACCTTCTATCTCAAATGATGATGTGCAAAGCCTTTTAATCATGTAACGAGATTTAGCTATCTCCATTAAGCCTACCACACAGGATCAACCGATCAAGCAACATGCCAGGAGGGGAAACAATTGCCAATTGATGAATATACTTGCATAAACCAAAGTATCATAATTTTCCATTGACTCCAAACCCCAATTACTTCACTTCATACCATGTTTAAAACAATGCTTCAGCCCGTCAATAACTAAACACCACTTAAAGATCAAAATTAAGAGTTCCAAAGAAACTGTTTTCATAGAATTCTTGAAGATTATAACTTAACATTCAAAGCAAGAAAGAACATACTTCTGCCTGGTAAAATGCCATGATTTCTAGCCTTTTAGCTGAAAACCCAGACGACCCAGAAACAAAAAATTGCCATTAAGCAATACGAAAAGAGTGGAAAGGGATTTGAAAGGTCAAATACCTGTAAGAGACGTCAGCTTGGAACATCCTCTTTGAAGATCAGGGAAACAAAAAGGATCCCATTTTTCATAAGATAGATTGTGCAATGTCAGAATCGTTAATATGTGGCGTTGTCGTTGAAAAAATTGGTCGGGGGGGCCAATGAGATCGAGAAGATTGAGGCTTGGTACAGAGTACAGAGTACAGATACAGGAAGAGCTGGGGTTTGTCCTTTTCAATGTTGGAGAAGCAGTTTTCAGTTTGTGTCGAGTATTGACTTTGGAGGTACGTTTAGGATCTTTTCTTAATTAGTTCGTTTCTTTCATGGTAAAAAGATAAAAATACCCAATTTGATCGCGAAAAGTTACCTCAAATTTCATGAAAATTTAATTCTATTAAAAAAATTAAAAAGTATTTTAAATATAATATATAAATTAATATGATAAACAAAAATATATAATAACATTTTATTTTTTAAAGTTTAATCATTTTTTAATTTAATATTTTATAATATTTCTCTTGTGAATTAATTTTTTGCATTTTTTATTAAAATAATCATAAATATGAGTGACAACAGTCGATCACGATTTTGTCTTTGGCCTAGAAAACCCGTCAGAGGAGCGGAAGCCAAATCTTTAATGACTAAAATTGAAACATTGAAAATTCAAATTAAAACAAGTAAATTTGAAGCTCCTTTTTGAAAAAAAAAATAGAAAAATTAAAGCATTTAATTATTGAGGAAAAATATTTCATTTTTAATACATTCATTATATGCATATAACATGTAAGTATTTTATAATAAATAAAACAAAAATACTAATTTGAATGCTAATAATACCCAGAATATTTGCCTACTAGAAGAAAAAATTTCAAACCAGACCTTTAACACGTGTCAAAGCCCAAGAGCGGTTGCACCAAAAATCTATAACCCATTAATTAAAAAACCAAACTTGTAATGAAAATCAATCGTCACCGTTGATTTACTCCTATAAAAGACACGCTAGGGCTTTAGTATTTCAGCTCTCTCTTCTCGCAAAGCCTCAGAATTCGGCTGCAAACCTTGAGCACAAAGTCATGGTAACGCTCACTTTCTGCAGAATCGTATTTGCTCTTTTTTTTTTCCTTTTTAATCTCATTTGTATGATTATTTATCTTGGCTTATTTCGATTCGAAATATCATTGTGTATAATATTTAGCTTCTGTTTTTAACGTCAGATCTCTGTTTTATTCTTCGTTTTTGATTGCTTAAAACTTTTATGAAAACATGAAAGAACTGAACCATGGATTCGTCTTTTAACGTTATTACGATTTTGTTTGAGAAAAGAATCAATCGAATGATTTAACTCTTCTTTTTCTTTTTGTTTAATATATTTAAATATATTTTAAGCAGTGTCTATTTTTATTTGGAAACTCGAAGATATTATTTGGTTTAACTAATTTCAAGTTTAATTTGGATTTTCATTCTATTTCTAATTCATTTTTTGGTGAATTGATAAGAAAAAGTAAGATGACCTGATAATTGAAATCAGCAGCAAGAAATTAAAGTTGTGAATTCTTTTTATTGAAAAAAATTTAGGCAATGTTTCGTTGTTAGTTTTGCTATTTCCTTTTTGCTTCCTTGTCTTATCGAACTACTGATTATTATTTTTTTGTTCTGACATAATGTAAAATGTGTTTGAATGTGAAAAGCATGGAAGTGGAGTAGTTGACAATTTTATAGGTTTATTTGCATTTGAGATGTTCATCATAGATGCTGCCTGGGTTTTCTGAGTTGGTTGGTTTTATGTTATAGGTTTACGTTAAAGCTCAAAAGTCTAAGGCTTATTTCAAGAGATTTCAAGTTAAGTTCAAGAGAAGGCGAGGTATGATAATGATGCCTATCCTTAATGGTGCCATGCGATTCTATTACTTGCTTTGTTGAGGTTTTAATAATTGTTTAAATCTTGTAGAGGGCAAGACGGACTATCGGGCCAGGACTCGTCTTATCAATCAAGACAAGAACAAGTACAACACCCCGAAATATCGATTGGTTGCACGATTTGTATCCAAATTTCGGAGTTACTGGCTTTTGTTTTACTCATTGTCATTTGGTTTATGCTGTGTAAAAAGAAGCAATTGTTTATGTTATTTCTAGTGAATACTTTGTTTGGTTAGTTAGATGGTTTGTTGAGGGTACTCAATTAAGACGTTATAAGATTTTATATAGGCAATTAAATGGGCTAAAATACCTTGATTCTTCTTTCGTCCATGACATGATATTTATGTTCTTTATTTTCCTATTGGGTATTAATACCAACATTTTGGGCTAGTTAATATTTTAACCTTAACACATTTATTAGACCAACAAGGATATTATTGCACAAATTGTATATGCTAGTATTTCTGGTGATATGGTTCTTGCAGCAGCTTATGGACATGAGCTTCCTTGCTATGGACTTGAAGTTGGCCTTACAAATTATGCTGCAGGTGTGTGATTTACTTTTTTAAATGTTAAAATGGTCTTTTCTCCCTCCTTTGATATGGTATCTCTTTTAATGATGCTCTGAACACAGCTTATTGTGTTGGACTCCTTTTGGCTCGCCGAGTTCTGAAACAGCTGGAAATGGATGCTGACTATGAGGGAAATGTTGAGGTAGGTGTCATGCTCTTTAAGATTTGAAAAAATGTTTAGTTTACATGTTTTATTGTAGATTGATGATAAGCATGTGGAAATAATGTTTTTCATTTGCTTACAGGCAACTGGGGAGGACTTCAGTGTTGAACCAGCAGAGAGCAGGAGGCCTTTCCGTGCTCTACTTGATGTTGGTCTTGTCAGAACAACCACTGGTAACCGTGTTTTTGGTGTTCTCAAGGTATAGTGGAACTGCTTTTTATATATTTCTCTTTAGCATTCATTTAAGCATGCATGTATCTATGTACCTAAGCACGGTAGTTTTTGAGTTTATGCTGTTAATTTCTGCAAGTGAGGGAAATAGTTGTATGTATTGGGGCAAAAATTTTATATGATAAAATTTACTAACTTTATGCTGCAATTTTTTTTTTTTGTTTTTCTTTTATTTTACAGCTGGGCTATCTTGGCTGCCCACTTTTAGCTGTAGAACATCATTCTTAAATATCTTTTAGGTTTCATTTTTCCACCTATATTATCTTTCCAATCAGGTTTAATGCATGTATTCTTTCCATTCCTTTTTAGGGAGCTTTGGATGGCGGAGTTGATATTCCTCACAGTGACAAGAGGTTCGCCGGATTTAACAAGGACAGTAAGCAACTTGATCCTGAAGTTCACCGCAAATACATTTACGGTGGGCATGTTGCTGCATACATGAGGGTAAGATTTAGTTTTTACAGAGTGGTAGAAGAGAGTAATAATGGTGTTCAAGCTCTCTATGGCTTTTTTTGGGAGAGGTTGTGAGAAAGGTGCTGAAGGCTGTTACTAGGTTTTAATTTGGACAAAGTTTCATTTGTTATCCGTTTGTAAGTCTCTCACTTTGTCAAGTTGACAGACTTTGATGGAAGATGAGCCAGAGAAGTACCAGACTCACTTCAGTGAGTACATAAAGAGAGGCATCGAGCCTGACAGCTTTGAGGGAATGTACAAGAAGGTTCATGCTGCTATTCGTGCAGATCCAGATGCAAAGAAATCTGAGAAGGAACCTCCCAAGGAGCACAAGAGGTATACCTTCTTTCTCTTTCACGTGAGGCAATTTATTTGTAAACATAGTTCAGAAATCCAATTAAACAGGCATGGCCGGCTGAACTAATTAGCTTGAAACAAAATTTGTTATTAGTCCCTGCGTGTTCATATGAATTTTGGTTTTTAAGAATTTCAAGTCTGATATAATGTCGTTCTGCACTAAAGGTACAACCTGAAGAAACTGTCTTATGAGGAAAGGAAGGCCAAGTTGATTGATAGATTGAAAGCTCTCAATTCTGCCGCTGGAGTTGAAAATGATTCTGATGAGGATGATGATTAAGCTGCGGGAGTTGGTGTTGATGCTAAGGATGATGAACATGCTGAGTGGACCCAGCCTTAAAATTTTAGAATTTTGCTTGTTTATTAGGGATGAGAAACTAGCCTTTTTGCCTGCGGATCTTTTGTTTATGTGGGATTGCTTTTTCAGTTATTTGGTACTTTTCATTACTATGTAACCGTGTCAAAATCTTCACTTGGATTACCTTCCAACAGTCTGTTGACATCTTAAAATATCGGTTGGTTACTTTATTTAAAATGGATCAAGAGGACATTTGAAATCAATATATAATATGTGTTGAATATATAATGAGTGTTGGATGTATAAGATTATGATAAAATAAAGTAATATTATAAATTAAATAAAATTAAATAATATTATTTTATTTTATATTTGATGTATAAAAAAGTTAAAATAAGATAATTTTATTTATTAGATAAGGTTTTTTTAATTTATTTAATTTAAAATAATAATATAAAATTTAAAAGTATAATAAAATATATAAATTTGATTTATAAATTAAAAATAATTTTTGGTAGGATTTAATCATTTTATTTCAAAAAGATGATTAATTTATTTTGGTAATTTTATTTTTTTTAGATATAAATTAAATATGATATAAAATTATTATTTTTTTTTTATTTATCATTTTATACATTAAATATGATTAATCATTTTTATAATTTTATTTTTTTAAATATAAATTAAATATGATATAAAATTATTATTATCGTATTTTATTTATCGTTTTATACATCAAATATTATTTTAATATTTGTAACATTATGGTGACACTTGGCCATTAGCCTCATTTATAACGTGGCCGTGGAGGATGGTCCAAAGAAACCAAAATATGAGAAAACATGACTCCATTAACTAAAAATAGTAGCAACCGGTTACTCCTCAAGAACACCGAACATTTTTGCTCTCAGCTGTCGAGAAACCGAGTTCACCTACATTCAAGACGAAAAGAGACACAAGATCAAACTTGCACAAGAAATCAGGATTATAATGCATTCATAACATCAAGATAATTAGTTCAATACTTAATCATCCAAATTCCAATTTTAATCCAATTGTACATTCAAGACTACCCAAAACAAGAAGGTTCTCATCTCAGTTTGCTAAAACATTCTCTGCCAATTTTTTTCATAAAGTTATCTACAATGACAAATTTGGAACATGGGTATTGGGTAATGTTTTCACAGCATTAACAGACCTACTCATTATCTTCTGGATCAAAATCTCTAATCTTCACATCAGCATCTTCACCATACTGAATGCAGTTGTCAATTTGAGCCAAAACATATTGTATGCTGTAATAAAATAGAACATGATACCATTATCAATGATAAAACAACAACATAAATTGTTAAACAGAATAACCACTCAAGCATAGTCTAATCCCTGAAAGAGAAAGTATCCAAGAACTTTGCGTTCTTTACAAATCGTTATGGGTTCTAAGACATCCAACATACAAAAATATAGTTCTCAAAAGCTAAGCCACCATCTTAGCCTTTTACTTCCTTTTCATTTAAAACTTAAATTATTAAAGAACTAAGTTGGCCTATTTGCGACTCTATCAGGAAAGCTAGAGATTAAAGTGTTGCACCTAAGAGAGTGCGATCAGATCAAATCTCATGTACAAGAGTGTAATCCACCCACTAAACACCAGCGACACACAAACAAGCACACACACACACACACACACACACACAGAGAGAGAGAGAGTGTACCTTCTTTCCTTCCTCAAGTCAAGGGGAATAAAGCTCACCATGCTATATTCATCCACCTAACATTCAAAGAAACAATAATGTGACAAGTACAACATGATATAACATATCCAACCAATTTTAAGACTTCATAAGAATTGCGTAAATGTAAAGAATACAATACAAAGAGTGCAAATACATATAGATTTCATATCAAGGAACAGATCAAACAACCAAATGGTGAAAATACCCCTTAACTGAGAAAATTAAACCTTGCTACGAGGAAAACTATGTTTGATATATTCACTCAACTATAAACTAAATCAAGTGACTTTAAGGGTCCTTACCAAAACAAAACAGGCACATTTATGGTGTGATCATAGAATAATTGAAAAGAGAATCTTCTAAGTGTTCCGAGAGTATAAGATATTGTTGAAGATAACCAAAAAAAAAAAAAACATAAAATATCAAACCCCTTTCTGAATTACTAGGCCAATATGAAAAAACAATTCGTGTCCCCGGTCCTCCCCCACCCCACCCCAAAAAAAAAGCTCCAAATAACCAACGGACAGTAGATATTGGATCCTGAATAACCAAGTATCTCACCAGTTCAATCAAAGACTTATTTAGCTTTTTAAACTGAGGAGCCATCCGTTCATTCAGCTCTGACAGCAGATGTTGAGGCTCTGGATCCAAGTAACTATGAACAACAAAGACATTGGTTAAAGAAAAGAAAAAGAAAACAATGAAAGAAAATAAATGGAATGCATGTTGGAGAAGAGCTAGTGAAAGATAGAAATGCTCACTTTTCGACATCCCTCTTGTTTGTTACAAGGTCCATTTTGGAGAGGATATTAACATGTGGTAATTCAAGCTGGACAATTGCAGAAAGTGATGCCATGCATCCACTTATGTACTTAGTAACATCCGTGATAAACTGACACAAATAAAATTTTAGAGATCGTAAATGCACATAATCAATGATAAAGGCATGCCAACTAAATTTGAATAGGAGACAAGGATGTTGGAAGATGCAGAGCTTAGACAAACCTGGGAATCAAGCAAGTATACAGCACACACATTAAAATTTTTATGCTTCAAGTGCTCCACAAAGTTACGGAGCACTGGTACATGTGAAAAGAGTTCTATTTGGCCTATAAAATAATCGAAGGTTAGCAAAATTTATCCCCATTTGTAGTATAGTTCAACAGATAATATACCACATCAGACAGCCTAGTTCAGTAACACAACACCCAAAGTGTATATCCCTGCCAAAATAAAAGGCAATGAACTTAACAATAATTTTCCAGCTTTTACTTACCGATAATACTACATACTCATCCAAACAAGAATAGATACCTGGGCAATCAAACACCAGATAGTCATCATCCAAGTAATTGTCCAATTCTTCAGTCAGCCAATCATCCAGATTTTCTTCAAGATGTCTAGTTGGAGATTAAGGTTTACATTTTTGCTCCCAAAATCTAACTAAGAAGGAATAAACATGCAGCTATTCATAAAATAAAATACAAAGCTCAGAGCTGTGGCATAAATTAGTCAGCTAAAAACAACACAAATATTCAGAGCATTTAAACACTTCAGCACAAGCAATAATTCAAATTGATACAACGATGTAACAGCATTCAGATAACCATAAAAACAATCAAGATAATTCAAAATGCAGAAAAATGAAAATTCAATTTATAGAGCAAGACCAGAATAAAGGAAAGGATACTCCATGCAGTATATAAGGCCACCATTCGGACCCAATCCAAGCTCCTCCATAACATCGTCCAAACTTATGAGCTCTCTTATATCTACAAACAAACAAAACTAGTTGCAACAAAACCAGAGAAAAAGATAAAACCAATGAGAAACATTAAAGCAAAAGGTTGATTACCCATGGCTACTGGATAGTCAAAATTTTCTGCTGCAGGATCTAGGTTCACAATATGTATTGACCGTCCAAGGGTTTCACAATGCTGGTACAGGCTAGAGCAGTAGGTTGACTGATTCCGAAACCAAGAATAGTCATTTTAGTATACATTGCGATGCACATAAAAACTCATTGGCTAAGTGGACTGAAAACAACAATAGTCATTTTTATTTTTTCCCTTACACAAAAGAAACCAGAAAACCCGGGAAAGATAGAATTCATTTCAAACCCATTAATAGAATAGTTGATAGACTAACTCACCTTTCCACTGCCTGCAGGACCAATAACTAGTTGTGCATAGCCCATGATAGCTTTTTCCACTTGTCAAACTGCTTCACTAACTCAGAACGAACAGATGGAATTGAAGATTCGCAATGATGCAAGAACTGCAACAGTAATATATGCAGTACACCACACACCGATAGCGAACAACAAATTCAAGAAATCAGAGTGGCCCATAAACAGTGGTGAGAGAGAGACACAACATTAGATAACCTGATTTATCAATATCAAAGAAAAAACTGGAATTATATTTTAATTACAGTATGCATTAAAGCACGAGGAAAGCAATCCCACCAAGCAAAGAGGAAAATCCCATCCTCATCTTTAAATATTGATAAAAATGTAGATAAAACCATAAAAACATGAATTGGATAGAGGAATTAACATATTCCTTTAATTTTCTCTGGAGTTCTCCGCAACGGCTACAAATGCTGCAATTGGTATTTAAACCCTGAATACTATAACAACTGAAACCAGCTTCATCCAGTTTATTATATGTAGAAAATTTGTGCATTAACACTAAGCGAACAAAACAAAAAAAACCCATAACTGACAACTCATAAGCTGAATTTCTTCATATAAAAATTTTAATCATTGAAGAACAGCAACATAATCGAAATAAGCAAGACATGCAAATAGTTTCCCAAAAAGGAACAAAAAAAAAAAAAAAGAAGAGAAAAGAAAAACATTATTAAGGTGAAAATCAATAGATCAATAGATTACCTGAAGCCCTGAATGTGATTTTCCACTGAGAATGGGGATTGAAAGGGAAGCCTATAAAGGAGAAGACTCCGAAGACCAGGCTTGAAACGCACTCAATGTATATTTTTACACATAATAGATAAATAAATATTTAGGCTTTACGACTTTGCCTTCACTCCACTCGGTGGTTGACTGGTTGTATAATACACCAGAGTACCAAACGACAACGTTTGGCAAAACACCAAAATACTTCTTTTTTTTGTGGGTTCTGTCCCAATTTCCTTGTGACTCTCCTTCAAAATCTTGGATTTTCAATTTTCTTTTGCTGATTTTGGATGATTATTTCGAATGCAGGGAGATTACTGAAAAAAAAAATGCTTCCTTTATTTTTATCTGAGCCAAATTGGGGTGATGAACGGGGAGATAATGAAGTTACCCATCAAATAATATTGCTTTTAAATCAACTGGGTTCAGTTATTTGGTCACTGATGATCGCTGGAGGTCGTTCTGAGGCTCGACTATGGCTTTGCAATGCCGTTTCGAACATAAGCTTTATCTCTCCTCACCAACAGAAAGAGATTTTTTGTGAAGTTGTTGACATCCAAGCCAACAAGGAGGGGTTTAGCGTGTCAACTCTTGCAATTGGTTTTTGAGAAGAGGCCAAGAAAAGCTGGTTCTATCTTGGCCAAGAAAAGTTACTTGCTTGAAAATTTTTCAAAGGCTAGTTGGTTTTCCTTTTGTTTTTTGTTTTTTTTTTTTTTTTGCGTTTTGTTTGGTATGTTTTGTGTGATTTTTGTTGCACTGTTATTTTCCTTAAAGGTAATTTTCTATCTGCGGAATGTAAAAGAAATAAGTACTCCTTGTTTTAGATTAGTCTAAGTACTATTTAGATTTTTTGTCTTGAATGACTGAACTTTTGTTTCTCTCAATTGCAGTACTGATTTTTGTAAAGCATTCGACTGAAATTTAAAGGCTGAGTTACTGTAAATTTTATGGTTTTTCCAAGTTGGTTCTTTTTTGCGGTTTGATTAGAATATTTTGTGTGACTTTGTTGCAGTCTATGTCCTTTGTGAAATTGAATTTCGTTCTGTAGAATGCAATGTAATTGGTAGCTCAATCCTAGTTCTTTAAGCTCCACATATACTTAGTTTAATTTTTATGGTCCTCTGATTATGCTAATAATGGATGAATCATGCAGGGAACCCAAAGCAAACAATGCAGTGGTTCTCTCATTTTGGAGATGGTGGTGGATCGGAACACAAGAAAGGTGCAAAGGCGTTGTCTCAATTTGCATTTGTAAATAGGGATATCTGTTGGGAGGGGCTTGAATGGAAGGGAAAACATGGGCAATCACCTGCAATGGTTGCCACAAAGTCTCATTACTTTCTTGACTTAGATGTCCAACGAACAGTGGAAAATTTCCTTGAAATGTGCCTGAATTTTGGTCGTCCAGTGAGTTTGCTGAATCACTAAACGATGGTGAGATTCTATTCATGGTTACGAAGTTCTTTGTGGAACTTTTTGTTGATTTGATGTATAAGGAGGATTTAAGAGATCTATGGGACGTCATAACTGATTTTCTTAAGGAGTAATCATTCTCATCATTTTGTCATCAACTTCTTATCTCTCTTGAAGAGGTTGAATTCTGCATTTTTCTGGAATTGCTTCGTAGATATATCAATCCAAGGATGGAACCTGAGGATTTCGGTAACCCATCTTACCTCCTGGAGTTTATAATTTTTAAGTGTGGTGATTCTGAAACTTTTGATAAGCTACTTCTGTTAAATGCTGTTATCAATCAAAGGAGACAGCTTCTTCAGCTTGTACATGATGAAGAGTGTCAGGATAAAAATGAGCAAGTCAAAGATATTGTATCGCAGATGTGCAAAACCTCCACTAATGCCTATACTTTGACTTCAATCCTCAAAGAATGTATCAAAACAAACCCATAGAAGCAATGAAATTGTTGGGGCTTTATTCTTGGGTTATCTATTACAGATTATCAAAGGAATGCCAGACATTTGGATCCTGGGAATCTTTATCTCTGAGTAATGGGATAAGTTTCTGCAAATCTGATAAATATTCTATACTTCGTCATGAAGGCTCTGTAGAAGAAAGTGAGTCTGAAGCAGATGATAGAGCATCAATTAGGTATAGGAAGAAAAAGAAAAGCAGAAAGAAGAGAAAAAGGGACTTTGATCATGATGATAGCTATGACAATAGTTTGCTGGATTTTGATACTTGGTTGGGGTTACAATCTGGCAGTGGAAGTTGGTTGCTATCTATTGATGACTTTTCTACATCATGGACTAATGTGAGTTCATTACCCTTATCTTCTATATGTATTCAATTGTTAAACTTTTCATTGCAGTGGAAAGTGGTTGCAACTTTGCTTTTGAAATTGTCCGTGTTCTACTTCTTTCATCTGGTGAGGAATGTTCGTGACATGCTGAGATATTCTAGGATATATCAAGTTTAGACTGCAAATGCTATGTAAAGAAGTGTTTATCGTTCCTACCACATGAACCCAAAATGAATAACAAGGAAGAAAGAAGGAACATAGGTCCGTTTGCTTTTTTTTTTCCTTCTAATATGTATACAATATGTCTAGTCTTTCCCCTAATGAGTAGAATAGTTACTATTATTAGCATTATTATTCAATGCTGAGAATAGTCATTTTAGTTATGAAGTAGGAAAGTCATTTTAGTTATGAAGTTCCCAGTAACATTCCGCGTTGGTGTTTCACTTTCTTTGCTACTGTTTTTGAGGTGTGAGGTAAATTAGAATTTCATACTTCTTTGCTCCCTTCACATTAGATAAAAGAACTAGTAGAAACTGTGTAAGAAACCATAATCTAGGAAAAGTGGATGTTTATTGCTTTGTCATTTTTTTTTTTTAAAAGGGAAAGTAGAACATTTAATATAGAGGGGCAATAGTATTTTCAAGCCGTCATTTTCATTCTTGTCTTTTTTTTTTTTTGTTTGTTATTGAACCTTGTTGTCCCATCCTGTGGCTTTCTGATCATATCATTATAATGATTGCAGGCAGATTTACCAGAGCACCTTTCAAATTACTGCTTGTCTACATGGATGAAGTTACTTGTTTCCAAATCAATTAATGTGGCTAATGCTTGGTAGGGAAGCAATTGCCTTCTTTGTTTTGTAATATTTTGATCTGGACGCTTATAGATGTGTGCCTTTAAACCAGACAGATATCACTTTGCCTGTCTAAAACCCTGTTTGGGAGGATGGAGTGGTGCAGTGGGAGGGGTTCCCCACCGCACTGGTCCCCCAATTTTTCAGTGGACTCATATCATGCTCCGAATCGGCACTCAACCAATGATCTTTAATATAAGTACAAAAGCAGGAAAGCACAATCAGGTTTTAGTATTGATGGTTATTTCTATATAAAATTTTTTCAGATGGTTGGCAAGTTTGTTGATTTGAAGATGGAACCCTTCAGCTGATGGCTAGATTGTTGAGGTTTCAACTGATAAAGAAATTGTACAATATATGGTGCGTTTGCATTTTATTGAGCTACAAATTTATCTTGGGTTCAACTTTAACATTTGACGACTTTATTGGCTGATTCGGAAACTTTTGTTGACTAATTTTGATTTTGATCCGCAGGCTGGTTTAACAACAGTGAGGTTCCTTAAAAGGTATCATGTAAAGCCTTATTTCTTCCTTCAAAGTTGTACACGTCCAGGCTTTTGGTGATTCGCAAATACCTAGAATTTTGGTTGAATGATCTCAAACAAGCTATAGCAAGACAATAAAAATTATTCATTTTACTTGAGTATTTTTCTTGTGTATTGGAGAAGGATAGCAAAGTAACAGAAATAAGATAGGAGGAATTCATGTTCTCATGGGGAGCTTTGTGAAATACTTGACTTGAGCAGTATCTTTGTTCTAAAGATCATCGAGAAACACTTGCATTTCCTTTTTGATGTTGTTCCTCAACTAGGGATCCTAAAGCTTTTACTAATGTTTGATATGGAGATCTCATTTTCACCATGTCAATGCATGCCTACCATGGTTCTTTTACAGCCCCCAGAAATAGGGAAAATCTCTTTCTGATCTACATCTTTCCAGGGGATATCTATGCTTGAATAATGCTGTCGTAGACTCAGCAACTTCGTTTATACAGCACAAGCAGTTTAACTAAATCATGCAAAAGCGGTTGCAGAAAAATCCAATTAAGTCCTGGGGATTCATAGTTTGAACGGAACTTGGGAAGAAGTGTTGCTATAATTCTGATCATAAAAGATATAGCATCCACTGTCCAGCTTGGGAACTCAAGTTTACAACTTTTTCCCTATTGTTCACAGTGTGCATGTTTGTTACTCTTACAATAAAATAGGGTAAAAAAGAGGAAGGAAAAAGAAAGGATCATAGAAGATGTTTCTTCTGATGGTTAAATGAAACAAGTTGAAGAGTTTAACAGAGGAACCCCAATATAGCCCTGTACAAACCAGTATCTAATTGAAATATATATGTTACATTATTGATACAGAAACTTCAGCCCATGTCTTACAGAGCTTCACCATCAGATATCCATGCAACATCACTTTCAGATTCTTCACGCCCTGCAAGGGGAATTAAAAAAAATAAATAAAGTGGCAATGAATTAAGGCTAAAGAGGAGGAGAAATCTAAATTCGAGTAGTAATTTATACGACACCCAAGAAATGTGAAAAATGTAAATCGAAGCCAAAGGTTTTTGAGGCCATCAAATTTCTGTAGGTTTGAAGAAAAAATCATTGTCTGGGAGACGGTTTATTACATTCATATCCCTCAGAACGAAGGAGAAGTGCCATGAAATTTCGTGATTTCCACTTAGTAGTACTGGGCCTTACAACAAACTACAATAAGCAGGGATGTAGTCTACTGTATATTAATATACTGTAAAGTGATATAAGTGGCCTACAGGTTCAAAGAAACTTACCCAACGACAAATATGCTGGCAAGCTAACATACTTCGGACATGAGGTCTTTGAAGCCAAACAGTTTCGAGGCTGTAACAAGAATAAATAATTTCAACACATGGATCAGTTCCACATAAAAAAAGAACTTTAATATAGATATATATTTCATCAGACACAAAGATGCTTCTGCATGCTCATGTTTGAAATAGGCTTTCTGCCAATCCATAACAAAGGTCCTGATGATCCAATCAGTTGCACTCCTTCAGTAGGATAAGTGAGGTTTTTTTTGGTAGGAAACTCAGAGATTAAGCACACGCTGTATGAGGGCTGTTAAGACTAGGTTTCTTTAGGAACACCTACAGTTTGTAGTGATTTATTGTCTTACAGACGCAGATGAGAGGTTCATCCTAGCTAAATGTCCAATCCAAGCCAAGAACAAATACCGTGATTGAATACATCAACTGTGAAGAACATGGGTGTACAAAGCTCATAACCAAATGATGCCAATGGACTGAATCTAACCTTAAAATCCTTATAGAAGCATAAACGAATTTCCTCCACAGCATCTTTTGAACAAATCACCTCCGGTGTTGCCTGGAAAGAATTCTGAATGGCAGAGACGATGCCTCCAAGAGGATACCTTTCGCTATTAGAAGGAACATATCCAGCTTCATTCAGTATTTTCTGGCATTAAATTATTGTGCAAGAGTTATCAGTCAAACTGATCGTTGGATAAAACAGCATATCATTTCAAATATCAAGTAATCTGAAATATGATTCCAATATAAAATTAATCACTAACAAACTATACCAAAAACGATGACATAATCAAATTTACTTTGCAATAGTCATAGATATTGAAAGACAATATCAGTAACCTATTCATTAGACTTTTTGATACAAAACAAAAGGTAAACAAGATGGCAACAAGATGGCTAAGTAACAGAATACCCACTGAAGGTTATAGGGAGTAATCAAAATCATGGAGTTAATTGTTTTTGTAATCTGTTGAAATAGATGTGCAAATATATTGTTCATGCAAGTAGGAAAAAAAAAATACTAACAGTTGGCCAGTTGGAGTCTAAATTTCAACAATTTTCATATTAGATGCAGCTCATAGATATTCCTTTCATTAGTTTTTCAAACCATATGTAGTTGCTGCTTAACGGAGCCATGTGAGCAAACCTTATAAAAGCCAAATGCACAAACTACACCTTTATATCAGTCTTGATCTCTTGACAATAATTTATGCTCCTTTTGCATATCAGATTAAACAACATGCTTACTACACTAAACTTGAAATTCTGGGAAAACACTTGGTCACTTTAACAACAAGGTATGTTCCATTAGAATAAAGGTTATATTTTGAAGTATAAAATAAGAATAACTCTTATTAGAAGGGCCAAGCAGCAACTTGAAGATTTTGAAAGAACCTAGTCATAAAAGACAGCAGATTCATGCCTCAATTGAAGCACTAAATAACTTGCTCACATAGGAAGAGACGCAGCTTACTCCTTCGCTAACAAAACTATCCTAACAGTAGATCATTTAGGGCTGGAAACAAAAGACTTGTAACACAGAACATTCCCAGGAAACAAAAATAAACTTGTTTTTCTCAGAAAGCAATCAATTACCAAGAATTCAGAAAACAATGGTAGATTTCACCAACATCTCATACTCATGGCTACTTCATAGGAACATGTGTTAACCCCGATAAGAATGCAAGAACAAGTAATTGATGATATACTTTGGCTTTCTGGATAAAACTTTCACCCCAAAAGAAAGAGTTACGTGCACAACTGAATTCATGGTGATGCATATTTAGGACACAAACTTAACAACAGAGAAACATAGGGTTGTTTCAGGGTGTATAAGACTAAACAAGCTTTTCTAAACCTTACCGTGACATTATATTTGAAATAAACATTGAGGGTCGTTATAAAATAGCTGTATTCATCTCGAACTACTGGAGAGGAGCAAGTTCCATGCTTCTCTGCAAGTGAAAATGCAATACTTACAAGCAGCAAATGTAAATACAGAGATGAAAGAGCATATGTGTACGATTTTCTATCTAAATTTTATGCTTACAAGTGCTTATTCATCAAAACTAAACCACATTATTTGTTGATATATTACTTAGGAAAGCAGCAGATGTGCAAGGTTGCCATTTGCCACCAAAGTTTGATGCATGGAGTTAGTAAATATATCTAAATAAAAGATCATTATTACTTCATTAGGGACTATCACATTCTACTCTTGCTTCAAAGAAACAGTGATTCATTTTTGTAATACCGAAAATAACCCTTTAATGGGTTACATCACAGTAGCTCTCTAAAGGATTATATATCCAGACATGATATCAATAAGGAATTATTATTGTGATATGAAGAAAGGTACCATAAATATCACTTGTCATCATCTACAAAATCCCAAAACCAATTTCAAGATCATAAATCATATAGAAAATCCACCATGTCTCATTATTAAACAGTTAACCGGCTTTTACTCTCTTTATTAAAGCCTCCTGTTCATTCACATTCCTGGTTATCAGTCTCAACAGCCTGATTAAAGCAAAGGAAATGAAATAAGTCATTATAAATGTAGTCGACTACAAGGCACAAGCATTCCGTTTATTTTCCTTTTTTAATTTTTGGTCCATGGTTGGTGTATTAGTGATGGGTAAATATGCCCATCCTTTTCACTCGAGTGCATTTCATCTACAATTCTTTTTTCTACTATCCTACAATTATCCAATTACAATAAAGAATTATGTAGAGATCTACCACTTATAAGCATGGGCTCCGTATAAAATTTTGATGGACTCCACATAATTCTGAATTCTAATTGGTTAATTGTAATGCAATATTTGTAGGTGATATGCTCCCTTTTCACTCATCTGGTTTGCTTAGGCTTGAGCCTATGACTTATAACCTGCCAAGCATTTTATATGGCAGGAGCTGTCATTAAGCACTAGCATTCACGTTGCTCTAAAATTGTACCAACAGAAGCCATTTTAAAGATCAGATGTACAAGATGCACATAATCTCATCGTTCTCATGAAAATCTATAAAGTAGAGGAAAATTTATACTTCCTTTACAATTTAAATAGAGGAAAATCTATAAAATGAACATGAGATGCAAATCATATCATATGACAACAAAAGCTGAAGATACTTACCCCACTGCCAATGCGCATCCCCCATTTCATCCATATAGAAACAAAATGAAGCAATTATTAGTTTTTTTTTTTTTTATCATGGGGTGAGAAATTATTCAGCAACATATACAGATATACAACTAATATTGACCTCGTGAGCCCAAAATATCCCTTTTCCACTGAAGCAAGTTGATGTTTGGCCACAATATAAGGATGGCCAGTACTTCTCAAGTGCATCAAGCAATGTCGAAATCTACATGCATTTAGCAACAAAGATCACGCACTAGAGCCAATTGATGTGACATATGTGCTGAATGAAATACAAGGAACAACAGGTAGAAACAGAAAAAAAGATATATATATATATATATGTATGGAAAAAGAGAACTTATCTAAGGATAAATGTTAGGAACTGGTATAATACAAGTCAGGACATGAGGAAAACATGTGCCAATGTAACAGCTTTTAAAGTTTTGACTTCAACTTTTTCCAGAAATCAAGCCAACTTTTGAAGTTGCAAATAAACCAAAATGTCTTAAAACTAAAAAGAAGAAACTATTGACTGAATAATTAACAAAGACATAGCATCACAAGGTGTCGCTTATATCATTAACACATGCTCACTATACATGGGTGTCAGTCTCCAACATGCATCTTTGTAAAATACAGAAGTTCTATGGCATAAGCACCACTTCGAATGCATTAATCAAATACGTTTCAGAAGGATGTAATTGCAAAATAAATAACAAAAACCACACACCTCTTTGACATCAAACTGAGATCGGGCACAACAGGAGGGCCAAGTTCCATCATTATAATCCGGCCATAATCCATCTACCAAGAAGAAAAAAATTTTTAAAAAATGATTTGAAATAATCATACAATTAATATATTCAAAAATAATAATTATAAGAAGAAGAATATATCGATAGCCAAACACTTACGAATAGTAAATTCAGTGGGAGAATTCGAGCTGCAAGAAAAATATGTTTTGAAAAATTAATGCATGAAACGAAATTTGTCACGAAAATAAAAAATTGAAAGTGGGACTGATTTACCCTCGGCAGCAGGCGTTGGAGGAGCAGCAATGGCGAGTCCGGCGGCAGATGGTGCCGGGCCATTGAAGAGACAAAGCGAAGTAATCGAACTCCCTCTGACCTCCTTCTAGGCTTCCATTCACGCCTATCATCAAGCAGGTAGCCATCATTAAGGCGAAGCAGAGAAAGATTCGGGCAGAGAGAGACGCCATTGTCTTCGCTTTTGTTTTTATTCTTAAAAAGTCATCCGAGCGTTTTCCCATTTTATAGAATGGAGGTAGCTGAGGGGAAGGATAGAGTTGTCATTTGCCATTGTTGCGACAAAGCAGGTGCGTGCAATAATTGAAAAGGGATATACTTTGGAGGAAACCTTGCTTGGTTCGGTCCCACCGTTTCAGTTTCAGACAATGCTCGTTTTTTTATTGGCTAAAACCAGGCCCAAAGTCTGCCAATTTTAGCAGACAAGTTCCATTTTTTTTATTCATAAAAAGTAATTTTAAATTAAATAATATTATAAATAATTGTAATAATAAAAATAAAAATAATTATTGTAAACGATATTTTTTAAAAAATAACAATAAAAAGATTATATTAATTAAGAAAGTGATTAATTTGATATTTCAAATAATTTACTTGTAATCGACTATAATTTGTAATAATTTTTATTATTTCTTATTTATGATCATAAAACTTAAGAAAAATTGCATGGATAATTATATTACAAAAACGAATTGTATTTTTAAATACATAAAATATTACTTATAATATTTGCATTCAATTTTTTATTATTTAAAATGATTATAAAGAAATTGTAAAAATTTTTAATTATTGAAATCAAACCAAAAATGAGGACCATTTTGTAATAATTGAATTGATTATTTTTAAAATGCTTATAAAAATAAAATGTAAATAAATATTTAAGATCAAGCCAATTTTGATGTAACTTTTAATAATAAAATCAATTATTTTTAAAGTAATTATGAAATATTCATATTCGATAATTTTTTATGAAAAAATAAAATAATTTTATAAAAAAATATATGATTTAATTGTAAACGGAGTTATCATTAACTCATCATATTATATATATTAAATTTTGTTTACTATATGAAGTTATTAAAAATAAATTCTAAATTATTTATAATATAATATAATATAATTAATATTTTATTCATCTTCATATTTGAATTTGATTATTATAATATGATAAAAAAATATTTGATATAATTATATCCATTCAATTCAAAATATCGATGGTTCATCTGATACAAGTGAAATATTTATTTTTAAATTGGATTAAATTATATAATTCATAAAAATAAAAAAAAATGATTTGTATAAGTAAATTTATAGTGATTAAATTTATTATTTCGCATAAACTACAGGATGAATTATTTGACAAAAAATTACTAAATTAGCTCCATATTAATTCAAACAATAACTTATTTTTTGATATTATATATTTTTCAAAATTAAACGAAAAATATAGAATAAAAAGGAAAAAAAATTTTCGTCCCACTTTTGGTCAGGGGCCCGCGTCCGTGCGAATGCGTTGAGCGTTGAGACAAACATTGTCAAGGGCATGGAATCACCCGAGGCTCTTGCTCTTGGACTCCCGAGAGGAATTAAAAAAATAATAAACACCCCGAGAACCTACGGACCCGAAGCCTGAAAGAGGTAAAAAAAAAAAAAAAGAGAAGAAAATTTATGCTAGTCGTCGTCGTTCCTCCCCATCCAAACCCTAAAAAAGTACAACTTTCTTTCTTTGCCTGCTCCTGAACTCTCTCGAACTTTCTCTGATCTACGGACTCTACCCTTCCGCTCTCTTTACTTCATCTCCAATTCCCTTCAATTCCAACCTTTTTCGCGTTCTTCATTTCACTGGTCAATTTCTCCTCCTTACGTTTTCTTTTTTTTTTTTTTTATGTTTTAATTTTTTGCGCGGTTTATATTTTTGTTTGAATTTGTTATTTTTTTCTTAGGTTTTTTTGCTGGTAGTGAAGCGTGAGGACTGAGTTGAATAGAAGAAGAGCTTGAACTTTTGTGCGTTGCTTTCTCGTGATCTGAAAAAGTACCACAGCGAACTTGCGATTCTATGTTTGAGGTGTTTTGATTTCTTTTTATGTTTGTTGAAGCTTTTTAATGATAAATCGTGAAGGTTTCCCCCCCTAATTTTTCTTTGTTTGTTTCGGTAGTTTTCTTTTTGTTTATTTTCGACTTTCTTGGAAATTTATATAACTACTAAGATTCTGAGGAGAAATTTAGCGGAAATGAGAAATTGAAAAGAAATTATGAACAAATTAATTTAAGTTTGTAATTTTGGTGTTTGTTACGTGCAGAATATGGGATGCTTATCTGAAAATGAAGAATCCTTAGGGGGTTCGGTTTTTTGGTTGTTAAAGTGAATTTTGCTAGCAAAGTTAGTGCTGCTAAACCTTTTATAACTTAACGTAAGCTGAAACTATGTGTAGATTAAGTATTCCATATGAGACTAATTTTAATTTCTTAGTGCAATGAAAAGCCATTGCATGAAAACTTTTGTAACTTATGACCATTAACAATGAATTGAGAATTTGTTTTTAAAGTGAAATATGCTATTAATTGGCTTGAGATGGAAACTAATACTATGCTATTCTTGTAAAATTTAACTGGGGAAATATAGTTTTTGAAGTTAGTGGGTCAGTTTTCTCCTACCATATCCGCCCCTGAACCTGTGTTTAGTTTTCTGTTTGAGGCAGTGGGTGCTTTGCTAGGTTTAAGTAAATATTAATCCAGGTTTAGGAACCATTTTGCTTTTTGTTTTGAAACGAAAGAGTTATGTGGTTTCCAATTTGGCCTTTATCAGTTTTATTTGACATTTCTTTTGCACAACTTTGCATTATGTCAAGCATTAAGGTTATTGAAATATGAGGAGTCCTTCAAAGTGGGCAAAGGACCTCCTTCTTTGTTCATGCACAAGGCACTAGTTGTCTGGTAAAAAGTTTCCTCGTTTTACCCAAACTGTGTCTATCTAAATAGGCCTAGTGAAGTTAGCTTTAGCCTGAGTGTATCTTATGTTGACCAGCTTGAAGATTCCTTTTCCTTAACAGCTCCATCCTACTCAGCTACCCTTAGAAATGCAGAATACATGAATTTGGATGGAGTTGATGATGCTCTGCCAAAATCAATCTTGATCTTTTGCAAGCTTTATATGAATCTAGAGCTCTTTAATCTACATGCCGCATTTTGAGCCAAACTTTGGCTGCATATGTGCTCACTCCCTTGGATTTTCTTCCCATTAGATCTGTAACAGTTGAAAAAAATGATGATTGGAATGACATATATGCTGTAACATTTTATCTTTTGGTACTAGTGATATAGTTGTTTTGAATATAAACAAAGTTGTAAGAAAGATGAGAGCAAAGGAATTAATTGCTACATTGGAGAAATTTATTTGAGGTGAAATTTGGGTATACAATTTAAAAGTTGTAAGGTGCTAGTGTGCACATATGCAACAAAGGGGAACAAATTGGAAAAATAAATTTACTTACTATAGGCTTGTATGCATTTTCAATTCTACAATGTTAGAATTGGCCTTTTTTCACTATATGACATGTCTTTGATGGTAATGTTTAACTTACCAAAGATCTACTTGAATCTTTGTTTACCTTTATGGATGTTTTTACTTGATGTTCATGGATGCTTTCCTGACTATGGCTATAAAATTGCAGTTTATGATGTTACATGTTTCATGAATCATTAACTCATGGATTCTGAAGGCAAGAAATTTGGAAGAGGTACTCTATGTTTAGAATATTGATTTATTAGTGTACTTTTTGTTGTCATTGCATTTTTTTTTGCTTGAGGTAGGGCTTTGAATTTGCTATTAGGTTTTGCATCTATTAAAATACTCCACTGGTGGATCATTCATATCCTGATAGTTGTATGTATTTTTATTCTAACTTTAGCCTGTCATATAGAGCAGCAGATGCTAAAAAAGATAGATCAACATCCATCTTCCCTTCTACTTTAATGAGAAAACTGCAAAATGAAGGAAAGGAATTAAGAATCTTGAATGTTATTGTTTATCGTATTTTACCATGTTGAATCCTAAATTTTGTAGGTTAAAACTATCCATCATGGTGCTAACACTAATTGTTGTTGCCTTAGCCATATTCTTGTGAAGTAGTGTGGTACAAGAAATAATAAAAAGAAAGCTGAGCAGGGGCTAAAATTGATGTAAAATTGAAGCTGGAAAAATGAAACTAGGGTTGAGGTCATAGAACCTCTAACGATAATATCCAAGTATAATACGGTTGCCTAATGTATCTAAAAGACTATTTATACTAGAGTTACAGCAGCTTTTAATCCTGCCCTTAGATACAAATGAACATCATCTAATCCCTAGCCATTTAAACTCATTAAGAGGTGACATGCTAGTCACATGACCACTTAAATAAAAATGTAGTTACTAACCAATAAAAAAAATAAAACAGTAAACAGAGAAAAACATATCAAGATAACCAATTTAGATAAATTCTAGAATGCTTCTGTATCATGATGATTCTCTCTCCCCGTCCTTTAAGCCCTAATGAATAGTTACATGATCTGTCGTAAAATGAGCATTTCCTCCAAAACTTGGATTGCCCAAATGGTTTGATTTAACCATTGTTTCTCTCATTATCTCTTACTTGAGACATCCATATCTCTTTCCTGAAACTTTATTTATCTCAATCTAATTAGGGAAAATAAGTGATTAATAAATTTATTTTCCATCCTTTGTAAGTTAAATTAAAAATAACTTTTTGTAAGGACAATAATCTTATTCTGACTGTAAAATAAGCCTAATCTAAAATAAACAGTTTTTAGAAATTTGTATTTTATCGCTTTTTTGGATTGAAAATTTCAGATTCAGCTGACTAGAAACTGTTTATTATTTGGTGTTGGGTTTATTATTATCGTTCTTTCAACTGACTAGAAACTGTTTATATGAATAAATTTAGGACCAAGGGAACTTAGTGGTGCTGTTGATCTTATAAGTCACTATAAGTTGTTGCCTCACCATGATTTCTTCTGCAAGAGACCTCTTCCTTTGTCCATCGTAGACACACATTATCTTCATAATGTAGTAGGAGACACTGAAATTAGAAAAGGAGAAGGGATGCAGTTGGACCAGCTTATTCAGAATACATCCCATAACAGAGACACTAATGCCCGAATACAGCCTTTTGACCTTGATATTCTTAAGGAGGCTTTCCAGCTGAGAGAAACAACTCCTATTGAATTGCCAGCAGTAAGAAATTTACTTTTTTGAGATTAGCTTTATGCAAGTTTCTTAAACCGAATGGCAGTCCTAGACATTATGCTATCATTTAGGATTTGCTTGGTAGGAAGGATGAGAATTGAGGATGGAAATTTTGTTAATCTAGTGGTTAAAATTCATAACCAATTTTCTATTTTGTAGCTTTACTATTAAATTAACAAATTTTTCATCCTTATGTCTTTCCATCCTTCTTACCAAGCAAGCCTTAGTAAAACAGTAAAAATTTAACAGTCATACAGTGTTTACTCTTTTTATTGACAATTTTTTTTTTCAATAGTCACTTCAGCTGGAGTTCTTAACCATTTATTTATTTCATAGAGTGAAAAAGGGATCCCTACTATTGCTGGGAAATCAAAGAGTGAGGCCAAAGATAAAGAGAGGAAGCATAAAAAGCACAAAGACAGAGATAAGGAGAAGGATAAAGAGCATAAGAAGCACAAGCATCGTCATAAAGATAAAGATAGAAGTAAAGATAAAGACAAGGAAAAAAAGAAGGATAGAAGTGGGCATCATGATTCTGGTGCTGATCACTCAAAAAAGCACCATGAAAAGGTTGGAAGCTTGTTACCTCTTGCAGCTATTGCTTTGATTACTCGTTTATCCCTGAGTCTAATGGAAAGATTGCTAAATTCATGGCTGGTCTGGCTATGCTGCTGTGCCGTGCCCAAGTACACAAATATCAATCAGCTAATTTGTCTGTTCTTTTTTCAAGAATGACGTTTCTTTTAAGCTATGCATGAGACATTTTCTTTTGACCATTAAAATTAAGCAATTTTTCTGATGTCAGGAATGAATCTATTGTCTGTGTCCCTGTGCAAGTTTGCCTTTTGGTCTGTCATCAGAATGTTTATAAAAAAAAAATATAGTCCCCTTTATTTTGAAATTAGATTTTAAATGGAATTCCATGTAAAATGCTTTGTAATTCATATAATTTCAGAAAAGGAAGCATGATGGAGACGAAGATCTTAATGATGTTCACAGACACAAAAAAAGTAAGGTAATGCATATCATTCTGGATTTTACTCTATTGTGTTGCATTATGTGGATCAAGTTTTATATTTGTGATATGTTGAGCATTAACTCTCCATTTCTTTCAGGAGTAGTGCCAATGAACCTTGTCTTGTAACTACTTTTTCTTCTCTCTGATGAAACTACATAATTAATTTGTTGCAGCATAAAAGCTCAAAAATTGACGAAGTTGGTGCAATTAAAGTAGCAGGCTAAAATGGTGGCATTCTATAGTTCATTTATTGTCTCAGATGTTTTTCAGAGTGTGGAAGGGTTTGCTTAATGTTCCCTTCATTGCTTTAGGTGAATGCTTATTATCTGCTGTTCTCTACATTGTGTTTTTCTTGTTCCTGGAAATAATATCCAGTTAATCCACTGCTAAACAATTATTGAAATATAAAGTTAACCGAAACTTATATATTAATATACCCCCAGATCTACAATAATGTTCTTCACCTTCTGTTTAGAAGATGTCACATAGTTAATCAGTTATGCATTTCAAGTATTTACAATTCTAATTTTGGGAACAAAGATTCCAAGGAGAAGAAGAAAGGTAGTTGTATTATCAAAACAAATGTTTTCTTCTTCCTACTCTTTAATTGAAATAAATATGGCCTATTCGCTGCATAGGATTGAATTGGAATCCTCTTACCACTATTCATTATGTGACCTGTTATTATTTATTTATTAATTATTATTTGGGGCTTGGGGAGTGGGGGTAGGGTGTTTAATGCTAGCTAGGTTTCAAAGGTTATCACTCTCACTTTTTGCGCTTTCTGTTGTTTTTGTGCAGATTAGCTTGTAAACTGACTAAAGAATGTGTGGAGGGTGAATTCACCCATTGATGGATGTTTCATGCGAGGTATAAGTTGCTGAAAATGGACTTTTTGTATCATAACATTGGGCTAATATAATTGTTGGTAGGTGCAAAACTTTGATCTTTCTTTTTATAGTTTTTGTATTACACTGAATGACTCTGCATGTACACATCGTTAGTCTTGTGTCATTTTAGAAGTTTAAAAGCCTAGTTGTAAAATCAGTTTGAATTAGGTTTTGCATCTTTTGATTGTAGAAAGAATAATTACATGGGGGCCCTTGGATTATCTGCTTCCCTTTTTGTCATAACAATTTCTGATATCAGCTACGTTCTTAAAAAGTTGTAAACAGGCACGTCTTATGACATGAACATGAATTAGGTCATTTTTTTGTCTGCAATTGTGTCAGCAATTTTTTTTTTTCGGATGGGGGGGGGGGTGGTGGGGGAATTAATTTTACAATTTCATTTGCTATTTCCCTTTGTCTACTCAAGGATATTGCATTTTGGATTTTGGACTTTTTTTTTTTTTTTGTATTTATTTTCAGTTGGTTAGGGTTGTTAATAGGTCGGGTTGGGATAGATTTTTGTTTTTTTCGAAGCCGACTTGTCAACATAATATTATATAAACCGTAATTAATCTGATTCGAAATTAATAAAATATAAAATATTATTTTTTAAATATAAATATATAAATATATATTAAAAATTAAAAAAAATAATTTTTTATATAATATTAGGTCGTGATTTGATTAAAATTCGAACATGATTTTTTTTTAATAATATTTTATCTGAAATTTAATTTTGAAAAAAAAAAATCTATCTAATGGGGTCGGGTTGCAGTCTGTCGGTTGCGGCCGGATACAGTTGTCACATAAAAGCTCTATTACTTTCTATCTATTGGCACTTAGTGCGGGTATTGTTGCGTGTAAATGGATTGAAATAGGCGTATGAGAGGTAGGAGCATAGCTGCTCCAATTTTTTAGGGTTTAAAATGAATGCAATCTGGTTTTTATAAAGCTTTCCTCCCATTGGAACAACTCTTTCAACCTAGTTTCCTTGACTCTCTCTCTCTCTCTCTCTCTGCATTTGTAAATCTTAGAATAAATGAAAAAGGAAAGTTATAAATTGGCGTTAAAAGTATTTTTGCAGAAATGGGTTGTTAGGCTATTTAAGGACCACTTCGTTTTATTAATACGCATTTTCCATTTTAACTCACCAGTAATTGGAATACCAATCAAGGAAACTCCTTTTTTTTTTTTTCCTGAAAGAAAGGAACTTTTATTTTTCTCTTTGAGATTAGTTAATTTTTTAAACACCCAGTCTTCTGGAATTCGTGTTTTAAAAGCAAGAGAATAATGTACGGCAAAAAATCCCTTTTATTAGCATTTTTGTAGAAAAATACATTGTCAATAGCTACACGCCATGCCTTGTAGTTTGGGTAGAAAGGAAGAAAATTCCCAACTAGTAATTGGACTTTGAATTAAAAGTAGGTTATTAGTTCAAATAGTATATTAGTCAGATTTTTGGAGGTTGGAAATTCAACAGGATTAGACACGAATGTCTTGGTTGAGTTTAGGGTATCTGAATGAGAGACCGATAGATAAAGAGGTTTATTATTATTATTTTTTTTTGGAAGTAGGTTATAGTTTATACTTTATATAGCAGAGGCATCAAAAAGGGCCGTGTCTTAATGTCTACGAGAGAAAGGTTCTCATGTCCAAGCCCAAGAAAAATCTGAATTTCCGATCAGCCTAAGCAGCTGGCTCTTTGTTGTGTTCCAATCGACTACATAAGCTTGTCGTCTTTGCTCTCCCTTTGTGCCTTCAATTTTATTTCCATTGATTACCTTGCAATACCATTTTTTTCATCTAATGATGAAAGCATAAACAAAAAAAATAAATAAATAACTTCTCATTAGCAATAATATGTTCTATTGATAGAGTATTAAAATTTTAATTTTAATAATTAAAATTTAATTTTTATAATATGTTTTGTTAATAAAGTATTAATTTAATTTTAATAATCAAATTTTAATTTTTGATAATAATAATTAAAAAAAATTCCAACAACACAAGGGTAAATAAAACATAGCCTTTTGCTAATATGAAATTTAAAAAAGAAAATAGAGCTCTTGGTTATGTCTTTCAAGCAACTTAGATTCCTTTGGAAACTAGTTTTTGTGCTGTGCGTTAGTTATATTTTAAAATACTAATCAATATTAACGACACATCCAATAATAGAAAGTTCTTGAGAGCCTAAAAATGGCTATTATTATTATTTTTAATTATTATTTGGGATGTGGCTCTTCTAAAGGAAGCAATCCATCTGCTCAATGAAACCATGTAACGACAAACAAAAGATGGAATCCAAGCAATTGTTAGCGCATTATATTTATATAATATTATTTGAAAGCAGTGTAGCTGTTTCCCATGTGAAAAAGAATTTAGGCCATGAAGGACGGGGCTTCTCCCATCTTCATAAAAAAAATCAGTAGTGCTGACGGTCAAGAAATCATCATTGAAACATGAGTAAAAAAACTTAGATATTCACTTTTATTGATACATGTACATATGATCATATTATATATATTAATAAGTTATCAACAAGAATTTTTTAAGTTATAATTATAATTAAATATTAATTAATTAATTAATTAAATTCATCAGTCAAATTTAAATCTAAAATTTTAGGAATTCTTTACCAAGACCTCTGACTCCTAAAAGTAATTTTAGACACAATGATTGATTAAGTTCACATCCTTCTTTCCTTAACGGTCTTAGGCCATAATCATGGTTCTCATGCCCTGTAAAAATGATGTTTACTCTTGAATTTGGTTCCAACTTGCAATAATGACCCTAATTTATAGTGAGGAGAAAGAAATTAATCAAAATAAAAAAAATTCCAATATTGGTAGTTCTTTATTGGATAGTGAAGCCCAATTATCTCATTAAAAAATTTAATTTACCATTTGAGTTTATATATATATATATAGTTTTCAAGTGTATATTAATATCACTTACCCTTTACCTATGCCTAAAAGAAACTTTAAAAAGAAATAAGAAATAAGAAAAAAAAAATTTTAAATGGTTAAAACTTGATTAGGGTATATAATCCATAGACTCAAAGCTGGTTTTTGTAGTTTACCCAAAACTTTATTTGCTGAAAAATATAGTTCGAAAAAGTTAATTAAAGTTGCAGAAAAACAGTCCTGTTACTATTTAGCATATATATATATATATATATATGTTATAGCCTAGCTAGCTACTTGATCTTGAATATTCTTTTGCTTTATAATTCCTTGATGCTCCTAAGAATCACCATCAACTTTCCCTTTGTTTTTCATTGCTTTTTCCTGACAAATAAAGTTCCCTTTGTTTTTTGACAGCAAGTGAATTCCTTTCCTAATTTTCCTTCACATAGTTCTTGATTTCCACTCGGTTAAGAATTATGCTATGGTACAATAACTTCATCATTCCACTTTCATTTTCCTTCGCTTTTCTTTTCATTACCCTTTTTTTTTTTCTATCTTCTTTAGTAAGAATCCTATAAAGTTTGTGGCCACCAAAGCACTGGCCATGAAAAACCTAAGATGCTTGTTTTACCCTTCCAAACCTCAAAGCTTTAAGATATTGCGTCTTATTTTTTCTTTTTTTAAGATAGATAAAATTTTTATCCATATATTTATACCATCTCGAATCATTTATATTACTCAAAAGATAACATAAATGTCATATATGTATATATATATATGTGAAAATTTTTTAATAAAAATGGTTTGATGTGGTACCCTAAATATGAGGTGGGGAAAAAAAAATCTTTTGGCGTGCATGCTCTAATGACTTTTTAGAATCTAATTTTAACTTTTGTTAGGGAAAGAGAAAACACAGTTCAAAAAGAGGAGAAAATGAGTAAGATTGGAAAAGCTAATGTGGGATCATCAAAAGGGCCTTTAGAAAAAAAATAGGCAGTAACAGAATCCTTAAAACAGATACCCTAGTCGATGTCTAGCTAAAGATCGACTAGATACAAAGTGGGGAGCCTCAGAACTAAGGCAAATATAGCTCACATGACTTTATTTATTTTTAATTCAAATTTTAGTTCTAATTACTTTATATATTTATTTTAAAAGTTGATATTTAATATGTTTAGAATTTAAATATATTTTTATTTTTTTATTATTTTAAATTACGTTATCGTATGTATAAAAATTTTTTTTTGCACGATTAACCTTTTTTTTAATTAATTTAAAGAAATAAAGTAGTAATCAACAAAGAGATTAGCATAAAATATAGTATGTTGAATCCAATTGTTAAGAAATGTTAAATGGCCAAGATTAATAGCATTATGATGCATATAATGGGGATTTTTTTTTTTTGTAAGAAAAATTCGATGGTAGATATACTATTTAGTCTCCCAGGTCAGAGTAAATATGTCGTACTTAACAACATAAGATAGGTAGTTGTAAATCATACATTCGAGATAATTTCAACAAATAATCACCGGCATGACTCAAATTCAAAATCTCTTTATTAATAAAAATGACCTTAATCGATTGAATCAATAACTTATTAGTCATATAATGAGAATTAAATTGACTGCTTGGTCACCGCTTTGGTTTGGAACTTTTGAAAATCCTACCCTTCTTTTGTACCCCAAAAACCAAAGTCTTTTACGGTAAAAGTTCCATTATAATTCGTGCATATTATATACCCTCCATTATTGACACAAAAAAGAATAATTTTTTGCTTAAATTTCTATAACACAATTTTGTAATAAAAAAGGTTAAATTATAAAAAAATTATCATATAGTTAGAGGCTATAAATAAATTTATTTTTCAAAATTTAAAACTGATATTTTATCACGAAGTGATTTTTTTGTTAATTTTCAAGTTAACATTACTAAACGAAAAATGACATATATAAGAAAAAATAATTTTATCTTCAAAATTATACACCAATTAACATATAAATAAAATGAATGAAACTCTATATAATTCTATTGCCTCAAAACTTAGCATTAGGAGCACTATTTTATACATCAACATCTAAAATAAATAATTTCCCCTGTTTTTTCTTCCAAAAAAAAAATAATTTCCCTTGTTTTATTTCCCACACCTACTTATTTTATTTAATAAATGCCAAGGATCCTACTTAAATAATGGATTTGGCTTCTTTTTGGACCACCAAAAAATCCAATACACATATAGTTGTGTACCATATACTATAGATGTTACTTGAATTACACGTAAATGTTACAAATTGAATAACAAAATCACAAAAAGATGCATACACAAGCATAATTATTGTTCCCTTTTCGGTTTTGGCAATTAATTTTTCTAATTATTTAATCATGCTTATCATAAATTTATGAATTATACAATACAACTTTTTTTTAGCTGCTACAATGATACAA